ACTTAGATAGATTTTGTTAATGGTGTTCGTTGAATGGTTCACACATTAATGTTCAGAAGTGCTCACAGATTTCTTTCACGAGATGTAAATCAAAGCTATACTTTCAACTTAATAGACAGTACTAAGCTGAATGTTTTGTCACAAATAAAAGACTTGGGAATTATTTTATCTCATGATTTATCTTTTAATGAGCATATTAGTATATGTGTAATAAAGCTTCACGTATGATTGGTTTTATTCGACGTAATTGTTCCGATTTCAGTAATGTAAATTGTCTCAAAGTTCTATATTTTTCAATGGTTCGCTCTATTCTTGACTATGGTTCTATTATCTGGAATCCTCGCCAAAGAAATTTAATTTTAAAAATAAAACGTATTCAAAACCAATTTTTGCGTTTCTTGGTGTTTAAAACTAATAAATTTAATTTACCTCTTGATAAGTTAGCTTGTGAGTATTATATAGATTCTCTTCAAATGCGTAGAAATTACAATGATTTACTTTGGTTATATAAATTAATCAATCATGAAATTGATTGTCCTGAATTACTGGAGAAAGTGGCCTTTAATGTTCCTCAGGTCAATACACGAGTACCTTATACATTTTATACCTCATTATGCCCCACAAACTAGTTTCTTTGCACCGATTAACAGAATGTTAAATTCAGGTAATTTTGATTTTTTTCATGATAAACTAACCAGGCACAAACTCTTGTAAATGCTAAATTAAAAATTGATTAATTACTTATGTTACTCAACAATATTTGTATTTATAGTTAATGTATTATATTTTGTTATTATTAATTTGAGAATTTAAGCTTAAATTTGTTAATTTAGTGTATTTCTTTTTTTTTAGTTGTACGTTTTGTATTATAGTTATTAGTACTGTATTTTGCTCTTTTGGGCGTTTGTCTTTAATAACTAAAAAATCAATCCTCTACAACCATAATTTATTATATAGAAAGCCTAATTTTAAATTCACGATAAAAAAATTCGTTCCCGCCAAATATGCAGGTGATGAATAATCTTTATCTTTATCACTTATACGAGTACTACTTTAACGACAAGAGTCGCTTCTCAGAAACGTTCCAGATAAATATGTCACCAAAGGAAATGCGACCGACAATTCTAAGGATGTTTCCAGCGGCGTTTCTATTTGTGTTATAATTTGGACAATTTAATGCAAAATATTTGAAGTTACCCACTGTTAATATAATTAACCACTCAAGATTGCACTTAAGATCACGACTTTAGGTATAATCGCGTGACAATAGTTTTTATCGTCATCCGACATATTAGTATTATAATTTTTTATTATTGTATAATTCTTCTAATACTAACGACTATAACTGCTTTTAATATTAGTTATTACTTTTGCAAGTCTATAGACTGACAAAAGTAAGAGAAAATGGTCTTAAGATGATTACAATGTAAGGTGTATAAAAAGTGATGATGATATGAAAAAAAATAATATGAAAAATTACTGAATAAGGATTATCTAAGAGAGACATTTGAGGATATCTTGTAGAACGAGGTACTGGTAGATTTAATTAGCGAGAAAGAGGTATGGGAGGCTGTAGCATCAATAAAAACGAATAAAGTAGTAGGACTAGATGACAATAAGCGAGGATGTGATAGGAGAGTTGGAAAGTTCTAAGTATTTAGGATCAATTATTCAAAAAAACGGTGGTATTGATGAGGATGTAGGACACAGGATTAAGTGCAGGTGGATGAAGTGGAGAGAAGTAGCTGGTGTGTTATGCGATAAGAAATTCAATTTCAATGAGGCTGAAAGGTAAAGTTTTATAAGACTGTAGTGAAACCAGCTATGATTCAGTGTTGGGCGTTAGACAAGAAAATAGAGCAGAGATGAGAATGCTTAGATGGATGAGTGGAGTGACGAGAGAAGATAGAATAAGGAACGAACATATAAGAGAGGTATAAGTATAGCGTCAATAATGGATAAGATGAGAGAAAATAGACTTAGATGGTTTGGTTATGTTATAAGGAGAGAAGAAACGGACGCTATAAGAACAGTTATGGAAATTAATGTTGAAGGATGAAGAGGTAAAGGAAGACCAAAAAAGAGATGGAGGGTGTTATTTAATGCAATATGATGACGGCTGAGTGATTAATTCAATGTCTACACAAAAAAAAATCTAAAACTATATGAGACTCATAAAGCCACGGAGGCGAAGAACACACTACCCAAATTCCCATTATAATATTTTATCTAAATAATTTAATATCCAGTTTTATTATAAAAGTAATTATTTGTGAACAAATTATTTCTTTTAAATAATATATATATATTTTTTAAATTGTCAAACATATATACAAAACTTCAACATAAAAATAAATTACTGCTACAATAGTAGTATAATGTATAATATGTGGTATGGTTGGGTCCAGTATAGATGATATCTGACAGTGATTAAAACCACTATCATAAAAAACACTTCTATGCAAATCTGTAGATAGTTTTTAATTTTAAGAAATTGGTTGATTATTCTAAAAGCAAAATTAACTCCTATTCCTATGATTATTCCTAATTTGTAGTTGATTTATAAGTATAATTTATGAATAAATATCTATTAAAGCAATTCAACGAAGTATAAAATTGATATTTAATAATTTAGTATTGGAATTTTTTTGAAAAATTTATAAAAAATTATAAAGTAGTTATTACTTTTATGGCAAACGTGTATAAAAATTGAAGTGCATGACACAGAACTTTTTAGATAATAATTTGTTGTTAATTATGAATAAATAGTCTGCAAACAATTTCATCAGAGTAAAAAAGATACTTTTATTATTCAATTTTTCGTGCTAATTTCAGCTCAGCAATTATACGTTTTCCATCACCAATAATTTTTGATATGATTACTAATTAGTTAAAAACTATAGGATATAACTATAAGGAAAATAGTTCTGAATATTTCAATTATATCATTTATTTAAACATAAAAAATTACATAGAAATTATTAATATTTCTTTTGAAATGATTTATTACGATAAAAAAATAATTTTTTTAATAATTGTTTTTAAATGATAACAGATTTTAATTTTTAATATTTTAAAAATAATCAGTGTAAAATATCATATTTAACATATTTTTTGGGTATTTTAAAGTTGATTTTTTGAAAGTTTATAATAAAAAAAAGTTGAATTTGTTACCATAACTTTAAGCTCAACTTCTAGTTTGAAATTTACATTATTGAATAGAAAATTTTATGAGAATAAAATGTTAGTATTGTTAATATTTAGTCAGGAAATTGTATAATTACTATTTACTGTAAATTTATCAGAAAAACACTTTATAGTGAAATTAATACCTTCTCAATTTCAAAACGAACCTAAAAATTGAAAAAATTAGTAATTTTTAAATTTCTAATTTTTTTGGGGGATTTTCCCCATATATATGGGAAACGAGGGAAATTTTTTCATTTTTTGAGGGTAATGTCTTGGACTAGATACTATTTGTGATCTTTTGATATATCGTTGAAAAAAATCAGTCCTGTGAGAGCTAAGAAAAAGTGGTAAAAGACACAAAAAAAACACATCATAGTAAAATTAATACCTATTAAGCTTCGCATCGAAGCCAAAAATTAACTATTTATTTAATATCAAATTATTTTAATTTAATAATAAATTCAACAATAAATGTTATTATAATTATAATATTCACTGTTATTTTTTATTTTTAATAATTAATATTATTGGAATGTAATATGCTCTTATTTATATATATAGACAATAACAATGTGGTATAATTATTAATGTATATACTTAGCTCCAAATATCATAAATTAGCAAACCTAGTTTTTTAAATTTTGGATATTTTTAATAAATAAGGTATAAAGTATTCAAAAAATATTGTATTCTTTTGGTTAGCTATTTTAATAATTTTAGAAATTAAACAATTAAAACAACTTTAGTCAATATATTAAAGTTGTTATTTAAAAAAAAATTGTTACTTTTTAAATAAATTATTCAATCAATTTAAATGATACGTATGCGTATGAAATCGTATGGATGTGAATATAACAAGATACTTTATTATTTTGTATTATTATTTATTGTATATAAGATATTTTGTTTAATAATATATCCATGTTTTAGAATGGTTAATTACGGTAATTTTTGTTACAACATAGTAATTATTTTAATTTATTCNTCCCACTCCAGTTCCGGCGCATTGCAGTCACCTATCATTGTTTATTTTGATTAGTCAGTGAATGGGTCCCGGTCCCCATTAATTCGGATAATTGGAGTTCTACTGTAGTTGTATTCGTATATTTTATGATAAACTTTATTAGGCTACTTAGTAGTATTTTGAATATTTATAATATAAAATAATACTATATTTCAAGATAGAAGTGTGATGTCCGCAAACTAATTTATTAAGTACAAATTACTTTAATATCAATAAAAAGTCGAGTTTAAAAATGAATAAATAATACCTTTACTAAACATATAGTAAATTAATAAAAAGAAGTTCACTCATTAGCCGTGTCGGTTCGGTATCACTGACTAGTGGTACTCAGGCAAGTTACCCTAAGATAATTTACCCTAACCCTGAATTTTGGATAGTTTATTACTCGGTGGCTAATGATTGTATAGTCACCGAGTTTACGGTGAAAATTTTAGTTTAAAATGCACTAAGAAGTATGTTATCACTTTAAGGGCACCTAATTCCTTTCAAGGGATATTGCTCAGTTTTGGGTCGATCCTTTCAAAACTCAGTACAAATCAAATACTACAGGAAACGATAAATTATAAGTTATGTTATATGGTTTGTTTCATTGTGCCTAAAGTCTGGTCACAGTGAGACACCATAACTATTTTTAAAAAAAATTTTCTAGTTTGAAAAAGTGCTTCATTTATTAAATTTATTGATATGTATTTAAAAAGTTTATTTATTTGCATTATTATTATTAATTAAATAATATGATAATTTTTTGAAAAAAATATAAATTAATATAATATTTTTAAGCCTATATCCTACCTCTTGTTCATTTGAAAATATTTCAATAATTGAAGAAATTTTCCAAAAATAAAAATCAGTTTCCCTAAAACAAATATTTAATATAACATAAGTTTAATAAATAGAAATATTAAATTAGAATAAAACTAATGGTCTAAGATTTTTTATCTAGGAACATTTTTATGCACATACACTATTTTAATTTACACCCATACATTTTTAATTTATAATAAATATTTAAAATAACATAGTGTATATTACTGAGCTTTGTCTTGAAATAAATAATTTATTAAAAGTTTCATAAGTATGTTTTGAGCATCATCCGATAAATGTTCATGTTTTAATTTTGCATCAGTCAAAATAAAATGACCATCATTATTTCAATGCAGCAAGCTCATAATAGACTAAAAGTAATACATATTGTTTTATAATTTGTCATACTTAAAGAATGAAATTTTATTAGTATATTACCTACAAAGTTTACTTACTTATATGTTCCATACTCGGAATATGAGAAAAATGTATTAGAATTAGTTTGCACATTTACACATTCATCACTTTCATTACTATTCAAAACACTTCCTACAATGATAATTCCACTCAAATTGTTATATTCTTCGTCATGTGACAGTATAATTATTTAAAATATCACCTACTTGTATTTAAAATAAAAGTGTAACAGCTAAAAGCACACTACATTTAATTGATACCATAATGAAAAATTATAAATTAATATTTTATCAAGAATGCATAATATTTTTCTTTAAAACATTTATCATGAAACTCTTGATCAAAAATACACCACTAACCAAAAATAATAATGTCACACATTAAAAAAACATGAATTTTATTAATATTAATTATAGGTGAATATAAATAAGAAATAGTTATTTTATGTCATATCATGAATACGTTTATTTAAAATCTAACAAGATACATTTTTATTAATTACATAAATTATTTATATAAAGCAGTTGATACACACTTTTCGAAATATTCAAATGATTGATTTCCGCCAAAAATTTTAATTTTATCATATTTTACACTATGCGTTGATTGGTTGAAATTGACTACTTGAGCTATAAAACTCGCAATGCTTTAACAGCTGTTTTAGAAGTGACAAACCGTATTTTGAGCTACATCATTTATTCTGTGGCTACATTGAAGAAAACGTTGGCCCATTGAGTAACCAGTCTTATCGTGGCTATAATCTAACATTTGTAATCGAGCGTTTCGGTTACGCTTTATATTTAAATGAAGTCTTAAGACAAATAAACAATTTTAATGTTGAATCATTCAACATTAAAAATTAAACCGATTCCTTTAGAATTAATTAAAATATTTTTTTAGCGATGAACTGCTGGAACATAGTAAGTCTTCCACATCCTATACCAATTTGCCATCGTAATGTTACCAAAGGTATACATATCTTATTTCATAATGCAAAATCTTAAGAATATGGTGTATAGTTATTCCAGAATAAACTAAATTTAGCCTATTCTGTGCTGCTTAATCATGGGGAAAATCAGAATTTTCCAAAATCCAGAAAATCTGATTTAAAATCCGGATTTCAGATTTTGTGTTATAAATCAGGTTTTTGGATGTATTTTTTTATTAATGGTTATATAGTCACAACTGCAATTAAGACAGTTGAAATAACTGAATATTCGGTTTTTATTTCTGCTTTTATTAGAGTTGTCACTGTATTAACCATTCATTTTTTCTGTGCGGGTATAAATATAATAATTAATCAGAAATAGGCCAAAAAAATATTAAACCATTAAAAAATCAAGAAATTTATACTACTTAAATAATTTAAAGAAAAATTTCTCTAAATTATTATTATAGAAGAAATCTAGTGGTCAACGATAAATCAATTACTCTGTGTTAAAGAGTTAAATGCAGTTTATAAGTTTAAAGTTAAAACTTCAAAAAAATCTAAAATTCAAAATCTAGATTTTATGGATTTAAAAAAATTTAGGTTTATTTCCCATTACTATTGTTACTATAATATTAATAATAATAGTTATACATTATACATTATTTTAAGTTTACCTTGTAACATCCATATTTGTGTTCTAGAATATTTTATAAGCACAATTGAACTACAGGTCCGAGTATCTTGCAGTTCTTGCCCATCTCTATAACAACTAAAACTAACAAAAATAAAATGTTTAAAAAACTTATTATTTTAAGAAAAATTGATTGGCTAGCATTAAAAAAAAACACCTGTATATTTTTTGTTCAACAATGTTTTTTTGAGTGCTAAGCCCTTTCTTATTAACAGTAATTAATAAGTATTAAAAAAATTTTTTTTTTTTTAATAATACATTGAAATTTTGTTTTTACGATCCTACTAACTTAACTTTAAGTTAATTTAAGTAAACTAATACATTTTTATCAGTAGTTGCCATTCCAAGATCACATTTGAACATTTTGCAATTGTGTAATATTTATTAGAACTATGAAAATTCACTTAAAAAAAAATCTAAATTTTCATTAGGGAAGAGGTAAATTTACCTATAAAATAACAAGACTTGTAAATAATAAATATGTGATAGATTCCTTAAGAATTTTTTTACTTTAACTGATGTATTCAATCACATTACAGACTTAAATATTTCATTAGTCACACATTTAAAAAATTAAACCTGTTTATTATGCTTGCGTTAAAACTTTTTATTATTAATTAAATAATTTTTATTATAAACAAAATTATTTACGATTCAATCTGATTAATTTTTTTCAGTTAATATTAGACAAATCAAAGAAATGATTCAGAATGTTTTATTGCCAGAACAAGCTGCTTCTGATTTACATAAATTATATGATGAAGGAAGTCTTATGTCCAAATTAACTTGTAAAGTAAAAAGGAAATTCAGAGGAGAAAAATTGTTCAGGCGACTTAATCAGGTAATTAGATAATTTAGATTAACACCAAAGTATCAGTTATTAAATTGAAAATTTAATTTAAGTTGTCATCCAAAATTTAAAGATTACAGTTTTGTTATAGTTTTATTTAAGTTTATTAATGTTTATCTTCTCTTTGAGTAGCTTAAGAAAACACAAGAGAAAAAATTTTTATGTAGAGTTAAAAAAAAATTGGTTCTAAAGCAATTCATCTTAATAAATTTTTATCAAAATCTTTAAACAAAAATTAAAAAGTTGTTTCTTTTTTTTATAACTGAAACTATAATTTCCTAAATAATTTTTCAATTTATTTAAAAGATTACAGCAACAGTGAAAAAACTGCATAAGCTTAATATTCCTGAAGTTCTTTCAACTTTATATATAAGTTTAGAAGATTGCAACGTACCTACAAAACAAACAGGCTTGTGGGTAGGCTCAAGAATATTAGCGGCGTATAAAATAACAGAAAAATTAGAGCTAGTCAATAAAGGAGCAGCTGAATTAACAATTAAATGTCTTAATAATGGACAATGCTGGTTAGAAATGGAAATTGCCCTTGCCATGATTAGCAGAATATGGATTTTATCCAAAGCTCTTTCTAAGACTCTCTTATGTTTCTATGAACAATATTATCCTTTGGTGAGCTATTTAAAAATGGCTAAAATAGAATGGATGCCTGATTTTGAATTACCTAAAAGCATTAGTTTTCTAGATAATGATAATATTGACAAAACTTTTGATAGTTCAAGGTAATAAAAAAATAGTTAAAGTATTAAAACTATTTTCAAATTTAAAATAATATGTTTTGCAGTGAATCAGAGGAAGAATTAGTTTCTAATCCTGGTTCAGTTATGAGTCGTAAACCTGTTTTTGAAAATCCAATTGTCAAAAAAAGAAAAAGACCAGGAAAACAAATACGGTTGTTACAAGGCAAACTTAGAAGTAAAGTGATTAATGTATATAAAAAACAAAAATGTTCATAAAAAGTTATATTTTTATAAAATAAACAATAAAAAAACTTCATTATATGTATATAATATTAGTTAACTATTTTTTAGTTCCGATGCGAAGCTAAGAAGGTATAAATTTTGCTATGACGAATTTTTTTTTTTGTGTTTGTGAACGCTTAATTTTAGCTCTTGCTAGACCGATCTTGATTTTTAGTTAAAACTGCCATAGCTTTTTTAAAAATGACCGAATCAATATAATTTTTTTTTTATAGATACCTTAGGTATTTACCTATCATTTGATATATTTTTGTGAACATTTAACCCTTTACCAGTCCACAAGAATGGTTTCAAAATGGCAACTTTTTAAACTTAACTTTTGAAAATGTTCCAGAAAGACACCTTTATATATACCTTAAATTAAAACTAATTCTAATAGTAATATACTTTAATTTGTAAAAAAAAAAAATTTGACCTCTAAAAGAAAGAAAAACGTACAATTTTTGTGGAAAAATTTTCCATTTTATATTTTTAAATTTATATTGCTATAACTTTTGGAAAATGGATCAATATTATTCTTTTATAAATAATTTTTATATACCCTTTTCATCCGACATTTTTTTTTAAGTCTGATCATATCCCTTTATACAAGGGGGTCAAAACTTTAAACATGCATATTGAAACTAGGACATTTTCATTTTAATTTTTGAAAGTGTTCCGGAAATACTGACACTTTTATATATATCTTAAATTAAAGCTTATGTAATAAACTTTAATTTGAAAAAAAAAATTTGACCTCTGGATTTGTCTTTACTTATAACTATATCAAAAATGACCAAATCTCAATATAATTTCCTTTTTTTGGTACATGATGTCTTTATCTATCATTTGATATATTTTTGTGAACATTTTACCCTTTACCAGTCCACAGGAAGGGTTGATAATGGCAACTCTTTCAACTTAACTTTTGAATGGGTTTAATGGAAATACTGACACTTTAATATATATCTTAAATTAAAGCTCATGTAATATACTTTATTATGGAAAAAAGAAATTTCGGACTTTATTTTGTCTTCATGGTGAAAACAGACATCAAAGTTAATAATAAAAATACGATTTTCGTAACAAAATGTATGGAGGATCACTATAATTTTTTTGAATTGGACCATTTCCCTCTATTTATTTATATTTTATAAGTATATATATATATATATATGTTCATATATTACACTTATAATTAGAATATAAATAAGGAAATAGCAAATCATGTAGCTTTTGGAATAATCCAACAATTTTTTAAAATTAAAAACTGGCTACAGATTTGCATCGAAGCGTTTTTAATGATAGTGATTTTAATCACTGTCAGATATCACATATACTGGACCAGTGGCGTACGGTGATATTTTATGCTGGGTAAGCGCTAAAATAAAATTTCTAGTTAAAACAAAAAAAAGGTGTTTTATTAATAAAAAATTACAATCTAAAAGTTATCTATAGATAAAATCCATTAGTCTTTCTTGTTTCAAAAATTCATTTATAACTTTATCATAAAATTCCGGATTATTTTTTTCTTTATGCAGAAGTTCTTAATAATAAAATAATAACAATAATAAAGTATATTAATAACGAAAATAATACGATATGTATTGTAAGTAAAAATATTGGAATTCCGTTTTTAAAATTATCGATAAGCGCTTTCAACCGCCACATAAAAACATATATATCCTCTTCTACCACAACCGGTCATTCCTTTAAATAACGATACGGGCCAGGCAATCCAAAATACGAGCGCTTCTGTAAAGAAATTGCCTATACGAAAAAAATTCATTTAATTTTTTTTCAAAGAAACCTAATAAATTTTTTTAAATTGAATACTCAAATAAGAATTAATGAATAGTTGTAATTTTAATGTATAAGTCAAATTGTCATTTAACATTATAAATGTTAATCTTTTTATTTCTTCCTTTTTGGCGGGGCATGCGCCGCTTACCTAGCTTGCCCTGACCGCACACCACTGTACTGGACCCTACTATGCCATGTCTCCGCTGTGCTGGCTTTTTTTGTTAGCATAGTCAATAGTAATAACTATATTATGGTTTTATAAAAAATATAAATTTAGATGAGGTATGCTAGAGGAATTAAAAAATCTTAGTAATTTTAACTGGTAACTGGTAAATTGAAAATGTTAACGAACACTATTAGCTATATTTTAACTTTTATTTATATTAAAGTTACTCATATTTACCTTCAATTCATTAACCACTTACCATAATGGAAGAGGAAGTTTCGTTTTTTAGAATTCTCTCATTAATATTTAGATGAAGAATGACATTCAGTTTTAATTTTGAAACCAACTATTTCTTATTTAACCCTTGAGCTCAAACACGGCTTATATTTATAATTTTTATGTGTATTTACATTTATATAATCATTTTTCTGAATTGAATTTTTTTATTATTAATATTACAATACATTTAATTATTATGATACGAACAGTGCTCGAATTGGCCAAAAATAAGTAGGGGAGCTCAACTTAACAATTTGAAAACAGCGTCCTTAGCATTTTGAAGACCTTTTTTTTTTTTTTTTACTCATTACTTTATTTAGTATTTACTAATAAATCATATTTCATTATCATACTAATATTAAAAAAAAAAAAAAAGAGGTGGTATTTTCCACCGTCCTCCCGTCACAATAAAAAAAAGTAGTTGGGGTGCGCAAAAAAATTTAAAAGAAAGTAGAGGAGCTACGTCCCCCTGCGCACCCCCCCAATTCGAGCACTGGATACGAATATATACAATTATTATTCGTTCGTTGTAGCACATCGACAACCGATAATCAATGTGTCCACATTGCGACGCGATGCATTTATTATATGTTTTGTTCTTATTTGTTCCGTATCATCGAGTAATGGAAATTCTTAATTATTTATTTTCAAAACTCAATTCTACAGTCGGTGGCATTTACGATAAACGATATTTTGGAAAAAATACAAGTCCCAAAAAAATTATAACGTAACAAGTCACGTGGGGGTAAATATGACCCATTTCAATTTTGATGAATATTTTAAGTCATACATTTCTTTTTTGAAGGTATTTATTTATGAAAATCGATTCAATATTACTATAAAAACCATCTTCTAAATTTATATCTATAAAAACCTTTTATGCAATATAATACATCTAACCCCCACGCGACTGTTTAAGGGTTAAAGTTCTGAATGAAATAATTGTTTTATTTGTTTTGTAAAACGTAAGAGACTTGAACATAAAAATTAATATATAAGTTTCCATTTTTTTTTGGAAAATAAAGTTCTCAAACTTCTTTTGTTAGTATGAGTGAATAAAAAAGATGTGATGTACAAATGGAAAACTGAAATTATAAATATAAGGTAATTTTTTATTGTTTTAACAAAATAAATTCTAAGTTTCCTAGGAAACTATTTGAAAAATGTTTGATCAATTAATTGGTTTTTCTAAAATTACATTTTAATTGATATTACAATAATTAATAATAAGTCATAATAATTTAAATAATTTAATTAAATTTCCATATTTAATTCAAAAGTCTTACAGTAAATCTTTTTCTTAAATAAAATTATATCATAAGATAAATGTCTTCTCTTATATCTGTCATAATCAATTAAACTTTAGCTTATATATATTTATATATATATATACTTATTGTTCTATTTTATAACAAATTGTATAATACTAAAATAAAAAATAAAAAAATTTAACTTTAAGTATTATTTTCTAATTTTAATGGAAATATCAGATGGCTACAAGACCTCATACAGAATAGCACATAGATACATGCCAATAATTGCATTTGAATCTAATGTTAGACTACTATTAATAAGTAAGAGATTACTAAGTATTGTTTAATATTGTCAAATTATTAGGTGTCGCCTTTGGCTTTTGAAAAAGAGCTGTTACCAAATTCTCCTAAATTGAAGCACTGGAATTATGATACATCTACAAAAGTTAATTTTACATATAAATCTGATACTATGGATCCTATACAAAAACCAATGAAGGTTACACTGAATAAACAAGAGTATATGATGCCTCAATGTGAAAAAGTAAAAAAAATTTTTATTGAAAACATTGAACTACTATGGAGCTGATTTTTTTGTTTTTATAAATTTAGTTATGGTCTGAACCTCTCAAACCAATATATATCCCACCAACAGAATATAATAATAAATTTATACATCCAGAGAAAATGGTAGGAATAATAAAATTACCTATACCATATAGTTGTGTAAGTACTTGAGAAAATAATAGCTATAAGTTTTTAATGTATCATAAAAATAAACAGGTTCAATCAAAACTAACCAATCTAAAGGAAATTTGTACAATGAAAAGTCCAAAAACAAACAAATCTATTTCAATTCCATTATTAGTACCATATACTAGTACACATAAATTAGCCTACATTGATAAAAACTTTGTAAGATATGTATTTAATATTAAAAACTATCAATAGTTTTATGTATATATACAAAATAATTATTTTATTATTAATGAATTCTTTGAATAGGTTATCAAAAATAATTTTAACAAGAAAAATACAAAACGAACTTTATTGGTAAATGAATTATATAACAATAAGCCAATAATTAATCATCAAACCACTCTCCGTATACTTCCTAACACAATGAAAAAAATACCACATAAGTAATTAAATACAGTTCATTTTTAAAAATTTGAAAATTTAAGCAATAACAAACTGTTTATTTTGAAGTGCTCATAAAACTGAGATGACTGATGCCTATAAGAAACCAATTAATTCATTAATTAATTATGAAAATACTTTTGAAATACCAGTTTCAGTTTCACATAACTCAGCATTAGCTCAAATATTATCTGTTCCAGAAATGTATACAACTGAATACTCAAAAATTGGTGGATAATGTATTTCCACTTTGTATAATTAATCTCAATAAATTTATTTAATTTTTATAATAATTATCTAAAACTATAAGCAGAATAGTTTTAGTTCAAGTACTGTTGCAAAATTTGATTTAGAACTGACATATCATAATAATCTGCTATTGCTTTAAATGTTTTTAGGTATGACACAATATCAATTTTAGTAATTACTGTAGTGTAACTTCCAGCACAAGAACAGTATGCATTTAAATTTTCCATTTTAATCTAAAAAGAGAAGTAAATAATATTATTTTTTTTTATGAATAAATAATCTAAGGTACCTGTGCACATGTTTTACATTGTAAATCTTGTAAAGTATGGGCCATAGCTTTTCTACTAAGAGCATCAATCAAATAATGTTCAATAAGGGAATTATCATAGTGACTATTGCAGTTTGGACAAAGCCATGTTTTTCTGAATTTAATTTATTAAATCAATAATAATTACAGATTTAAATTTTTTTCAATTGTAATTCTTACTTTCCATCAATAACAGTACGATGAGAATCTTTGCATAGATCTATATCTCTACAATGATTGCATCCTTTACAAATAATTTCAGGTAATATCCATGACAGACATGGATCATTCCATTCAGCTTGATCACTAAAATCTCCAATACCTATTAGTCGCAAAAGATTTCTTCGTAGTCTCATTACATCATCTTCAATCCCATAATCCAACGAAAGTACCTATAATATGACAATATTTTTTTATTATTTACATATATACTTGATAAAACAAATTGTGTTAAGAAATATAATTCTATTAACTTGAAAATTATAATTCAAATAAAATATTAAGAACTCAATAACATAACTATAAATAAATTTCAAAAAAATGTAGTACATTAACACCCTGATAATAATGTAAATAATGAAAAATTAAAGTACTTTACAAACAGTTTTAACAAACTGAAGTGCTGGGTTTAAATGTTTTCCTTTATTTTGCAAAAATGGAGACAATGTATTTTGATGCTCAATATCCAATACTGGGTATTTCTTATGAATTTTTTGTGTTATACTATTTTTTTTAAAAATATAGTAATATATATTAGTAACAACAGTAATTAGTAATGTAATAAAATTTATTCTTACGTAAATAATCTGGTAGTTAACTCCTCTGAAATTATTGTTTTTGCATATTCAGCAATATTTTCACAAGAAGCAACACCTAACATATTGCTTTGAGTAACTTGAGACAATGATTCTGAAATACGTTTTATTGTAACAGAATCAATTGATTTCATATACTTATAAATAGCACTCATATATAAAGCAATAGTTTCTTCAAAATGTTTACGAGAATGACAAACATTAGGAAGAAATTCAGCAACATTCCAATTCATTTCAATACCCACCTAAAATAATGAAGAAATTAAAATTATTTTATTTTATTTTAAGTAAACTAAAAACATACATCATCATCTAATCTAATTGTATCATGGTCCTTCAAAAGCTGTTCAACATCCTCATTAGCCATATCGATAATATCTCCCATAGCTTCTTTTAATTGATCTGAAAATTTTGCTTTAACTCCAGAATAATTCCACTGAATAAACATTTTAAATGAATAAATTAAGATTTCAATTTACTTAATGAATGCCACAATATATATATAATATATGCACAAAAAAAATCGATCTTCGAAATGTTTATGAGATACCTCATAAATGTATTATATACATTAAAATAAACATTTTATGAAAATTTGACGTTAAAAAAATGTTTACAGGTCGCTCAACGCGTTTCAATAAAATTGACCAAAAATACTCAAAAAAACATAAAATGTCATTATTTATTCAATTTTTGTTCAAATTTCTTACTTAGTACATCTAAATTGTTCGTTTTTTAATGCTGAATAATAATAATTAGAATTGTAAGTCCAAAATTGATTGCATAAAGTCCATAAAAAGCTTAAAAATATGGTTAAGTTCTACGAACACTTAAGTAAACCAAAAAAATTTTTTTTTTAATTTGATTAATATTTGTGTGTATTTAAGAGGAAAAAATATTTTCCACTAATGTTTAAAACTACTACCTTTTTTTTAGATTAGAACGTTAGCTAGAATATACGATGTACATAAAAATAAATGAAAATATTGTCAAATTTTACTGTTTCCTTTTTACATTTTTTTATTTTAAAATTTGGCATTAGCTACATACATATATATTTATAATTATAAAAATAAAAATTATTTTTTATTTTTTTGTCATCAATGTTGATTTTTTACAATCTCATTCTAGACAGAATAAATGTATCTAGCCGAAAAGCCACGTATATTTTGGCATCTGCTTTAACTTAGTGTGATAAAAATATTAATGATTATTCATTATAATTATAATATAGGTGTTTGGTTTGAAATATTTTATTATTTCATTATTTATTATTTTTCTATTAAAATTACGAGCTCTTTGAATTGAATCTTTACTTATCGAATAATCATTAATATTTTTGAGCTTTTTATGGACTTTTTGCAATCAATTTTGGACTTACAATTCTAATTATTATTATTCGGCATTAAAAAACGAACAATTTAGATGTACTAAGTAAGAAATTTGAACAAAAATTGAATAAATAATGACATTTTATGTTTTTTTGAGTATTTTTGGTCAATTTTATTAAAACGCATTGAGCGACCTGTAAACATTTTTTTAACCTCAAATTTTCATAAAATGTTTATTTTAATGTATATACTACATTTATAAGGTATCTCATCAACATTTCGAAGATCGATTTTTTTTGCACATATATTTCACAGTATATAAAAATAAAAAAAATTAATATTTACCAAATCCAACCACATTAAGTACTCCCAGCAAGGTCCTAATGATATTTGTAAGCTATGAAATAACTCTTTATTAGTAATATTTTGTACAACATAACGAACATAAAAAATTGCATCTTCTAGAGATTTTTTTTTAGTACATATAACTATCTTATTGAAATTGGCAAAAACTATTGTAGAACCAAGTCTCTTGAATTCTGCAATAAGCTAAAATAAAATTAAGGTAATACTTAATTATTATCATATATATGATTTTATAATATTTAATATTATTATATGTTGTACAAACTTGCATAAAAAGCTTTCTCATTAAACTATATAGAGTTTTTCGTAGAGCTGGATCATATAAAAGTGCATTTGATGATCTTAACCATCTAAAAAAGTAATAAATTTGGTTTTAATAAACACTCATATAGCAATTAATAGTGTTTAAATTTTAAAATTACCTGTAAAAATGTACCATTTGAAAATCAGCATAACGATTTTGATGTAACACAACATCTCTAAACCAAACATTAACCATTGAACGTAGTACACGAAAAGCAGCTGAACATAATGCCATTTCATCATAAGTGGGGTTTACAAATGCACCTCCATCCATAATTTCTTCAAGTGACGCTTGAGGTACTTGATCAAATGCAACACCTGTACTTGTACCTAAAAATTTTACATAGTTAATAATAAAAATTATACTTAAATAAATAGATAAAATTTTATTATCATCCTGAAAAAAATATTTAAATTTATTTTTACAGCTACTATAAATTTAATATTTTCTAAAAACTAATCTAATAGTTATTTAAAATAAATAATAAGGATTTTATAATCAAATGTATGTATTTTTCCATTATATTTACCTTCAAAATCATGAATATGGTGAGATTGTAATAATGTAGTAACAGGCAATGCATCAATTTCAAGCTCAATACAGTATGATGTGTAACAACCTTCATTATTCACAAGCATACTTGAACTTTCCTCTAAATCCATTAACATTCTATGCGATAAATAAAATTGTATGATTATTAAATTCAATTTATAGATAAATGTATATATTAGGATAGTTCTTAAATGAGACATGAAATTAGATAGTCATATTAACTATAAATTGTAAAAAAAATTATCCTTATTTTTATATATTTACAGAGTGTCTTAGGTCTAACTGACAAACTTATAACTTTTGATCCAATTAATATTTTAATGAATTTTTTTTTTTAATAATTATTTTTTTAAAAAAAAAAATTATTATTGCCTTTTTAGACTGTTTAAAGTATATATATTTTTATTTATCTCTAATGAAAAAAAAAAATTGTTTGTTTTTAGCTTAGATGCGAAGCTGAGAAGGTATTGGTTTTACTAAGATGTGTTTTTTTTTTTTTTTGTCTATTACCACTTTTTCTCAGTGCTCATCGAACTGATTTCTTTCAACAATATGTCAAAAGATCACAAATCGTATCTAGTCGAAGACATTACCCTCAAAAATTTAAAAAATTTCCCTCGTTCCCCGTTAATGGGGGAAACCTCTAAAAACATTACAATTTTTAAAATCGGTAAATTTTGTCTTTTTTTTTTTTTAAAACTTCAATAACTTAATTAAATTAACAAATCAACATAATTTTTTTTTTATTTGAAACCTTAGATATTTTTTTTTCTTTTAATATCTTTTTTTTTTAAACTAACACTTAACCTACTCACAAAAGGGTATATAAAAAAGTAATTTTTGCACACAAGTTAAATTTTTTTATTTAAAACTACCATAACTTTTTTAAAAATAAACAAATCAATATCATTTTTTTTTTTTTTATAGATGCTTGATGTCTTTACCTATCATTTGGTATATATTTTTTTATAAATTTGACCCTTTACCTGCCCACAGAGAGGAATTTAAAATGACAACTTTTTCACAAAAAATTAACTTTTGAAAGTGTTCCGGAAGTCTGAAACTTTTATATATATCTTAAATTAAAACTAATGTAATGTACTTTATTATGAAAACAAAAAATGTCGTACTTTATTTTGTCTTCACGATGAAAATGGCTACCAAATGCTATTTTTGTGTGAAAATTCTTGATTTTATTTTTTACATTTTTAACTTTATAATGCTATAACATATTGAAAAGTGTATGGATCAATACAATTTTTTTATGAGAAATAATATTTATATCCCTTTTTCATTTGGCATACTTTATCTTAATCGGGACATTAATAAGGAAATAGCAAATCATGTAGCTTTTGGAATAATTCGCCAATTTTTTAAAATTAAACACTATCAAAAAATTTGCATCGAAGCGTTTTTTTGATAGTGTCAAATATCACTATACTTGATCCAACTATGCCACATCACCACTGTGCCGCATCTCCCCTGTGCTGTGTTTTTTTCATTTCTTTTTAAATTAGATAGATATAATATAGATTGTAGTCTAATAATGTATGTATTATTGAAAAAAATTATAGCAAATTGTTAATAATATCAAAAGGTAATTGAGTTTCAGTTAGATCTGCTCCACCCAATATATTTATATATTTTTTTAAAGTATATGAATGTATATTTAATGTGCAAACAGAAAGATTGGGTTTTAATAAGAAAATATGAAGAAAGTAATTTATTTTTATTATTTAAAGCAAATTTTTGTTAATCTACTGTGAAAAGTTAAAAAAATATATACGGTCCACCTATAATATATACAATGTATACAATATATACATGCAAAAGAATTTGAAAGAAAAATTTAGTTACCTATTATCATCTGATTCACGTCCTCCCAAGTCTGGTTTGTCAGTTTCAGATATCCAAAGTACAAAATTATGTTTCATCAAATGTCTAGCAAAAAAAATATCCGATGCGAATAATGTAACATCAGCAGGTAGATTACCAAGGGGTATTTGTAAATATCTACATTGTTCCAGCATGATTTTCATATTTTCTGGGCTGTTCAAGAAATGGTTGACTATTAAATTACATCCAAATCGTTGCCATTCTAATTGAGTATAAATGGAGTTTGATGTATCTTGTACATGTAATGTTACGATGGGAAATTCATTCATTATAGGAATATTAGATGATAAATGTAAGTAATCTAAAGTTAGAAAATGTTTTCAATAAAAATACAATAAAGAATTGTTTAATTTTAATAAACAAATTATATTATACCAATTTTTGATTGCATAATAAGAATAGTAGGACCCCTTTTTTCATCTCTGTAACCTTGAAGTACTCTTTGAATTTGTCTGTAAACTTGCCTTTCTTCTGTTTCTATTCTAACTTCAAATGTTATATCTGCAGGAGGCAAATTAGATTCTTCGTGACCACGTGAAAGTCTACATATTAATATTACATGAATATGACAATAATCAATGTACTTAAATTAAGACATAAGTAAAATAATACTTAGTATTTCGCTCCTTATTATACAAAGTATTGAGATTAGCCATTTTATTGGTTCTGACTGTATCTGTTACCCAAACAAATGCTTTCTTATTAGATGTTAAAAACAATGCATACATAGCTCTTGTCCCAGTTGGAGCTTTATTGCAATAAAAATATAATTCTTTCATTGAATACTAAAATTAAATATAAATAATTAAATATAACTCTAATAAGCATAATATTTAAGTGTATCTTACATTTGTTAAATACTTATGAGATGCCTGTTTCATTTGTTCTAAAGAAAAGCTCCCAACATCTGGTAAAGCTACTAATTTCTTGGCTGCTTCCAATGTAACGGAACAAACACAGCCCAAATTTATTAAAGCTCTAAGCTCTGGATTAATTTTGGTTTCATAAATTCCTTCAATATCAGGTTTTGACATTTCACACATGAAATTACTAGAAAAGTAAATATTATAATATAATTAGATGTTTATAATATATATATACCCTGGAGGTAAAGGACACTATGTAACTTTTTATGTAAAAGAGTTAACCCTCTTATCTTTGTTTTCCTTTTTATGTAGAGATATAGGGCTGAAATTTTTAACCAGAGGGTTCTAAACTCATTATTTAGGGTCACCAAAAATGGAATATTTAATAAAGATGATCACAATAGTAAAAATATTGAGAAATCATAGAATCATATCTACTTAAATAAGAATAAAAAACCCAATTTGCTTTTTAGAAAAAAATACAATTTTATGACATAATGTCCTTAACATCCGAGGTGCAGATATAATTAATATAAATTATACTTTATCTTATAAAATTTGTACATACTCTTTATCTTCAATGAAATCTTTTTCTGATATTGTATATTTATATAAATTCATTACAGGTCGAGCTCTTGGTAAAATCATATTTACTTTAACCCATGATACTGGTTCATTTGCTTCATTTGACTCAGAATATCTTTGATTTACATAAAATACTCTAGGTATATTCATACGTATATTATGCAGTTCTTCTCCAACCATTGCCCAAATTTTTAACACTCCTACTTCATTAGATTGGCAAACTTGAATTATTTGCCATGGTTGACTTAATAAACTGTGTTGTGCACGTTTTAGAAATCCTCCCAATGTGCCAGCCCGTCCTTTTGGCATTTGAAAATTATCATCTTTAACACGTTTACTATCATTTTGACCATTTAATTTTGCTCTCATCGTAAGTTGCCAATTCCATTTTTTCTTTTGATACACTATCCACTCCTGCAAAATTATTAATGCTAATTATTTATTTATTGAATAGGTAAATATCTTTTACATTTAGAAATTTATAAATATCACGCATGCAAGTTAAAAATTACAAAAGTAACCATAATAATTATATTAATAAAAATAATAGCAATAATAAGGGTATAAATTTAAAATAATTTCTCACAATAAAAAATATATTTTAATATACTAATGGCTTAAATTATTTTAAATTATCTATTTAAAAATGTACCCACATTATATTGTATAAATCTTTATTGTAAATATTTACTGTAACTAATGGACAAACAACCGATGTTAAATAGATCAATAAAAAAAAAAGGATTAATAAATTTAATAAAAAAATTACTTTTTTTTAATAATTTCAAAAATGTTTATTTTAATGTAATACCTAAAAACAATACTATAATAATCAAAATTATTAAACAAAATTTAGTTTTTGAAAAATTAATATATTCAATTTATGGTTTAAAATAAAATTCTAATTACCACTTTATTCCTTTCAGACTATTTTGTAAAAAAACTTACTTTAACATTAGTTGCTGATGGAGGAGGCCCTAATGCTTCTCTCCAATTCCTAGCTTGAACTGGGGATTGATCTCGTTTACGTTTTTTAGTAACCATAGGTCTAGGCTTGATTTCAACATACTCACTGTTGGCATCTTCGCCAAAATCTTCCATATCTCTAACCTGTTCTAAATCTTGTTCTTGAACAATCGGTGCTGCTTTAAACATAGTGGTAATTTTTCTTTGTTTCATAGGATCTGCTTTCATCAACATTTTTTTATGCAGCCAATCAGGATGCTTAACTCTTGGTACAGGATTAGCTATCTGAAATTAATTAAGTAATAGTTATTAAAAATAAAACTACTTAGTATATCATATATTTTAATACTCCTTGTAATGTAGCTGGTATAGTAATAATTTTTTGAATGGTACCACTCAAACGTTCAATATAATAATCCCAATCAAGGACATCTCGAATATCAATATCATCAATAGTATTATCATTAAGCCACCTTCTTAAATAATGCCTTTTCACACTTAATTCTGATTGAAAAATAGCCAATGGTATAGCTCTCTGAGTTACTGGTGTACCTTCAGGTTTTTTTGAAATTATAAAACGACAAGCTAATCCTTTGTCTTTAACCATTTGATCCCCCAAAAATTCTGCTAAACGTTTAGCTGTAGATATAGATGTAGATTTTTGTGATCCATATTCTTCGAGTTTTCGACTCATAGAACGATTTTCAGAAATTAATTCAAACAATTCAGAATCAGGCATATTTTTCCCCTATAATTAACAAACAAAAAATAATTAGTTGTATTAATTTTTACATTTTGTTAAATATCAAATTATTTTTTTTTTCAATTTACTTTTGAATAGAGAACATCTAACCAATAATCAGCAACAGTAGCAACACTTTCATAACATTTTTCTAATGTATCACCCTTGAGAAAAGCTTCAAATACAGATGACTGAAAAATTTTAATTATTTGAAGTTCTCCTCTTCTCTTTACTTCAAAACTAAAAATTAAAATAAAGATAAAAAATGAATCTAATTAAAATAATAAATACATATTTTATACAAAATCTACAAATTCAATAATATTTATAAATTTTTTTAAATATTTCAGTAGTGGTTATAATCTATAGGTGTTCAGTAAGTACGGAAATAGATTTCTATTGTTCTTCTCACTGTCTTTTATGAGAGTGGATGTAAATTTAGAATTTTCTACTAAATACATTTAGTGGCAAATACAACTGTGTTATAAGGGTGGATGTAAATGACTAACAAAAATTTATAGGTCAATAGAATTAAATACAGATTGTTTCCTTCCCTATGCCTACCAAAATATCTTTGAAAATATTGGAGCTAATATTAATTTTTATTTTTTTGAACAATAATGGTTTATTGTTGAGGTACTTTACATGAAAAATTAATTTTCTGTTATCATTCCTTATATCTTCAAATTTTCTTTTTAAAAATAAGTACACTTTTTTCTGATCGCCTCTAAACCTTATATAATTGTAACTCGTTGAAAATCAAATAATTAAAAATATTTTCAATTTCAAAGTTAATAGAGTTCAGGGTATAAGGGATGGTAACAGAAAATTAATTTTTTGTGTAAAGTACTTAATATAATGAAAGCATATTTTTTATTATTTATTATTTATTATTAATAATTTTTTTTTTCAAAATTTTGAAATAGCCATTTTCTTTGGTGGGTTGATAATAATTTTAGGAAAAGTATTTATTGAGTTACAGAGTTATTAATATATAGAGTGTGTATGTAGCATGGATGGGTGCAGCTCAAACTGGTACAAGTACCTATACTAAAACTGTTATCGACAACTTAACATATTTTGTAAAAAAAAGAAAAAGAGCTAAATAAAAAATGGCCATTTCAAAGTTGAAAAAAAAATAAAAACTAAGATTTTTTTTTTTTATTAATAATAAATAATAAAATGTGTTGATCCATACACCTTTCAATAAGTTATTTCACTTTAAAGTAAAAAATGTAAAATATAAAATCGAGAATTTTCACACAAAAGTAGTATTTGGTAGTCATTTTCACCGTGAAGACAAAATAAAGTTCGAAATTTTTTTTTTCCAGAATAAAGCACATAACATTAGCTTTAATTTAAGATATTTATCAAAGTGTCATTTTTAAAAAAGTTATGATAGTTTTAAGTTAAAAAAATTTTCGATTTTTAAATTTGTAATTTTTTTAGAGGTTTCCCCCATTTACAGGAAACGAGGGAAATTTTTTCATTATTTGAGGGTAATGTCTTCGACTAGATACGATTTGTGATCTTTTGACATATCGCTGAAAGAAATCAGTTTGGTGAGAGCTGAGAAAAAGTAGTAACAAACACACACAAAAAAAAAAAAACACATCATAGTAAAACCATTACCTTTCTAAAATATGCTTTGAATAGTCTCAAAAAAAAAATAATTAAAAAAAAAAAAAAAATTTCGACAAAAGTTATTGTATTTGTCATATCCTTATGACTCATTCAGTATATAAAAAAATGGGTAATTTTTTTAACTACAACTTCATTAATTTAAAAAAAAAAATTATTTGATTTCTTTTAAATTACCAAAAAAAAAAATTTCTGGAATAATAGTTTTTCAGGTTCATTAATAAAAAATTTTCGAACATTGACATAGCAGTTTTTTGCAATATCATTATAAAATAGCTTATTTTTAATAAAATAATATTAAAAAGTGTAAAGTAATGAATTTTTTATTTTGAGAAATTCCCTTACTCATCTACTATAGCTTGCTTTATATAATTAACTCTTTTTCAAAGTTTTCAAATATATTTTAATCATTTTTTCCAAATAAACTAAAAACAAACCATATTAGAATAATTGAATTTTTAAAGCAACTTAAATTTAACATCCTTCCTCTTAAGTGTTTTGGAAATGCAGAATGTATCTACAATTTTTGGTACAATAAGTAATATAAATTTAAAAGACTTTTACTTTTAACAACACTTTGAGAATCAATAATTAAAACTAATTAATTATAAAATTNAAAAGTGTATTGATCAATATAATTTTTTTATGGGAAATACTATTTTCTAATAATCTCTTTTTTATTCGACATACTTTGTCTTAATCAGGATATTAATAAGGAACTAGCAGTTTATGAAGCTTTTGGAATAATCCACCAATTTTTTTAAATTAAACACTGTCTAAAGATTTGCATCGAAGCGTTTTTTTTGATAGTGATTTTAATCACTGTCAGATATCATTATACTTGATCCAACTATGCCACGTCACCACTGTGCCACGACCCCCCTGTGCTTGGTTTTTTTTAAATTAAGTTGTAATGAATTTATTTTTTGTTTAAACTACACTATTTTCAATAATTATTACCCTTTAAGTTCGGCTAATGATTTGTCAAAATTAAATACAGCATAACGTTTTTTCAGTTTTTTTCCTTCTTCTTTAGATGCAGGAAGTACCATAGCTAAATAAGGACCATCAACTTCAAAAAAAATTGAATTTTCACTTCTTTGTTTATAGATTAATTTATCAGAATCTACGAGATCATGATAAACGTGATTGGTAAAATGTTCCTAGAAATATTTTTTATAGGTTTTACTATTACATACTAATAATTTCATAATTATCACATAAAATACATACTTTAACCATTGAATTTAAAACTGCATTTGGAAAGGACACAGTAAATTTTGATTTTTTGGTATGAGTAGATTCAATTGTATAATTTTCAGGAAATGTTGATGGAAGTACACACCAAATACCATCTGTATCCAATTCTAAAGGTCGGCCAACTCTTTCAATTATTTCCCTAGCTTTTGTTATAATAGCAGCACCTGTGCAACATACTATTCCAGCCATTTCCATACTATGCCAACGAGCTCTAAAAAAAAATTTTCATGTAATTATTACCTATACTTTTTAAGAAAAAATAATAATCTTTACCCTTTTCTCATTACATATCCATAAAATGAGTTGAGAATACATTTATGAGCCAACTGAAGAGAGTCATACAATACCTCACGATTTTTTGCAGATTTTATTTCAACTGGATCTCCTCTCTCAATAGCTTCTGCAATTTGTTTTTTTGCACTCTTACAAAGTCCTTTGTACTCATAACGTCGATCTCTGAATGCACGCACAGTATCCACATAAAAAGAGTTTTCTTTTTGACAAATTGTTGTCTCCCGCTCTTCGATTTTCGTCACATGAGTTTTTTTATAAACTTTACGACAATACTCAGTTAAACGTTTTTTTTCCCATGTAGCTCTTTCATCTCTATTTAATTGATGAAAAGCTCTAGGAGGATCATCAGGAGATCTTCCTGGAAATTTTTCAGTTTCTAATTGTTGCTGAATACGTTGATATTCAGTTCGTGATGCAGGCACTATAAAAAAAAAAAAATAAATAAAAAAAAAAAAGTAAACTCTAATAATTTATAAAATAAATTACTTAGTTCTCCTCTCCATTGCCAAGTCATACTTCTTTGGCATTTAGCACCAGGAATATTAAAATCGCATGCAGCACAAACTTCTTCATTAACAATAGCAGATGGCTGTAATCGATTAGTAAGAATAATATTAGGATACATAGCTCCAACATCCAAATGATAAATTAATGGTTTCAACAAAGGATAAGGATCTTCTTTAAGAACTTGTAATTTTTTAACAATATCTTTCAAAACCTCTTCCAAATTTGTAACAGTATCTAAAGGAATTTTTTCTTCTTCTTCAATAGCAAATCTTAACACTTCATGTGACTTATCTATTAACATATCAAAAGCTGCTGGATCTAGTCTAAATCTACACGGAATATCAGCACGAAATACACCAGACTCTAATGCTTCAACATGACCACCAACATATGTTTCTTGATCTAAAACGTGGCCTTCATCACTAAGTTTATTTAGCTCTTGTTCTTGTTTATTAGGAAATATAATATTAGCATGGAATGCTTCCACCATTAAAAGACTTTCACACAATGTACCAGAACCTTTTCTCAACACCTAAAATTTAATAATATTTAAAAAAATACAACTGATTTTTAACTTACATCATTATATATAAATATTAACTTTCTTTAATGGAAACTCCTACTTTTAGTTTGATGATATAAGAGTTTATGTTTTAAAAACGTTTAAAGATTTGAATTTAAAATACAAATTCATCTATTTAGTTTTCATAACACTGGAGGCAATAATAATCTGTTTCAATGAGCCATAAATTATTTTTATGGTAATTATCAAGAAAACTATTTAACTTGCATTGAGTATAAGAGTATAGATCTATTAATGACATGAATTATTAAAAATAAAATTTCAATATAATATCACATTTTGCCAATGACAAATGATGACTACTATATACTAAACAGCAAATTATCAATAGAAAATTGGTCAAAATCACCAAACTTAAACAAGCAATAACAGAATAATTGTTCATCATATAAAAAAAAATTATTTAACTATATATTATTGTAGAATAATTTGAATCAAACAACATTCTTTTATAAAAATTAATACTGTTTAATAGTTTTAAAGAAAATAAGTCTCTTATACTTAATGAACCATCCTATATATAGATTATTCATTAAGTAAGGAAATGGGTTTCCATTGTTCTCATTGTTTATAACAATTAACCTGTTTCTTACTTACAGAACATTCTGTACATTGCTTTATAAAAATATTTTAAGAATAAAGGAAAAATTAATTTGGCATCTCCAAAATTTTTATCCTAATTGCTCCTATAGCCATAGATGTAGTTAGACGGCTTTTTAGAGTTTTTTGAGAACCCATTTTATATATCTATGAAATAAACATTGATTACTATATGAATTTTTTTTTTAATTGTACGATTTAACACAGTAATAATACTATTATTTACTTTGGCCACCGTTTATACACAGAAAACAGGTCATTAAGACAATTTTTTTCAAACATTTTTAAAACTGCATACGTACAACTATTATATATATTTCAAAAATTTTTGGCATACTATTAACATTAAAATTGAACAAGTTAGCTCGATAGGAAAATGTTTTTAGATATTATTCTTAAGAAAGAGACATACACATAACTAATTTATTAAAAAAAAAAAAAAATTATTAAGCCTATTACTAAAAAAGTTATTTCAATATTAAGTGGAATGTTTCGAAGATTTTCTTAAATTATGGGAAACGAGTAATTTTCATAAAATTTCAAAGATATTGCATTCAACTAGATATAATTTGATGTAATGTTAAACAATATTGGTCTAATAAGAGCTGAGTTATTCAGTCTGAGTATCAGTGGTAAACAGATACAAATAAAAATACAACAAAAAAATATTTTCAATTGTTTCGTATTAAAGCTAAGAAATATATTTTATAAAAACAACAAAATGTTGATTAGTCATTAAGGTTTTTAAAAATGTTGGTAAGAACAAGACCTGAATTATTCCATTAGGTAACTTTATATCAGATCGTTCGCAGGGGCAAAGGGGCAGTTGCATACCCTTGAAATTTTTTCTAGATCAATTTTTATAATCGTCGTGTATTATATAATTTTTAAAAATTGATTATGTTTTTAGATTTAAAGACAAAAAATTCATATTGCGTCTCTGGCGAGGCCTCCAATAAATCGCGTTCTTAGGTCGATGATCCCAATCATCCTCCTTCAACGCAAAGTTTATTGAACGATTAGTAAAAATTTCTACGGACTTCCTTGCTTTATGATTAGTTGTAATTTATATTTATTATCTTACAAAATATATTTAAATAGGTTTTTAATTTTAAGTGAAAATTTTCTAAAATATAAGAATATAAGTATAATTGATACACTCTCATATGCAATAGACCAATTAATTAGATAAAAATTGTAGGTAGTTAAAAATCAATACGTCAAGAGAAAACTGAATTTCGTCGATGACATAAATCATGAAACTTGAATAAATTTCTTTCAGATTTCTTTATTAACTAAGAAAAATATTCTAAAAATTACAATTTAAATAGGTCTAATTTTACTTTTAGCTTCGTTACGAAAATTAGAAGGTATTAGTTTAACCATTGCATTTTTTTTTTTATCTGTCTCTACTATTATTCAGATACTACCAGTCCAATATTGCCGATCAGTACATTAAAAGAAGCCTAATAATAACTAATTGAATGTAACAATTTTACAATTAACAATTCACAAAAATGTTAATTGATGAAAATATTTCAAAAACTTGCTAATGCTATTTTTGTGTGAAAATTCTCGATTTTATATTTTACATTTTTAACTTTATAATGCTATAACTTATTGTATGGATCAATACAATTTTTTTATGAGAATTAATATTTATATCCCTCTTTCATTCGACATATTTTTTTTTTTAAATAACACCATTTACTTTTATATATTATAAATATATATATTTATTCATATATTACACTTATAAATCATAAAACTTGTAATCAGGATATAAATAAGGAAATAGGAGATCATGTAGCTTTTGGAATAATCCATCATTTTTTTAAAATTAAACATTATCTACAGATTTGCATCGACGCGATTCTTATGATAGTGATTTTAATCACTGTCAGATATCATTATACTTTACCCAACTATGCCACGTCACCACTGTGCCGCGAGCCCCTTGTGCTGGGTTTTTTTAAGTTTTTCTTTATACATAATCGTATCGAAGTGTTTTATGATTCACTATCATATTTTAATATATACTAGAATCTAATATGATACCCACAATATCAGATCCTGACTTTTTGGGGTACTAATCCATACACCAGTTTTGTTTTAAGTGTCTTTCAAGATCAACTGTAATTTTACGATTTTACAAATTAATGAAAAAGTCCATTAAAAATAAGAAATTAGCGTAAAGTAATTGTGCAGTTATTTTTTTTTTGTATCCAGAGATAGAAGCAATTAGAATACAAATTTTGGGAAAACTACATTAAATTTTTGGGCACCTAATACGCAAACGACCTTGGAAAGCAGAATTTCAAAATAAAAATATTAAGTTTTAATCTAACAGTGATTAAAATCACTATCATAAGAAACGCGTCGATGCAAATCTGTAGATAGTGTTTAATTTTAAAAAAGTGATGGATTATTCCAAAAGCTACATGATCTCCTATTTCCTTATTTATATCCTGATTACAAGTTTTATGATTTATAAGTGTAATATATGAATAAATATATATATTTATAATAAAAAAGTAAATGGTGTTATTTAAAAAAAAAAAATATGTCGAATGAAAGAGGGATATAAATATTAATTCTCATAAAAAAATTGTATTGATCCATACAATAAGTTAAAGCATTATAAAGTTAAAAATGTAAAATATAAAATCGAGAATTTTAGTACAATAGTTTTAATATGAATACAAAATTTCATCAAACGAGGGGAAACTATAGTGATGGGGTCCTTGATATTCATTGAAGTTATTGAATCTATTTTAGATAAAAATCTAATGAGAATAAATACCTTTTGTAAGATACTTTAAAATAAAATAAAATACAAAATCGAGAATTTTAACACAAAAATAGCATATTTTTGAATACGGTAGTCATTTTCACCGTGAAGACAAATTAAAGTTCGCATTTTTTTTTTTAAATAGATTACATTCAAGACATATCCGATGTAATTCTTCAGGTAGTGTTTAATTCTAAGAATTAGAAATTATCCAAATGGATAATTACAAAAACAATATCAACTTCTATTTCCTTAATTATATCCAGATTAGTAATTATTTTAATTATATACTATATAATTTTTATAGTTAAATTTTTTCAAATTATTATTAATATTGATGTTTAATATGTTAAAAGTAATCATTTTTGTCCTTTAATGTGAAAGTTTATAGTAAAAAAAATAAATAAATTTATTACCATAACTTTTAGCTCAACTTGCAAGTTTGAAATTGACATCATTAAATGGAAAAAATGGTATTGTTAAAATTCATATGCAGTCAGGAAATTTTATAATTACTATTTACAGAAAATTTTTCATTTCATCCATTGATAAATTCAGGTTAAAATCATTTTTTATATTTATGATTTATAAGCAATATATTACGAAACAAATTGGAATGTTATAGACTGTTAGTAGCACACACAAATAGAGTAAAAAAATTAATAAATTACAAAGTAAAATTATATAATATCAAATCTAATTCGATAGTAAATACTTTAAAAATATTAGAAATGAATGATTTTAATTGTTTGTATGGATAAAGCTGGTTAAGCTACTTGTAATTTGATTAAGGGATTTTTTTTCAATTTTTAAAGTTAATATCTTCAATTAAATACGAATTGTAATAATTTAACGTATCGTTAAAAAAAGTAGGTTAAGTGAGGGTTAGAAAAATAAATCGCGGCCACAAAAAATAAAACACATAGTAAAATAATATTAACAGGAATAAGAAATTTCTTCTCACGAGGTGAGACTATAGTTATGGGATCCTTGATCTTTATTGAAGTTATTGAATCAAGTGATTTGAAAATTTTTTTCTAACTCAAAAAAAAAAAAAAAATGCAAAATATTAATTGCCACAGGAGGATTCAAACCTCGTACCCTAAACGTGAAACACATAATTGTTTCCGATTCGGAAATTATTCGTCGGTTTATTAAATTGGCAATTTAAGCTAATTCAAATTTTAAAGTTACCTTTTCTAAAAAAGCAAAAAAATTAAAATAAATTTAACTTTTTATGTCTTATGAACTTTATTCTACGTCAACTAAACTATATAATATTCATGAAAGCCAGTGTTTCCTTATAAGATATTTTAAAATAAAATAAAATACAAAACCCAGAATTTTAACACAAAAATAGCATATCTTCACCAAGAAGAAAATCTATAATTCAATTTTTTTTTTTTCATAGTAAAGTATATAATATGTCTTTAATTTAAGATTAAAACAAAATATGAATATATCCAGAACATTTTCAACAATTTAATTGAAAAAGTTCTACTTTTTAAACGTATGTTTCAAGTTGTAACCCCCCCCTATAAAGGTAAATGGTTCAATTAAAAAAAAAAAGTATGTCAAATGAAAGAGAAGTAAATAAAATGTACTTATGAAAAAAATATTGTATTGATCCATACATTTTTCACGAAGTTATAGTAACTTAAAGTTGAAAAAGTAAAATCGAAAATTTTAACACCAACACGAGTTTCCCCCAATGAGCAGGTTAAGTGATAGATTTTCAAAAAATGATATCAAATGAAAGGTAAATATCTACGGTTTCAATATAAAAAATATATATGTTGATTTTTTCATTTTTGAAAAAGTAGTTTTAAGAAAACAAAGTAAAAACGTGTCAAAAATTATTGATTTATTAGTTAATTTTTTGTGAAAAAGTTGTCAATTTTAATCCCCCCTGTGGGCAGGTAAATGGTCAGATTTATAAAAAATATATATCAAATAATAGTTAAAGACATCATGCATCTATAAAAAAAAATTATATCAATTTGATCTTTTTTGATAAAGTATGGCACTTTTAAGAAAAAAAATTGAAAATTTTTCGGAAATTAATCTTTGCATCGAAGCTAAAAAGATATGTTATATATATGTTTTTATTTGTTCAATCAATCATTGATACTTGAACAATATCATTAAATATTAAAGTACTTGTTGTTGATTAAATAATAATATTCAGCCAAATACTTTTTCAGTTGCTTTAATTATTGAATTATTTTTATAAATTTTTTAAACCTCAAGACGTTAACAACAAAATCATTGTAGGAAAAACACTAAAACGGTAAAGTCCAAGGTATCCTATATGTAATTAATTAAATTTTACTATGTAAATTAAATTCCTTGGACCACTTTCAAAATTGTTTACATGTTCATATAGTCATTAATAATATTTAGTGCGACTTCGTTTTATTTAAAAGCACCTAGCATAAAATTATAAAGAAGAAGTGTACAATGTCTTCATAATTATAAAAACAAAACTAAAACATACATTTTGTGGTACATAAAAGGTATAATTCAGAAATTTATTCATCTACATAATAATGAATAAAGAACACTAATACATTAATTTATTAAAAACAAGTCAGTTTTACAAGTATATTCTGTCCATTGACGGATAGTCAACCGAGCTCAACATGAAATTATGCAGATTTACATTCAAATTTTGTTCTAAAATTTACACCGAAACTTTGAAACTAATTAATGAACTCATATTAAATTTTTCTGACTCCAAATTTAACTAATAAAAAAACACGTAAAAGGCAATACAATCAAATTAAAAAATAATTTAGAAAAAAATAGAAGCTTTCCTCCACTAAAGATAATCTTATCTATTTACTGAAAAATTAAAAACGCTACTATCTAGATCACAATTAATTTACAAAGTAATATAGATTTATTTCAATATGATAGATGGCTGAAAATAGGACAAGGTTAAGTCTAAATAATTATAAATAGGACAATATCGATTTATTTCTACAAATATAAATTTTATAAAATCTCGTAGAGGGTTCAGATATCTTTTGTCAGTTAGTCTTTCCGATAAGGTCCAATCGAGGATCTCTCTTTTTTCAGTCATTTGATTTTATTTTACACGCCAAAAACATATGACAGCCTCACGGGTGGTAGTATGAATTATAACTAAATTATTCAGTTAACTATTAAATGTACTTATGTTAATGATAACACAAATTAAAATTATAAAACATCCATGGCTTATTGATTGTTGTCTGCATAACCCTAACGTAAATTTAACGATGACGGACTTGTTGTATGACATGCTATTAAAAGTTATTTACCTACTAGTATTTAAATAATTGGGTTATGAAAACTTGATAATATTTGAACTGTCAATCAAAAATAAATTAAATAACAGTTTATAAATATTAATACACTCTTGACCCTTGACCAATCATCATCCTAACATCGTGTGATGTATGTTAATTACACACCCCGCTATAGGATCCAACACATTTTAACTCCTACGCATTATCCTACAGGAGTATATAAAAGAGAGTATTTTACATAAAGCTAAGTCAGTTCATACTGGCTTAGTCATAACTGGAAATCAACTTTAAATTTTAAGGTATGTTAAATTTTGATACGATTATAAAATTTATATAATATTGAATGTGAATATAATTAACTCGTTATTAAATAATACAAATTTTAAGAGAAAAAAATTCTTTCAACTTCACGTCATCACTAAAAATAGTTGATAAAACAAGAAATAATTATAGTTATTGAAATGTCTATTTTTAGAACACGATGAAGATCTATTGGTGTTTAAATTTATTTTCAATGGTATTAATTTTCAAAATTGTATCAGGAAGTATAAGGGTACAACGTTCGCCTCAACAATATTGCGGTTCTCAACTAGCAGATATTATGAAAGTAGTATGTCGTGGAATTTACAACGAAAAAAGAAACCAGATGGAAAATGGTAAGATATCCCAGTTCCCTAGTAAAACATTTTTAACGTCAAAGAATTTTTTAAATTTATATAAATAAATTTTAATTTGGAAATTATATTATTATATTAATATAGTAATCAATAACGCAAGCGAACCTCCTGGTTTTTTATAAATGAGGCTCGGAGCATTTAATGACCACTTAATTAATCAAAAACTAAAAATAATATTAAGAATTTTTTTTTGCTTCCTTTTAAGTACACATTTTTTCCAGTTTATTAATCATTAAAATATTTTTTATGTTCATCCCTAATATATTTTATATCAACACCCACGTCTCAACTCCAGCTATTACTATAAAATATTAATAACTTCCAAAATACTGATCCAAAAGTTGTTATCAACCATTAATTTTCATATTTTTTTTTTAATTAATGAGAGTTTCATTTGAAGTATTCATAAGTTTTAATTTTTATATTTACTGCATTTTCCACTTTTTAAAATTTTTGTATATCTATTATCATAAATTAATATTTATCATAAATTTTCATTTTATGAAATGTGGAAATTAAAATGATTATTTTTTTTACCGTCACATTGAAAAGTACCAACAAGGGAAAGTTGAATAGTTTGTATAACTCCAACTAAGATATGATTCTAATAAAATTTAGCATTTTTACAACACTCTTAAAATCTTCCCACAATTAGTCATAGTTCAAACAATTAGATAAGCATATTTTAATTTTAAAATTCCAAATAAGGCATGGATCCCGTAACATTTTTATAATTGGCTGACCTAGGGTAAGTCAACTGGGGCATTATAGCCCCAGTCTTAGTTTTTAATTATCTCTTTTTTTAATACCTCGTTGACAAAATTAAATTATTTAGTTCTTATTCCTATAATCACCCTAACACTTCTATATTTCTCAGACTTAAGATTATCATTTCATTATTACATTTTTCTTTTATAATTTAAAAAAAATAAGATAAAATAAAAGGGTATACTCATAAAAATAGGCATACATATCAATTTAAATAATTTATAAGGTTTGGGGTTGGGATGATCACACGTTATGGGTATAATATCATCCCTACTCTTATATCTTTATATCACTTTATGAAAAAATATATCTTGAAATTGTCAATATAAATATCAGGCCAAATTTTCACCAAATTTTTAATTTGTATAAATATAATCCCATCTCTTTCACCGCTAATTAATTTTAAAAGTTCTTCATTGAAAATCCAGAAATCACGCTCCCTTCTTCATACCTATCTATTCTTCTAATTATATTTATAATGAGCCAATTAAACGTTTAATGAAAAATGCCAATGAAAACTCCTATTTTAATTTCAATTAAACATTTATTTTATATACAATTGTTTAAATGTTTGTTTTTTCTTAATGTTTATTATTTTTATATTACTATTTTTCTTTTTCTTTTTTTTTGTTTTGTTTTTGTTTTATTTTCTGTAACTATATTTTTGTATAATAAGGGTCAATACCGTTGAATAAATAAATAAATAAATATTTTCATGTAAAGAAAAAAATTAGCTCTATAATAAAATTGAAAAATTAAGATAAAACTTTTTTATGTCATAGCACTAGAGGTATTCTAAATTTAGTCCCTAATCTCTTAGTTATCAGAAACTTTTATTCAATTATTTAACTTTTTTCTACTGGGGCGATATAAAAAATATATATATTCTTACCTAATTTAAGAATACATGTTTCAGTTTAACCTAGAAACAATATAATCCCATACTTTCTAATAATGCACCATTAAATCTTTTTTTTATTATTATTTTTAATTGTTACATTGGGACACAATTAGAGTATTGACATAACTTCAAATTTGAATTTTAATAGTTTAGCTATGAATTGTTACTAAAGTGAAAATTATATTTTTAGGATTTATAAATGTATATATAAAAAAATGATAATTATTTCAAAATAGATGCTGAATTCTGGGATTATAAAGAACTTGAAGACTACAATGCAATTGATTATCCATTCCGTTCAAAAAGAGAAGCTATGTCATTTATGCCACTTTCACGATCATTACGTGCTGCTAAAAAATCAAAGATAATTGAAGAATGTTGTTATAAACCATGCTGGATATCTGAATTAAAAGGCTACTGTCAAAACTAAAATTAAGATGCTAGTGTTAAATGTTTTTAAACGCTGAGTAAAACTTTAATTATTATTATTATTTAATAATTTTTGATTTAATCTTACCTCATCAGGCTCCATTGGTATAATAGTACACAAAGCAAAAATAAAAGGATGTATATATTTCATATACAAATAATAGGTAGCAACAGCATCAGATACTGAATAGTTACAAAGTACTTGAGGTTCATCTGTTGCAAGGCGGCACATATCTTCAGGGTCTAATTCAACAGGATCATATCGAAGTTTAGCTTTAGCCACAGCTTTTAAGTTTTGTGAACCCACTGGCAAATATGAATCTCGTTTTACCCAGCTACATTTAATTTAGAAAAAAATTAATTACAGAATGTTACATTTATCATTTACCACTTAATTAATTGAAAAATAAAAATAATAAAGTGAATTTTTATTTTAGTTTTAGGTACATGTTTTTCTTGACTTAACAACCATTAAAAATTAAAAGTACATTAAGTACTTTTTATGTTCATCCTTTTTATCTTATAAGAGTATCAACTTCATTTTTTTACATGGTAACATACATAATTAACTAGATTATTTATTAGATAATGATCTAATTAAAGAAATGACTGGTTGATTGATAACAACTTTTTAGCATTTCAGAAGTAAACATTTTATAGTAATGGATAGGGATGACTAATGGATGTTGATATTTTTATAACTAGGCATTTCCCAACCATACCCTACCTCCCACAAAGTTATAAAAATGCCAATAACTTCTGAAATACTGGTCAATAAGTTATTATCGACTATCATTTTCTTAATTAAATCATAATCTATAAAATAAGCTAGTTAATTATTTATGTTGTCATTTGGAAAATAAAATTAACCTCCTTATAAGGTAAATAATGGATTAACATCAAAATACTTTAATGATTAATAATTTGAAAAAAATGTGTACTTAAAAGAAAGCAAAAAAAAATTCTCAATATTATTTTTAATTTTTATTATTTAAGTGGTCATGATAAATGAACCAGCCTGTATATAAAAACAATTTGTATTTAATTTTTTTAAAACAATTTTCCCTAATATGAACAAACCATAAACAATCCATGTGCATGGAAGGACGGCTGCTATAAAATCCTGCAGAATTTTTTGAAAACCCTATTTCTTGATCCATATTTACATCATGAATAGCTGCTCGAGTTTCTACAAATGGCCAATCAAAGAAATCACCATTATATGTAACTATAATATGAGGACGGACTTCCATAATATGTTCGAAAAACTTATTAATTACAGCTGCTTCATCTGGTTCATTAAAAACAGTAAAGAATCCTGTCAAAATTTTTTAAAATAAAATTAATTAATTTTGACCAACTAAAATAATTAACAAATTTCATTATAGTTTACCCTCAAATTCAGGCTTAGGTGTATACTCAAAATCTTCAACATCTGCAGATATTATTTCACGGTTATTTATTAAAAATCCTTGACCATCAATCATATAAGATATCATCATAATTTGATCAGTATTAGCATCTGGAAACTTCAGGGGAAGTTTAGTTGTTTCAATATCATAGGCTAATACTATCATGTCAGGCCTATCAATAATATCATCACGGCGTCTGAAAGTAGCTTGATTATAAAGACCACGACATTGTATAGAATACCATAGTCCAGTAAAGATTTTCAAATCCGTAGACACACGGTTGTGATATACAACATCATACTCTCTGCAAATTAAAATAACTTATAAATCAAAATAAAATAATTTAATCAGTTTTTTAATATATTAGTAGAATAAATCTACTAAGCAATTAACATTATAAAAATTTTAAACATGGACACTTATATGTTTATGAATCATATAAATTAATAAAGATAACAACATAGGCCCACAAAGAATGGTGGTCTGTATTTTTGACCAGACCCACTTATCCATAAGTTGTTTGATACTCTGAACTTGAATTTCAAGTAATTTTATCTTATAAAACATCAAAATGACAAAATTTGTAAAAAAATAAGTATACTAGTAAATTAATTAGTTCAAATATCTATGTCTATCAAATTCCACTACTGATTGGTAAAGTCATAATCGAAATAAATATAAATGACATTAGGATAATCTCAAATATATAAAGATAGAAGGTATAATTAATAAAAGTACAGACCATTTTTTTTTATATGAATCATACTAAATTACCTTATATCAATTATATTTTCTAAATGATCAACTTGTTTTTTTATTGATGCAACTTCTGTAAGATTAGCTAATGATTCTGTAAGCATTTCAGTATAATAAGAATTATTTTTACGGGCTAAACGATTTTTTCGAACTGCTGGCATTATAGCTTGACGTACTTTATTCATCTCAGTAACAGTGGCAAAAGACATTTTTATGTATCTTTGTTGTAATCCTATTAAGTGGTTAGGCTGAAATAAACTCAAATATAAGCTACCTCTAATAATAATATTAATATTACTAATTAGTTACCATATCCAAGTCTTCTTTCATAACAATATCAATTGCAATATAACTACCAGCAAATTTTTTACTAATAAAAGCAACTACTTCTTGTACGAATTCTTTTTTTGTTAAAAGATAAAAATATGGTTGAAAAGGTTGTGTTACTCGAAAACGAGATCCATCATCTTTAATAAAATAATAATCAACAGCAGCAACTAAGCGTTTATCTTCATCTACAATCTCAGTCTAAAACAAATATGTTTTTATAGTGTAATTTTTTATTTCATTTTTTAAAGGTTTGAATATTTTAAAGAGAAAATCACCAATAAAAAAACTTTTACTTACACTATGCATATTGATGAGGTAACCAGTATGTTCCTGATAATCTTTAATTCGAATGAAACCATACTTGTTGTCAATTAAATCATTTTCTATAGATTGTTTTAAACGACTGTCATTTGTATCTTCCCTCAGTTGACTAAAAGAATTGTTTAAAAAATAAATAAATTTAGTAATATTTAAAAAAAATTATTAATGATTACTTGAAAAAATTGTCTGGTGGTTTTACAAAACGCCCTGTATTAGCAGCACACATAATGTTCGACTTTAAATAAAATTATACATAAAAAATTAATAAAACTAACATTTAAAAAAATCACAAAAAAAACTATATGAGCTTAAAATTTATAAATATTAAATTAATATTCTTAATTAAAATAAGTTTCGAATCTTAGTATTAATATTTTTACTCATAATAAAATATTCAATCAGTGATATTAGTAAGATAATATCATATTTTTATTTTTGTTTAAATGGCGGGAAATATTATCATGGGAACTCATAAAACATGGAAAAAGCAGTTTAGATTATCATATTGTTATCAGACTGTAAAACATCAGAATTTTCCTCGCATAGTGGAAATTTACATTGAATTATTATTCTATTTAAATAACCACGTCGAAGCGTTGTATGCTAGTAAATAAAATCAATGTTAAATTTCTATCTTTATTGGAGTCTACTTTACCAGATCCTTGTAATAATAGGTTTTTTATATATTTAAATTTGATTAATATTGAATTATATTTAATAAAATTAAACGCAATTTCAAAATTAATTAGACAAGATATTTTTCGCATATGATAGTCATGATTTACTGTAAAAAATAATTATAAAATCTTTTTTGTATTATAGAAATTGTAAAAATGCAGCAAAGCAAAAGAAAATTTCAGGCAAAATTAAGAGTTCTTTAAAGTATGTTCCATTATAATGTAGGGTTGTTAGATATAGGGTGTATTTGTTGGTATATTGTTAATTCTGACAGCATATAACAAACAAAAGAACGATTTTTATTATTCTATTAGAACTACCATTCTTTTACGCCGTCAACTATTATTTTTTGTCAAACCAAGACTACGGCATAATCCTTTTTCCTCTGTCACATCGTGCATACTAGTAAACCATACCCAACTGTGATGCTGCATCCAGCATAAAGGGGATTCAACAATTTTTTAATTATAGAGAGGAGCTTTTCTACACGAGTACTTGGTGTGCATCCACCACTTAAGTGATGGCGTCTGTCACCATTCGTAGACTTGTACAATGTTCAAAAAAAAAGAACTAAATAAAATGCTATACTGTGCGTGTAAGAATTAAAAAGTACAGAGCATTATTTTTTAAGTAGCTTTTGTCTGAAGTAGACTAACGAATAGCTATAAGTTAGACGTATAATGAACGCCGAGACGAGACTTCATTAAGCGGAATACCTATGACTGCAATTTACATAATAATTTAGCTTTTGCTTCCTAGTCTCAAGACGCTGGAAGGTCATTATTCTGTAAGCCGTTTTTACTCTTGTCCATTGAAAAGTGAGAACGCACGTATATTTTAGGAACCCTAGGATGCTTAATAATCAAGACAAAATATAGTAGCATAAGTAATAGTGCGCCAAAGCAGTTCCGTTCTACACCTGGTTTAAAAATTCATATTTTATTTCACACTAGCTTATATAACTGCCGTATACTCCTTCCTGTGAAAGACATTACATAAGGAAAAACCGCCGAACACAAGACCAGTTTTAGCCAACATCTGCCCTCTATTGTTCCACACATCGCTAGTTTCTAATACTATTACGAACAGCTAGGGGTATTCAATATATTTCAAGGGAATCAAAATTTATATGGTTTGATAACTTCAATTTATAATTAAAAATATATTTAAAATATGAATTTAAAACTAAATATATAATAAATATTTAATTTGAACCCACAAAAATTACTAAAAAAAATCGCGTATACGTATTTTGGGAACAATGTAGCCAACATAAGCGCTAAACACATACTGACTATTTGATATCACACGATAATTTTAACGTGATTAATCATTCAGTACAATCTAAGTAACTAAAAATGAAATTGTTCAATTTTGATCCCCATGAAATCAATGTTAATTTGTTAAAAATAATTTCATTAAAATGAGTAACATAGATATGTTCTTTTACTTTAGTTGGTGAAAAATACTCTTAATGGCTAAGCTTTAAGTGAATTTATTATGCATAAACGTTTTGCAACACTAAATTCATTTTAAAATATACTTTCAAATTTTTCTCTAAATTTTGATTTCCATTAACTATATGATATTTGTGAATATGAAAACCTTATAAGCCCATAAAAATCAATTAACTCGAGTGAGCATTGAAAAAAGTTAAACTTCAGACAAAAAACGGGTATAGCATAGGCACAATATTGTAAAATCTAGAAGGGGTTTATACTCCCCTAACTCTGTCGCAAACCCAACTCGCCAACAAAATTATGAAAACTACTTGTTTATTTCTATATTTATATTTGTCGTAGGGAAAGAAATAGAATTTGATTCTCCAAACATTTTATTTAAATTGCACCTACGATAGACAGATAATCATTATATTAAAAATACTTCTGCATTTATGTTTTCAATTTTGTAGAGTAATTCGATGTTGAGAACTATATCAGGTAAGTTAATCTATGTATGAGTTTCTCTTTAAAAAAAAAAAAAGTACGTCGTACTTTGAAAAATTAAAATTTTTTACACAAGTTTCCCCTCCGACATTTAAGATATTTCTTTAAACGTCAGCGGATTTAACAAAATGTCTAAAGGGTGAAGTTGATGTAACACAACGTATATCGTTTTATCTTGAGAACTTTTCAAACAGAATATCAATTTGAATGATACTTCTGATTTTTTTTTCATCTCTGCACGTACACCGCTATTACTCATTCGAATCGTTCATCAAAATTATAATTCCATCGAGTTATTACAAAGTGAAGGCTTTCTTTGGAAAATCCTGAACGCATTAATGAGATTTTTAAATACACATAAGTAAATTCCTTTAATTTTTTAATATTAAGCAATCGTGAATACACTTTTATTACAGTATACTTACGGTTACCAGTTGTATACATCATGGATCACTGGTAAAACTAAAAATTAATCATTATTAATAATGAGTAGTAGTCCTTCAAAAGATTCAAAGCCTTTGAAATTATAGCACTCTTCGGGCTTTTCATAATAAGGGCGATAATGTAATACAATATTTGTATATACACTACAGTGTATATTCAAATATTCAGTTTTGGATACTTATGTATTCATCCGAGAGTAATTATTTTATATTTTTTTAATTAAATTAAAAATGTAAAACTGTTAAATTTTAATATTTTCCGTACGAGAGTCTTATGAAAAATTAATTTGTAATTATATGGTACATAATTGTCTATTCTATTTTGTCCTATTTGTAAAATTTATTTTTTTCGGGTTATGTTTCACTATTCTTGTACATATGTATTCACAGTGATATAACATAATGGTTTATGTAGGACTTAAAAAAAAATTAAAACACTAGTAACAAAAGTATTTTCCATTAAAGACGATAAAACAAAAAGTGGGTTTACATAAAAATTGCGAGAAGACTCTAAGGGAACATCAATCCTGCGATGACAGTCTTACGAATTGACTAAAAAGTTTACCTCAAAATGTTGGTATGTAAATTGTTTATGATTCAAAAGCAAATGAAAATGATTATCGCATATACAATGATATTCTTAAGAGATATTGGTTTCTATAAGTAAGTAAATACCGTTGCAACACGGAAGGTAATGGCTGTGTCACAATATTCATATTAAGTGTGAACAAATATTTATATTAAGCCATAACTGTATACAATTTTAATATTACCGTTTTATTTTCCTAATACAAAACTTGTTTAAACTCAATTAACACCGCTTACAGATTGTCAACATTATAATCTTAGTTATTAATTAACCCTTGACAAATTTAAATGTAACTAGAATTCGGTTGGGTTAGGGTATGGTTATTTAACACATAAATTTGTGCATATTTGTCTAAATATCTGATTAAAATTAAGAAATTCATAGAATAAATCAATTAAAAATTTACTGAATATGAAATTACATTGAATATTATTAATTTTCCTTATTCATTTGTTTATTTAAATAAATCGACTGAGTAGTATTTTTTAAATGTCACGCCAAACATTGTTTATCGATTTGCATTTGGACCATATTAGTTTTTTATTTTCAAAAAGGATAAATCAATACACAAACCTATCACGTACATAATTCTAACCAACACGAGGATTTGATTTACATAGTGTAGCAACTATGAGTGCAATTGAAGAACCGAAATTTTGCATGTCGATGTATTGAAAACATTACAATAGAAATCATACAAAGTCGGATTTCAACTGGCAAGAAGTTTTGTACTTGTAATCAGAGTGAACGGGCTAAAATTGAAATGATAAAATGAATAAACACCTTGTAATGGATGTAGTAACTGTAGTAATACGGGAAGAGTGTAATGGATATGGTGAGTTGTAATATTGGGTTGCATCGTTGTGTTAAAGCACCGTGATTAAAAGTATGTGCACGATAAAGCGCAAATGGAAACTTCCAACTCGATACTGAAAAAAAAATTACAAAATCTTGACAAGAACATTTGCTCTATTCTATTATTGACGACATCTATGAAAATATAACGTATTTTTTGTACAATTAGCGATAACGAATGATTTAAATATTTATTGACAATTCCATTCAACACAAAAATGTTGACAATTTTCACCGTATCAAATAAAGAGTGCCTACAAAAAAAAAAAAATAAGCGTGACGCTAATATTTCGAGCGAGAACCAGTACATTCGTGTTAATTGAGGTCTGTGATAAGCAAAAAAATATCAACGTTTGTGTACGTAACACCCCCCGGGACAAATACTGCAGCAGAACCGTCTCTGAACACAACATTGGTTGATTATTAAAATGAAACGTTGTTTTTGTCGATAAAGAAAATAAACAATTAAAACAACTGCTTGTGATAATTAACACGTAAATAAAATACAAGACCCGATGAAACTGCGCGAAACATAATTTATAACGCGAGAAAGCGATTGCAGTTTAAGGAAGAGCGCTAGGGGGTGCGACGTTCAGTTTTCTCATTTCACGGACACCCCACGTTTCCTTGTCCCCCACTCTGTTGGGTCAATCCCCTCTGCCTCGCGATGACGAACAATGCGAAAGGGATACTCACCCCGCATGCCGTACGAGAGCGCATACTATGTCGGTACGTATTATGTTCCGAGTGTGTATTGAAAAAAAAAAAAACACAGTACGACACATACAATAACGCGGTCGGTACCTCCGCGTCCTGTCGGAGTTTTTATTTTTGAAAAAAATCTTTCGAATTTTTCGTATTATTATTTTTAATTTTTCTCCGTTCTCTCTCCACTGTGTTCTTCCCGCACGGCATCGGCGGTCACCAGTCGATTATCGAAACGGGTGACGCGCGCGCGCGCCATGCCGTCACCCGTCCCGCCGTCCAGTTACGCTAGTAGTGACTCTGACGGCGTGTTCATTCATCGGGTGCAGCCGAGTACACCGCGGGAATCGAACGGCTTCCTAATCGCGAGTACGCGGCGCGTGGTGCGCCGATACGCCGGCGTGCCGTTCGCGTTACACACGCATCGTCCGACAGTCCCCTATTTTATTCCGTTTTTGGCGGCCGTTACGTTTCGTACACTCGCGATTATTGTGCTTTTCAGTGGTAAATCGCAACGGACGCATCAACTCAAAAATGGCACGGCAAAAAGTTTTATTCTCGGTAAGTTTTTCTGTCGTTAGATTTTTATTTTCACGCGACTACAATGTTGTTTCGAAATTCTCTATCTTATCTTACGTACGCACGCAATAATATATGGTGTGTGTGTTTAACACACTTGTGAGTGGTGGTACGGTAAGCGCATGACACCGCTAAAGTGGAATGCGTCAGGGAACTATAAGAAACCCCGGGGGTTTGTTGTTAAATTGCGTATCTTTAACGGAGACTCGAAGGTATTGCCACTGGTGGGGTCCCCTTTGGTCGCCCATTGTATTTTTCTCGGAGTCCTCTACCTGCACGAAACTGTTTAGTGTACGTCAAGTGGGTGGGGAAGAAAATAAAAACCTGCGAGTTTAGAAAATCACGCAAGGGGTGCCAAAATTTGTATTTCTGATGTGTCTAAAAACACGTGTCATTCAATAAACGCTAATTACGGTGTGTGGAATTTAATCAACACAGTGTTGTTATTGCGTTTTAGTTGTTTAGATGCAACGATTTATTTTTCCGTCTCAAAGAGTGTTTTAATAGTTCGGCGGGTTTGCGGAAGACCGTCAATGGGTCAAAAATAATCTTTTCGTTATTACGACTTCAATTAGTACAGTATAATTAAAATTTATTGGAATACACCAGTTCAATAGATATATTATGACAGCACTGCGCAGTGAGTATATTGCTTGCTTCGACACGAGTACGTGCACTCGACGATGTGGATTTAAGATTACATTGCCGGGAAATGTAACGTTCTATTTCCAAAACCGACTTGGAATTAGGTATCCGATCAGTGTTTAATCGCGTAAACACTTTGGGTGACTGACCTCGGGTGGCGTTTTGTCAAAAAAAAAAAAAATACCAAATCCTACCGAAGTGGGATTCTGGCAAACGCATTTAAACCCCTTCGCGGAATGTAAATAATGGCAATATTTAAACGTGTATTGTACTCGCCAACGATCACGACCACCGGTCATTATTGTGTGTAAACAATCAACGCCAAATCTTAACGTTGCACTGTGTACGTGTATTTTTCCAATTCAAACTGGTATACGAGTTAAAAATAATGAGAGAATTCACACTGACCTTGAAATAATAAATTTTAGTGAAGCGTAATTATTAAGTAGATACTGACCCGATTTAAATAATTCGATATTTACTTTAGGCCTGCCAACTGCGATGGCCAGCCGTACGAGTAAGAAAATCCTCTGACGCAGTTCGAGTCGGGTAAGATTGAACAGCTTGTTGTATACAAGGAGATCCACAGTGCATTAATTTAACACTGTTAATATTCAAGCAAACTTAATTGACCCAGTCGCTACACGCACAAAACATAATTCGACTAATTTATATGCAGCTCCATTAATATTACACAACGATTACGTTTGTATTTCATATTGAACATTACACGAACGTTGTAGCCGAAATGTTCATAGTGTACCTACTTACACAAAAGGAATTTACACCGACCTGCCCATTGGGTCGTAGCGAAAAAAAATACCAAATATTTATTACTTATTTATCTGCACTAAGTGTACTTATTAGTGCCTACTGTGGTGGGCATAACTAAAGCGAAAATGCGGGAGGGGTAATAAAATCATGTTATGCTCACTCACCGGCGGAGATTCTATTCATATTTTTCGCCTTATTAAAACATTTTTGATTATCAAAATAACTACACTCAAACTGTATAAAAAAACAAAATTGTGTTATTATTTAATATTTATTGTCTATTACTAATAAAAATAATTCCTTCGTTAAACGAGACAGTTATTTTCACATGATTTTAGTGAATTAGGGCTAAGGTGCTGCAGACCCTAACGCCCACACTAGTTACGCCAGTGCCTAGTATCGGTCACACTTTTCTTAAAAACACCAGTTATTCGAACTGAGAATTTCAATTGTTTTCGTAGAAATGTGCAAATATTATGTTTTTCAGTAAACACTAGTTAAATCTTTCATTTTGATGCTCATATGTTTTTTTTTTTTTTTTTTAAGGAACATCGTGATGTTCAAACAATGGAAGCTTGTGTCCATAAAACCATTTCCAACGGATTAAACTCGAAGAAAAAACAATTTTTTTTCATCGACCAATGGGAAACCTTACAATTTTGTTACCAGACACCAAAGGTATAGGAACTGTAAGCCACCAGCTATCGGATTTCGACAGCCGTCTAGCGTTACTGTATGTTCCCATCGTGCCCCGAAGAAATTGAACTCGCGCGGAAGTTGAGGACAAAAATGTTATTAAAACAATAAAATGGAGAATATAATCTCGTGTCATAAGATCGAGGTGCTGGTAACAAAGGGACAATATTGACACACGACCAAGTACAATGCAAATTTCTTTTTCCCCCTTTGTGTAGATGACCACATCGTAAAAGACACCGTTCCGCATATAAATATATTAATAAGCGAAGAATTTGTGCAGTGTTAATCATAAAACAGAACTCTAAGTTTTCCCCATCTACAAGCACTGGTTTTTTTTGGTGGGTAGACTAAAAATGTTGAACTCATCTAGCACCATTTGAAACCAGTACTTTAAAATGGGACTCAAAAAAGACACGTCGTCACCTATTTCTGTAATTAGTTTGGGTTACATTAATAAATTTTAGAAATCTAATGAAATAATTATGGTAACTTTATTTTTTTACAATGCATTATTATTACTTAATTATTAAAAGACTTGTTCAAAATATAAATAACTGTATACTACATTTTAAATGTAAAATTTAAACTTTTGATAAGCTCATAAAGATATATTTATTTTTTGTAATAAATAAGTAGTTTTAATAATATGTATATATATTTATAATCAATGATAAATTTAGTTAAATAGTAGTAGTTATTTGAATATCTAAAATTTAGACTTAGAACAATTTAAAATATAAGATTATTAGGCATACCTAATAATTTTTAACAGTGTCATAATACGAATTGAAAAATTTAATATTAAATTGTACTTTGTTTTATAATAATAGAAATATTTAAAAGCTATTGTATAATCTATAACTGGTAAAAATAAGAAAAGAGCATTATCTATTAATCTATTAAGTCTATTTGTGCAGGCATAATCAAAGGGAGAAGTCAAAGGAGACTAATCTAGAGGTTAATTTAACATTTTATTTGTAAATTATTTTCAAAAAGTTAAAAATTTGTTTGATTCTGTTATATATACAGATGTTTACTAATTTATAATTTTGTTATTCTAATTGGTTCACTATTTAAATAATATGATCAATTCAATAACTGAAATTAATATTTACTTGACTTTGAGTATCTTTTTTGAGTCCCGAGCTCATGTACTTATAATTTAAGTTTTCTTTAAATACAATGATTCACATATATTACAAATATAATTTGACAATATTATATTAATAATTAATTTAAATCAATTATGAAATACTCATACAGTATAAACTATGATAATAAAAGTGAATAGTCTTCAATATAATATTCTATACAAAATACACATAGGTTAGATGAGATACAGGTAAAGATAATATTTAAAGATACATATTGTATATTAAAATTTTTAAAACAGGAGTGTATACACCAGGCCTCATAAATTATATTAACAGCCCTATCTTAAAACAATAATCATGTAGTTTCAAAATCATCAACATTTTTATAATTTATTATAAATTATACATGATTAGTAAAACACAAGAATAGTAAAAAGAAAAATTCAAATTTTTGTAATTTTAATTATTACTTTATTTTATTATTGTATAAACTTTATTACAGTTTTAAATTTATTTTTAAACTAAGAAACAAAATTTAAAAACAACACTTACATTTGATTTGCCTACACTTAAAAATAGCAATTATATTTAAGCTGCAACAGTTCCTTCTTCTGAATTTGGTGTGCCTTGTTGCCTAAGTTTATGTCTTCTTTGTAATAAGCGTTTTTCTCTTTCATAGTCTTTCATGCGATCCAAATAGCTGAAATAAATATGAATAATCAATAAAATAAAGTACGAGTTTAATCCGTGACAAATTATTATTATTATAATAAACTAAAAATAATGAAAGTAGCTCTGGATTGTTAATTGCCTGGAAGTAAAACTAAGAATTTATTTGAAAGTTACAGATCACTTATTAAATTAATAAATATTGATAGACAAAATATTGTATATTATTTTCAAGTAATTTTATTTATATATATATATGTTAAATAAAATTTTTTTAAAAAAGATTATTACAATATTTTATTAATTACTATCAGCAAGATTCAAATAACTCATTGAAATACTAAAAGTTTTCCTGGTAGATTAAAGCATTATTGGATTATAAATTTAATTTTTATAAGGAAGAGCTAAAATTTTCTTTTGCCTAAAAATTATTATTTTTAATAAAACAGACTATCTTTTATACTGCTAGTACATATTTCAAAATTTAACAAAGTTATATGTTTATCAATAATAATGAAATAGTGTTACTGAAGTTTTTTTTCTATTTTATTTTTTTATGGAACTTTATTTTATGTAATTTTATTTCAAGTTATGAAAATAAAATTTCCTTATGAATTTTAGTATAAACAATTAAATATGTTTTAGACCATCCTGAAAAACCTGCTAAAACTAAAATATAAACATAATGTTACTTAGAGGTAGCTTATCATTTCCTTCATCCTATTCTACAACTATAAGGCTGGAAAAATTGTAGAGTCCTTACAAATTATACACCCGGGACATATTTAAAAGCTGATCTAACCCAAACTGTCTATTATACGAAAAATTCATTATGTTATCACAATACTAATTTATAAATATTACTCATTCTTACTCATGAAATTGACATTCATAATATTCTTCTCTCTCGTGATGACAGCGATGATTAAATGGAAAATTTTCTCTAATACATCCTCTTAGATTTAATAGCATATGGGCGCAGAAGTCTCGAGCATCTAAAGGCATTTTAGCTGCTTCCATTTCAGCTAATGAAGCAATCATTTCTAAAAAAAAAAGTTAAATTAATACGAAGAATTTTTACTAAATATATTATCTAATTACTTTTTTCCCGTCTTTCTTCCGAAAAACCAAAATGTGGTTCAAATTGTGAAGGTTTGTTTCGTAATGGAGTGACTTCAGGAGCAACATATTCTGACCAAGTATGTCCCATTTTAAAAAAAAATCTCGTTTTTTAATAAAAATTCATTAATTAAACACTATAAACGATTGTCAAATAATAATGCTTGTAACTAATATAAATTATCAAAACAGAAAATTACCAGAAAAAATTTATTAGATGCTTAGGATGATAAGATGAACTTGAGAACGGTGACTGATAATAACTCCAAAGAGAATCAGCTGATTGCTTTTTCTTGTATACAAATTGTAATGTATTCTTGTATACAAATTTTTGAATTATTCAAGTAAAAATTTCTGTGTATTAAAGTATAATAATTGATAATTTTAATTTTAATTAAATTACTAACACTCACTAATTGTATTTTCGAAATATTATTTTTTAGTTTCTATGTGTTTTTAATGATTTTAATGAAATATCAATTAGAAATAATAGCTGAATTTTATAAATTTAATAAAAATTTGGAATTGATAGTATCTTAAATTTAGTACAATTAGGACTGCTTTTCAAAATTCCAGGTAAATATAATGTTTTTCATTATAAATATATAATCTGAGAAATTTCTATGTACTATAATCAATTTGTTTTCTTACTTATTTTAGTATAAAAAAACTCAAAAATATTTAACACAATACAGCAAAATGAAATGTAAAGTACTAAAAAATTGTGTTACCATGTCTGCAATTTTGTATGTAAAAAAATTACTTTTCTGTCATTATATTCTATATTATATTATTTCATATTCTTAACTAATCTTAGTTTTATTTCTATTTAAAATATAATTTATTAGAACATATCTAGTATACAACTCAAACAATTTTTAGAATTTTTTTTTAAAAATGTGTTTCTTTTTTGTGCTTGACACAATGGTGTATTTAAAACTCACTCATCAAACATATATATATATATTTAAAATAATGCAAAAAACAAATAAAATTACTTTTTTTTTAATATCCAATTTTTGTAATGAAAAAACTGGTGCAAACGAGAATTTTCTACCTTACTTATTTTTCTAATTATTACTAAAAAAAAGTTTTCCATCAAAAATGTATTTTTCAATTATTCAAAATTAAAAAAAAGTTAATTGTTCTTCAGTTAACAAAGTTTAATTATAAAACTTAATGTTAAAATGTATTTATAGAAAAATTGTACAAATTTATTGTTATCAAAAATATGTTGGAATATATTTCATTGTATAATACATGTTTATTTAAGACATTGTTATGATTTGTGCTAAGTGAACATTTATTAATTATTTGATAACAAACTTTAATCTGGGCCTGTTAATGCATTTCATTAATTCGCAGAAAATAATTTAGAACTTTTGACAATGATAACTTATTTATTTTAGCAAAAAACAAATTAAATATCTTGGCAATAATACACATCTCATAGCAAGATGCAGTACTAAATCACAATCATCAGTTAATTTTGCAAATTTACAAACTATGCAAGAAAGTAATAATAATTATAATATTTGTTAGTTATGCTCCAATATAATAATAATTTTAATTTAATCATAGTAAAAGTTAAACTTCATAAAATGATGGGTATGACTGAAAAATATCATCATGAAGATAGAAGTTGGTTAGCAGAATATTTACCAAAAACTCGTGAAGAATTACCACCTCGTTGCATGAATGTAGGTTTAGAAATATTAGCAAAATGATATTTGTTTTTTTTTTTTTGTATTTTCTTAAAATCCTAAAATTTATTTAGTTAAGCCATAAAATATTTAAATAAAAAATTGAATTACTGATTGAAATAAAATAAAATAATTAAATGATCATAAATTAATGAAACTATGTTTTATTATTTTAATATATTGGTTTTCTAAACTATTTTAGGATAGTTTTGATAGAGCAAAAGTTCCATTAAGTAATGATTTGGTTTTGCAAAATAAATATACTACAACATATAAAGGTTTACGATTGGGAAGACTTCTAGAAGATATGGATCTTTTTGCTGGTAAAATGTTTATTATTTTTTGATTGTCAAAAATTGATACACTTTTATTTTTCTATTTTAGTATGGATTGTAATGAAACATATTTATAACCCAAAATTACCAAAAGATGTACCCATACCTTATGTTGTTGTAACATTATTAGTGGATGATTTATTAATAACCCCTGAACGATTTGTAAAATTTTTAAATATAATATTTTATAACTAATAAATAAGTAATTCAATGTAATTTATAGCCTGATAAAGATTTAATATTTAGTGGACTTGTATCTCATGTTGGAAAAACTTCTATGGAAGTTACTTTGTGGTTAGAACAACTTCATGATAATAAATTAAAACGTATCACCAAAGCCAATTTTGTATTTGTAGCTAGAGATTCTACAAATCAATCGTCTGTTTTAGTAAACGCTCTTGAACCTAAAGGTGAATTTGAAAAAAGAATAATGAATACTTTATCTCGTAAGTTATATTTTAAGAAATTATTCTAATCTTCAAGTTAATTATCTAATATTTTATTACTATAGAAAGAAATGAAGAAAGAAAAAGGGCTTGTCAAGATTCAATATTAAATAAAATTCCTACTCCTGAAGAACATTGTTCAATCTATGAAGTATTTCTAAAAACTCTAAACAAAAAAGAACCAATGTTAGGTGACAAAATTTTGCCTCCTGGGAGTGTATGGATGGATGATACTAAAATTGAAACTAATATTCTTTGTCATCCTGAAGTAAATAGGTATCAAAATAATTAAAAAATATATTTTAATGCATTTTATCATTAATAGGATAGAAATTTACATAACACCGTATTTGGTGGATTTTTAATGCGTGTTGCAACAGAACTTGCTTTTCTAGTGGCTAGTGTTCATTGTAAAACTAGAGTTGTATCTCGAGCAATTAATTCAATTACATTTCGCAGTTCTGTTCCAATTGGTAGTAGATTAAAATTGGTTGGAAAAGTAAGTTTACTATGACTATTATAATACATAATTCTACAGTACCATCTAATTTTACATTTATATTGTTACATTAAGATTTGTTACACCAATAAAAATGTTATGATTATTGAAGTAATTGCAAAAGTAGAATCAATAGAAACAAAAACAAGTTTGACAACAAATACATTTTATCATGTTTTTGTTGCACCTAATAATGTTGATCCTGTTTTGCCTCAAAGTTATCATGGTATATAAATTATAAAACATAAAATATGAAAATAACATAAATGATTTAATAATATCTGTTTTAGATTCTATGCTTTATATTGATGGACAAAGGCGATATTTGGATATTTATGATTCATTATTTGTACAAATGTAATCAGTTTACAAGAAAAATTATATTTAATTTCGTTACCTATATTTAACTCATCTTTCATCTTTAAAATTTTAATTTATATTCTATTATTAGTTGAAAAATTAATTGTTTACTTATTTATTTTCTTTTAGTATTATAATTCTGAGTTCCTGCCAATTTTATTTTTATTTTAAACTTTAAAATTGTTTTAAAATTTTACCTTTGTCTTAATTAGTTAACTTATTTTTTTGTTTTTTTAAATATTTATTAAAAATATCAATTTTGTATTTATTTTAACACATATTAATAATGGTAAGTGGTGATTCATAATCAGGGTTGTAATTTTTATGTACTAAAAATACCACAAAATGCTAAAATACGCAATAAAAAATTTTTGTATAAATTATATTCTTACCAGTGGCACCAGAACCGTAGGGCCATTTCCCCCCAGTCAAAATACAAAACAAAAAATGTTATTTTGCCCTTCCCAACCCAATTAAATCAAATAAAAACTTAATCAAATTAAAAGTTGTCTATTAATTGTTTTCAATATTTTTATTTAAAAAAGTTGTCCATTATCGATTTCAGATTTTGTGATTATCCTAAGTATTATGTATATTGCTATTCTTTTATTACTTGTGGCCTAGTAAATTTATTTAACTTGTGTAAAATTGCAAACAAGTTTTTACCAAAAATTAAATGTATTTTTTATTCAGTACTTCATTTTCTACTTCTAATTTTGAGTAAAATTCATAAGGAGTAAATTGTTAAATGTATTCGGTATAAGGTTTCCACTTTCTTGGTATCACCAATATTTATAGAATTACATTATAAAGCAATAGCATTATATATAAAATAATCCTTGTAGGATTAAGCTATTTCAAAATATATCTCTTGAAAATTTTAGAATTTTCTCACCACTTGCTCTTAATCCCAAATGCTGTTTTTTATAATGCCCATATATTTCTTATAGGAGACATAAATATATTATAATATAAATACACATATTATGTATTTTTAAACTTCTATGTCTATATTTGAATAAAACTATATTTAGTACAATCTTAATTTTTACTCGTTCATTTCATTTACAATGAAGAAAATTTTAAATATTTAAGCATAATGTCTAACTTTATACAATTTGTGATCTTTTGATGTATCACGTCTTGCAAGAGCTGAGAAAAAGTAGCGACAGAAAACAAAAACAAAATAAATTCAGTATAGTAAAATTAATACCTTTTCACAGTGACAGCGATAATTTTTTCCAAAAGCGATCAAAATTTAAAAACACTTGTTTAGTGAGCAAAATTTTCTGGCAGTCACTAATAATATTCCTGGAATCATCTAACCTAGAATTTTTGTTTAAAACAAAATTTGTAAATCAGAGCTTGCTAGGTAATTTTCCCAGCAAAGCGTTATTCTTTTTTATTCTATTATAGTGTTAAAAAAGCAAAAAAACAGGCTAATTTTTATAAGCATTCAGATCAATAAAAAATTGTTTGCCTTACTTAATGATCATCCAATATAATATGATTATTAAATAATAATTTATACAATTTTATTCATATACTTTTGGTAGATTTCTTAATTAATTAATTAAAAAAATAAAATTATATTTTATATATAAAAAATTTGATTTAATGCAATATTTTTATAAACAGACAATATCTGGTTTTGTATATAATTTATAATTTTTCAACTAAAATTACAGCAAAATGAACACTATAAATGAAAATTAGTAATAATATACTAACATTCACGTTGAACAATATATTCTATTAAAATTAAATTTACTATAAAATATAAGAAAATATAACTAATTCTTGTATTACTTAATCTAATACTAAACAATTTATTTTCAATAAGTAAAATAGAATAAAAACAATACTATATAACAGTTATATTAAAAATTTTCATCTTCACTTGAAGACAAATCAGAAGTATGTTCTAATTGTTCCAACCACCATTCATGTATTTCTTTCACAGCTGAAGCTACTTTTGATGTATTGGCTTTTATATCACGTGCTGAAGAAGTATTTACATTTAAATTTGACATGTTTAACGGCTTCAAATTTCTATAGGAAGCTTTACGATTTTTTTCTTTATCAGATGGATCTGATAATGTAGGTGTCAAGTACCGACGTCCAGAACCACTTCCTACACTATCTGAACGTGTCATACCTGAAGTAGATTTGAATTTTGATCGACTTGTATCAGCCTAAAGAAAAGTATTCAAATAGAAATGAAAAAATAAAATTTTTTTTTGTAATTTTAAATTAAGCTTACTTTATGATCCTTGTCTTCAGCTTCTTTGTCTTTATTGGCTGCTTGTTTTTCCTCAAAATCTCGAAGCATCATTTCATTAGTAGCACGTAAACCAGCTAAAAGACTCCCTTGTTGCCTCTAAAAAGTTTTATTACTAATAACTTATTAACTTATTATTATTATTAAATGTGTTAAAATAGTGTTTACATACATTTGCAGCTCTCATTTTGCGTAAACATCCTTCAAGCCAATTACGAATAGTCTGTTTAGCAACTTCTTCTTGAATATTTACCTCAAAATCTTGACGGGCAACCAATTCTTCAAGTTGAAGTGCTTTTGTAATATCAACAGTGCGGTAAGATAGCATACTAAAACGTATATAAAAAATAAGAAGTAGAATTTTAAATATATTATTTTAGTCTTACAAAATTTATAAATAAAAAAATAATGATTTACTTTAAAACATCGTGGAAGGTAACTTCTTGACCATTATGAAGTCTTTCTAATTCATAACACATATGTTTTAATAACATTTTACCTTTTTGTGGATCAGTCTCTAATCTACCTTTTAAAAGACGTAACAAAAATTTAACCTGTATCACAAATAAATATCATTAATTACGTTAATCATTTTTAAAAGAATTTATTTATACTTTATACACTTGAATGACACCAGCTTGAGTGTCATCAACAATGTTCCACGAATGTTGAAAATTTCTTATATCTGCATATGAAAGTAAAGCATCTTCTTCATTTGAGTAGAAAAGTGAAAAGTTTTCCATAATTATAGCTTAAAACATTTTTAAACCAATTTGTAATGATGGAAAATAGTAAAGTAAACACACTAATTATATAAAATTTTATTTACCAACTAAAAGATTAAGTACTATGTATGTTATCATAACATAAAACGAACAAAAATATATTAATGCAGCTGCATAATTTCCACAATCTGTTTGCCAGTAATTAGCTGCAGGTGTACACTGTGGTGGTAATATCATACAATCGTGCATAATTTTATTCCAATCTTCTCCAGTAACAATTCGAAATAACATAGCAACTCCAGTAACTGGAGTGCCAAAATTTGCTAGCCTAAAAACATGAAAAAGTAAAGAAACAAACAAACCATTGTTAGTGTTAAAAAAAAAGATCTTTTTTTGTGAAATATAAAAAATATTGTTTTCTGTAAATTATATTAAAAATAAAATTCCAGTATTTTTTATTTAATAAAACAAAAAATTTAATTATTATTACATAATAACAATAGCTATCAAAAAATAAATACTGTGATGCTAATAAAGTACTTATTTAATTAGTTCTTTATTTTACTTACCTACCAATACCTTCTCCATATTTTACAGTACCAAATAATATTGTACCAGCTAAAGCATATGAAAATACTAACAGAAACATACCAAAGATTATAAAAAAACTCTTACAAACTGACACGCCAACAGTCAGCATTAACATTTTAAGAGTAGCATGTTTTCCAGTAATGGTAAAGAATCGCAAAACAACTACTATGTATCCAAATGAAAATGACAATTCATTCTAAAAATATACCCATATCTACGTTACTGAATAAAAAACTAAAAGAAATAACAAGATTTATTCTTACACGAAATGCAAAATGGGTACATGTCCAGATAACACCCAAAACTGTTACTAATAAATCATAACGGTTGCGTCTTGACTGCCAATATCCTCGAGCAGTAAATGCTATCATTTTCATAATTACTTCAGCAACAAATATCAAAGTAAGACAAGCACTTACTAGAGATAATGATTCTGTATGTTTATCACCAGCTCGCCACTAAATATAACATTTTTTATATAACTTATAGTTAATTTTAAATTTGTGTGTCTTAATAATTTACCGAAACACACAATAAACAGCTATTAATAAGAACAATTACAGCAAAGAATCTTTTAAAATGAATTTTTTGAGTTATATCATATATAAATGCTCTAAATTTTCTGCGATCTGGCCTTGGAGGTAAATGTAAAGGTTGAGCAATTTTAAGTCTTTTTTTCAAATCACACCTATGAAAACACACTAATAGTATTCCTTTTTGTAGAAATTAATAAAAACAGAAAATTACCATCTTCTTTGATCTACAGTTAATAAAGCAGTTCCTTTGTTTTCTGAATAATTTGCAATAACAACACCAACAAAAAGAGTGAGTCCAATCATACATCCCAAGAATATAAAAATGTGAATATATATTGCGTGAACCTACACAATATCAGACTATTTAAAGAAAACCTAACATTAAGTTCTTATATACTCTTAAAATAAAAATTCAACAGTTATAATTTACCATGCTATCATATGAAAATAAAAGTATTTATTAACACACAAAATATTTAAAACAGAAGCATAAAAAAATGTTTAAATAAGAATTAAACGTCTTAATTAAGACATAAATTTGCAGACAGTAAACAGTTTTTATAAAATTACTATTAATCAAAATAATATTAAAAAAAAAAAAATCATCTTTTCAAAAGCTAAATGTAGAAAAACAAAATAAATACTTATAAAATTTTTTTAATTTTTCATTTTAATAGCCATGCTTATAAATTGGAACTACACTGATTGTCATTTTAAACAATTCAAATAATCTCAAGCCTAATTTTTCATTATTCCAAAAATAATATATTACTGGTCCCAAGGCGCTGATCAGTATATCACGAACATCCAACCACCCTTTGAATGACAAAACTTCAAATAATGTCAACATAGCATACCCTATGTTATCAAAATTGAATCGTCTCGGATTTGCCCTTCATATGTAAGTATATAATTTCTCAAATGATGAGTGAAGTTTTTATTTTCATGTAATGAACAATTAAAATATAAAAACTATTTGAAAATAAAATATTCTTACCAAACCCTAGGTACAAGTATAGCTGGATAAGATTCATTTAGCCCTGGTTTAATTTTCATTTTAGTAACAAAGACTTGCCGCATAAATACTCCAACACATTCTTCTCGTTTTTTAATACTAGGATCATTACAACGAGCTAAACGACCACCAAATATTTGAACACCATAACTTGCAAATACAAACATTAAAACAATCAAAAGAACTGACACCTGTTATAAATAATTTAGATGAATAGATACATTATAGTTATAATAATATTTAATCTGTTACCAATAAAATTTCTTTAAATCCACGGCATAGCTCATCTACCACTTTTCTCATGTGAGGAACTAATGAAAATATACGTAAGGGTCTAACACAACGACAAATCATTAAAAGGTGAGCAGGTGAGTTAGTTGCTACACTAGTTGGCATCCAACATAGAAATACTAAACTAGTCTATATACACATGTATTAAAAAATCATGAACATTTATAAACAAATAAATATAAATATAAAATTAATTAACTGACCACATATACAAATACATCTAATATAGCCGCTACATCTTTCATATAAGCTTTTGGAGTAAAAAATACACCATCAGCTAGTATTTTCAAAGCTATTTCAATACTCATAAAACAAACAAATACATATTCAGCAATTTGTAATGCAGGTGTATCCATAACTTGATAAAATGGTGTTTCAAACATCATTGAAATACAGTTTAATGTTGTTACTAATATCATTAACCAGTCTAAGTAAGTCACAAGTCCAAGAAAATTACTAAAAATTAAAACAATTTGGTAGATATTGTTATTTTTTATTAAATATATACATAAAAATTTTAATAGTTAATTTATTTTTTATTATTAAAAATCACAAAACTTACTGGAAGCCTTTATATTTAATTTGACGTTCTTCGCCAGTCAATGGATCTCTCAGTTTTAGATCATAACGGGCGTACACAATTAATTGACAAAGTTTACGAAATTTAGACTCTCTTGGTACTATAAATAGTGGTGTATCGAACAGAGGATGGTTTTCTCGTAAATCTTCTTCTCGCTTGTTTCTCCTCATTTCTGCTTGTTGTCGTTTGGCTTGCAGTAGTTTTATATCAAGATCATGTGGCCTTGCTCTAGTGGCTGTGGCTAACCGATTCATACCACCCATATCACCATTTTCCATGAGATGTTCATATGTTTGTTTTAACTTCATTGATCCACGGCGAATACTTTGTCTCATTGATCTAGGTTTAGATCAGTTTATTTTTATATTAAAATAACAATTAATTTAAAGAATAATTTTGATCCTCACTTTTTATGATCTAACCGGTTGTTTGGCATATTATTCATAGTACCTTGAGCATGTAAACCTGCACCTTTAACAGTAGAATTGGTAGGTAAATACGTTGAATCTCCCAGAAGTAACCGTTGATTATTAGAATCACTGTAAGATAATAAAATTATGTAGTAAATTATAGTGTACTTATACAATAAAAAAAAACAAAATTAAATAAACGAATAAGTAGAAATTTATATATTAAACAATTCTACAAAAAATTTATTTTAAAAACTTACTTAATAATATTTGCAATAATAGCCTTACGATAATCTGGTGTAACAGTACGGACTTTGGGTGTGTTAGTTAAAAGTCTTACAGGATGATGTTTTCGAGCCATAGGAAAAGTATTTAAAGTATCATTTGTACAATTCATATTTTCAAGAGCAACTTCTTCATCACTTTTGTCAAAAACAAATTGTCTCATAAAACTTTCTCGGACCTTAACAAAATATTTTTACATTAAAAAAAAACTAAATTAAATGTTTAAATAGTATCTTTGAAAAATATATTAGAAATATGTTTTAAATTTACTTTAGGTAAATTAAATTCTGATGGTTGTTTATGAATTGTTGTCATTTTAGGACGATCTGGAAATTTTTCAAAAATTCTCAAACGAAAAGGCAGTGTTTCTTTAATCTCAGCACTTTGTTCACGAAAACGTAGTTGTTTCAATTTCTTTAATTCTTCATCAAGCTCTAGATTATCCAAAATAACAGCAACAAAAAGACTTAAAACAATCTAAAATATTAATATATTTTTTAAAAATACATAAAAAAATTAATAAAAAAAAATAGCATACCAGGGTTACAAATAAATGGTAAAGTATGAAATACACCGCAACTAACGGAACTAAGGCTTTACGAGTACGTAACATGGTTTCATCCATAACATCAACCCATGCTTCTTGAGTGAGAATTTGAAACATAGACATGAATGCCTGTGAATTATCAAATTTAAAACATTAACTATATTAAATAATATATACAATACATTATATTTCTGAATTTTAAAAGCAAACAAAAGTATTTTGTTAATACAAATTAACTTTTAAATTCTCAGAATTCATAAACATCAATACAAAAATATTTATGTTATATATACTCACTTCAGGAAAAGTTTCAAATTTTGAAAAGTCACATAAAAAACAAAATAGTTGCATAGAAATACTAGATGAAATAATTAACAAGCACATAGTGAAAATAATAAGACTCCCCAATTTTTTACCAGGCCCAAATATTTTATAAACAAAATCTTCAAGCATTGGTGAAGCTTTTATAAGTCTTACAATTCTCAAAACCTGAAAGTTAAATATCATATTTAGTAATAAAAACAATTTAATAAATAATACTACTATAGTATTATGATAACCTGAAAATAAGTTAACCCAGATAAATAAAATTGAGGCACTATGTGAAGAGTAGTACCAACAGCTAACATCAATTCAAATTTATGATAAGAATGCTTAAAATATTCATTAAAACCAAGCAATACCATTTTAAAAAGTGTTTCTAAGTTAAATACCAATGTATAGACAACCTGAAATTAAAATGAAAAATATATGAGTAATAATAACCAAGGCACAGATATAGGTATGTTCATAACTTATATTTCAAAATCTGATATAAATTTTAAAAAATTAAATAATTTATATAGCATAATATTAATTTAATCAATTTATAGCTTAATGATGCAAGTCAAAATTTATTAGTTTTAATTTAATCAACAGAAATTTGTATGGAGATTAATGTTTTCAGTGTGATTAAATAAGTGTAACATTAATTTCAATATGGCATTGAATATTAATAACATAAAATTTAAAACTTACTTCAATATAATAGTATTTTTCATAAAAAGCATGACGTGGTCGACCATCATGTTTAAAGTTCATGGTAGCCATAACTACACCATTACTAAGTATAATACACATGACTAGAAGCCGAAACCAAGCAGAATTCAAAATTTTATGTCCTAATGGAGATGCTAATTTTCTATGTTTATTTTGTTCAGGAGTTACCAATCGCCAACCATTTTCATCGCTGATAAAAATCTAAAAAGATCATACAATAATAATATAAAATTCTCTCAAAAATGAATTGTTTAAAATGAAAATAATAAATTACTATAAAATGCAGTCAACACTTAAAAAAAGTTATACTTACAAAATAAATATGATAAACCCCAACAAAATATAATTGAGTAATTGTGTCTGATTAGATTAAAATAAAAGAAAACTAACTGGGTACCATAAAAGTCACTTGAAAAATCTAACGGATATGCATATTTTGAAAAACAATGTTTTCATCATTAACGCCTAACAGATACTGAGCCTCTGATCAAACATATATATATATATTTTATATATAAATTAACAAAAAAATTAATTCATGATACATGATTATTATGATGTCATCACAGTAGGTATTTTTTTCAGTCAGAGGAGCAGTATCTATGCTAATGATAGAAACATTGTTTTCAAAATTTGTATATTCACTGATTTCTTCCAAGTACTTTTTGTTGTATGAGTTCATTTTATTTTATTTTTTGTTGTACTCAGTTTTATTTTATTTTATCTTAGAAAAATATACCTCAGTGGATGTTTTACTCCCAACATGTCTTCTACTACCCCATAGTTGTTGAAATTGTACTCTCATTTCATTAAATGTCTCAGTTATTACAGCAATAAAAACATTTTTTACCAACCATGCAAGGAAAAATATTAATGTAGAAAAATAAAAAATGGCTCTCCAAGCAGGAAGACTATCAAATGTTCGAAACATAATATATACCCAACCTTCTTGTGATGCTGCTTGATACACAGTGAAAATACTTGTAGCTGAAAATGAATAAAAAAATATCAAATAAAGTTCTTTAAACACAATAGTAAAAACATACCAAATTCATCAAAACCACTAAAGCCTGTAATATATCTTGAAAGTTCTAACTTCATACATTTCATACCTATCGGGCATTGATATCCTGCACCAGGTTCTGTAGAACAAAATGTATCTGGTATCGCTAAATTATTTAAAGTGACATGCCTAAAAATATGATAAGTACAAGAAAACTATAGTTTTAATAAATATATGTATTTAATCAAAACAAAAGATATACTTGGGATCAGTTGTATTTAAAACACAATGATGTTTCATTTCACCAAAAAGTTGAACACCAAGCACTCCATACAACGACATAAAAAATAGAAAGAACAATGTTACATTGTAAATCTGTTGACTTGATCGTCTGAAAAAATTACATAGTTATTTAACTCTTATGTAATTAAAAACATTTAATGGTAAAGTTATAAATTAAATAACTACTTGAAAATTTGATTTATTCTAGATTTTGGCATTGAAAATTTCAGGAAGACACGTATAAATCTGATCATGATGAAAGGTCTAGGTGCACGTAATATAGATAAATAATTATAATCTACTGAGTTCACTATTATTTCAAACACTTGTAAAATGACTGATACCCACAAGAAGAATAACATAGTAGCATCAAATTGACACCAATGATCTTTTAAGTATGGAGAATCTCCCTATATAAAATATTAGTTGTTTTATATAAATATAACAACATCAATGATGTATAAACAAGAAAGTAATAATAATTTTACAAAAATTACTTTAAAAATTCCTCGTATTCGCATCTTAGCAATCATTTCAGCTGTATATAATCCAGTAACTGCAGAATCACATACAAATGTAGCAAACTTAAGAAATGGAAACGTTTCAAACGTTTTTGGAGTATTGAGGCTTACACAAAGTAAACTTAGAAGAGCACAAAAACGCATCAGTCTTCGAACCCATAGCTACAAAATATTTAAGTATGAATTTCTTTTTCGAGGCAATGTTTACTTGATTTACCTTGTTCACCCATTCAATCTCTGCACTTTCATTCAGAGATTCCTCCTGGACGTAATCAGAGGCAATCATATCAACTCGAATACTTTGCTTACGACCCAACATTTTCCTAAGGTTTAAAAATTAAGAATTAAATTTTACATCATTAAAATACAAATAATAAATATAGCATTGTTAATATTTTTCGTTTATCCCTTATATAAGAATCAAAAAACATTGACGCAATATTATCAGCATCAAGTAGTTTTCTATATATTACAAGGGATGTTTTTTTATATAAAAGAGGGATTTAATCGATTTTAGGTCTAATCTGATAACGAAAACTCCGCATGTTTTATTCATGGATAGAGAAAAAATAAAATAAAAATAGAACATAGCATAATAATATTAATGTAAAAAAAAAAACTTTTTCACAAAAATTGTATTAGCATTAATTTTTTATAAAACAAATTTATACATAATTTACATGAAATTAAATATAGTTTGCATTTATATTTTACTTCAATGTATTCTTTTAAAACTACCTTTTTATAAATATTTATTTTAAAGGTTTTAACCAAAAGTTTGAATTTCAAAAAATAGTAGATGGAACAAGATTTTAAATAAATAATTGCAAAAAAGTAAATATAACAGGTTATTTAATACATAGAACTATTAAATGCAATCGAACAACTTTCTCAATCTAAATTCGGAATTTTATAAGGTGTTTTTATTTCATACAATTTTAATGGCTCGAATAAGTTTTATTTACGTTCAGGAATAAATATACCTCATTTATTCCTAAGTTTCATGTCTTCTTCTTTTTCCTCGCCTTTATCCCAACTACTTGGGGTCGACCACTCTTATCCTAAACTTCCACCTGACACCATCTACCACATCAATCGTCCTCATATCGCATTCAATTACATCCCTTCGTCTTTTTTTGGTCTTCTTCTACCTCTTTTTCCTTCAACTTTTATTTTCATAGCTGTTCTCACAGCTTCCGATTTCTCTGTTCAATCCATCTAACCAAACCATCTAAGTCTATTTTCTATCATCTTATCCACAATTGATGCTATACCTACACTCACTCTCATATATTCGTTCTTTATCCTATCATATCTAGTCATTCCACTCATCCATCTAGGTATTCTTATGTCTGCTCTATGCTCTTGTCAACCGCCCAACACTTTGAACCATATATCAATACCATCGTTCTTGCACAACTGATTCTAAATACTTAAAACTTTTAACGTAATCTCCTATTACGCCCTCACTTATTATTACTGATTTCCTCAGTATATTCCTCCTATAGAAAATAAGAATACTTATTCCTAAATTTTTTGTAAATCTGAATAATATTGATTGGCGCTTTTCATGGAATAGAAAATAATATCATGGAATAAACTGTATGCCACCAGGCATCGTTTCGCCGCCCGTTGACGTTGTAGTGAATTTTTATTTTTATTTATTTTTGTATTATCAGTATGTCCGTCGCACCCGTAACGCGTAGTTGTCCAAGGTATTTGCATATTTGCATATTTGCAGTTAGTCGTTTGCTTTAATAATAATAAGTATCAGTGTTTTAAATTTAAATAATTTTGATCCTGTGTCATAATATATGTTTGTGTGTCGATTCAGCGACGTAGTGTTTTTCCAATGTTCAAAATCATTGTTGAGTAGTAATTTTTAAATTAGCACGTAGTTCAGTCGTGTGCAAAACAAAGTATCTACTGGGCAATTGATAACACCGATATTTTATTCGGTTGCACCTGTTTGGTTTAATGAGGAAAAATAGTGGAAAATGAGCTGGGGAACGGAATTATGGGTAAGTTCTTGGAATCAGTATTTCTGAACATAATTAATTGAATAATAGAGTACATCTTTTATGTATTACTTGATTTTCACTGTCTAATTTTTGGTCTTTTATCAAAATATACGAAACGAAACATAATTATTATTATTTATACCTCGTTTCATTAACATTGGTATTATATTTTTCAAAATCGATCTCTGTTATTTCTCGATCTATAATAAATTTTATTTTGAATAAGGTATTCTAACCTTGGGTTCTTAATTTTATAATTTTTTGAAGTTGTGATATATTTTTGTACCTTAAAAAAATATTGATTAAAACTAATGATTTATATTATCATGTTTAGTGTAACATAATTTTCAAATATAAAAATTTAAATTATATAGTTGGAATTATATTATGTTTACTATTATTTTATTTACTTTTTTGCTAAAAGTCATAAATGAATAATTTCTTAAGCTTACTATTAAATTTTCCTTAGTTACTGAAATTTAAAAAAAAATTAGTCATTAGTCAATGTAAAATTTACAAGATACAAAGTGCATAAGTGGTATACTTATAAATAGCGATTTATTTTTTAAAAACAATTTTGAAAAAGTGGTTTAATATTTGATATGATGATATGAGTTGGGTTGGGTAAACTGTGAACATATCCTAGTAATCTGATGTAAAAAATAGTTCAAATTTATGATTAGAATAAAATTTCTGTTGAAAACAAAATATACTTGTCTAAAGTCTACTGAGTATAGATAAATTGTTTTTTCCTTCTCTTGTAAAATTTAGTTTTTGGGACTTGATACCTTTCCCTTGTTAGAACCTCATTTATTAAATATGTACTTAATAGAGATTTATAGATACTTTTCTAGCATCTAATCTAATTCTTTTATCAAATTTTTTGAATATTTGTAATATACTATTATTTATAAAAATAACTGACTCCTTTTAAATGTATTTTGTTTAATAACTATAATAAATTTATTTACTTCTATTCAGGGTTGTTACATTCAAAACATGCGTTTTTCACGCATAAAAATGTCAAAATTTATATTAATCCTAGGAACATTTTAAACGTTTTTTAACAACCCTATTTTTATATTGATTCTCTATAATCCCAAGTTTCCCTATATATGTCTGCTAAACTTTTATTTCAATTAAAATTTAAATTTGCATTTCAAATTTTTAGAAAAAAAAAAATTTATTAACCTTTTTTTGAGTAATTTTTTACTTAAAATTGTTTAGCTCATTTAGTCCTTTAGCTACGCTATTGTTAAATGTTTGTGAAGTTAGCACCAGAAGTTATCTTAATTATACCCATTAATAAAATTTGATAACCACATAGGTTGTTTTACATAATTATTTGGTTATATCTTTAATTTTTAAAATTTATAAAATAATGATTTAAAATTTAGTGTGGAAAATTTAGGTTATTACTATGAAATTATTTTATCACTTAAATTTAAAGTAACTTTTTTTTATACTGTATTATAAGAAACTCTTCCAAAACACCTTCCTCAAAAATGTATATAAAAAACTATTTTTGAAGATTTCACTCTTAAAAAGTGCCTAAATAATAATAGTTCTTTTATTTGAGTATCAATTCTAATCTTTAAGCAATTAAGTTTGTTAGTTAGGCCAAAAAATTAAGTATTAAAAATGCTGAATTTCTTTATCTATTAATCTAATTATTTAGGTTTAGTCATATTGATTCTCAAGTTCTATTATACTCCTACATATTTTATTAAATTAATTTTTATTCTTTAAGTAAAGATTTTTGGGAGAGTAGATCTGTAAAAATATTTTGATACATAGATGTATAGTGATATTTACGTAAAGGTATCTAATTGTTACTTTTCAAATAGTTATTGTATATGATAGACTTCAGTTGGTTAATTTTAGTAGCAAGATTAGTATCATTATGATACAGTTATTTAAAACAAATTTTCACTTAAATATGATGAATAAGGTTTCTCTTAAATATTCAACATATCATTTTAATGTTTATGATATATTATATGTTAAATATCACATTAAAGGACATTAATTATCATTTTATTTGACTAAAATTAAGAATATCTAACTTCATTTATATAATGTTTCCTAATTTTATTTATTTTTTTTTTTATACATATTTCAAGTTTAGTCATTGATTTGTAATTTATTACATATAATTAAATAAATTTACTTTTCATTTATGGGGTTTTAAAATAATTTTTATGTAAGGATATTTAGTCCATTTGATTCAAATTAAATACTGACAGAAGTTTTCAATTTTCTGTTAATTATCCTTAATAAAGTAAGTGTTCTAAAAATTCATATTAATTCAATATAATTTAAATTATTATTTTTATTATTTATAGTATACCATAATCTGTATATCATAGTTTAAATATTGTACAATTATTGTGTACTCTAAAATATTTTCATGTGACTACATCTTTTCCATTCTAGTCTTTTATTTCGAACAATGGTTTTTTTTTAAAGTATTCTGTTTAGTAATCATTATAATTTAATATGACGTGGTCATCTATCCCAATTTTTCTCTTTTGCTGTCAATATATAATTGTTTTTTCAAAAAAAATTTATCTTTTGAATATTATGTTCAATAAGTACTATTAGTCTTCCATATTTTTTTCGTTTTACTAAAATAAAGTTATTTGTGACTTAACATTTTTAGTTTATATTCGCATGCCAGTCCAAAAGACATAAAAATAACATGTTAAAAACCATTTTGTTCGTCGAAAGAACACGAAATGGTAGTATCAAGGAATATTTGTGAGTCTGTGTTTGTCAAGAGAAAGTAGAACAACAGGTTTTCCTTGTACGAATCTCGTCTGAATTAATTGCGACTGTACAGACACCGCCCCATTAATTCAACTACCCCCATTGGCAATTTTTTGTTTTTGTTGCCATTGAAAACTATTTTCATTTACCCATCCGCTATGGTTTGTGATTACATTGTACATCTGCAGAAGTTATTGATAGATCATGACATTCGAATACTCATTTGTTTACTCTTTGTAAAACATGTAGTTTTTGTACGAGAAAACTTTTTGTAGAATTTATAGATATTATTTTATTATACGTAAACATAATTTTTTTTTCTTCTCCCCAATATCACCATGACGGTAAGTGTTTTTTTATTTTTAGCGAGAAATTATTTTTGTTTAAATGAAATATCGTTCATGATTAAAAAAATATATTCATTATTCTTTTGAAATTGAATTTAGATTTAAAATAAAATTTATATTAAGAATATTTAACACAAAAAAATGATTAAAAAATCGCAGATATGTATTTTGGTTACAATGTTACCATTATCAATACATATTTGTATAATATGTGTTCAGAGAATATAAAAAAATGTACGTTCACGTATAATAAAAGTATATCTATAGATTCTACAATAAATTTTCTCGTACAAAAACTACGTGTTTTACGAAGAGCAGACAAATGAGTACTCGAGAGTCATGATCTATTAATAGATTTTTCTATTAATATTTTCATTATACTTTTAATTTTAAATAATTAGCCACAAGTGATCAATTGTTATTATATTTGAATTCAGATTAATATTTACCCCTGATTATTTATATAATTTTTCAAAACTATTAATTTCGAATGTAAAATTTTTTATCGATTTTCTATCTTTCGTTTTTTAATTGTCCTAATGACATTATTTTTATGCTCCGTAGTCATCATGTATTAATTTTCAATTAAAACTTCTTTACATTACTCTCAGCTATAAGAAATAAAACAACAAGCCTGATTTCATTTTGAAAACCGTTAGCTGTTTTAATTATTTCATATTCTTAATAGTCGCCGTCGTTGACTGGCTAACTTATATGAGTCCGTCATTTATGAATACTTAATTACAATTATGAAATGTTTTGCTTTTGTATCTATGATAAACAATTGGAATAATATTAGTATATTATTTTATTCTATCGTAAGGTGTAGATGATTATTAATTGTAAATACATTACATCAATAGAACAAGGGAAATATCCGTCATCTAGTTTAACATTAGACTATAATTCAACCATTGCTAATAGATCAAGTAGATTACCCGTACTCTCAATGGCAGTATTTATCTTTCAAATATCGCAGTTGCCTTATACGTTTTCTGTGCTTAAAATTGCATTATTGTGGAATCATCCGTTTAGAAATGAAAAACATTGGTTTATATAATGTTTGTCAAACTTTATTATTTTTTTCTTTTTGCTTAATAAACTTGTAATGATATTTATACTAATTTATAAACGAATTCCGTGGTACAAGTTAGAAATATGTCCTAAAGAAAGTAGGAAGCATGCACTTGTCTCTTTGTCGTGACAAACTAGTGTCTATGATAACTACTTACTTTGATAGTCTCTTCATTCATTATATCTATCTAGATACCGATCTAATACAATGCAAGAGATAAGTACATTTCTCATAGGGTCAATAGCACTCGATACTTTTACTTTGTTTCGAACATGTTTGGCAATCACGAATGTATACTTGAAGAAAAAATTGTATTTTTCTGTAATTAACTGTGTTAAATAAATTGTACATTCTTTTTTATCCAAATTGACATTCTTTAACATAAATATTTAAAATTAACTTTTATTGAAAAATTTATTCATTTGTTCTTACTAGTTTAAAAGAGTTAGTAAATTATCGATTTATTTTAGATCAACCTATTAAGATAAATTAATGATAAGATAGTTTCGAAATACTCTTTTGTTCTTAATAAGCCCTCGTAAAATCACTTGCGACTTAATTATTTTATAAGTATTATATTACGAATATTGATTACTCAGTGTAAATTGGGATTGCGATAATCTACATAGTCCTAAACAGTTAACAGGTATTTATTTCTTTAATGTAATAACATTGGAAAACATTACACAATTTATATTCATTTATATTACTAAGTAACTACTTAGTACAATTTTCAACAAGTTACGTATGTGTTGTAATTAAAAAGAAGGCTTTTTGAAGTTTTAACTTTTTGATATAATCTATATTTCGTTGATTTCTATACAGCGCATTTTGTTTTATATACTTAGTAAAGGAATAATATTTTTGTTAAAATCAAAATTTTAAACGTTTTTTAATAAATTTTATATTTTTGAAGTTCTTTCTGATAATGTTTTTTCGACCTCTTGAGTTGAATGAACATTTGAAAACTGTTTAACTATAACTCCAAACCATTCTTATAACATTATATCGACGGATGAGTAATGATAATAGCAAGTACTCCTGTCTTCATAATAGTTTTTTATTATAACTCTATAATCGATTTATGAACAAACGCAGAGAAATGCTGTTGTCTACATTAATTGTCAAAACAACAGTACGCGATATATATGCTATTTTGATTACAGTAAAGAATATGAGAAAGTAATATTTGGCAACATAATTTATTGTTATTTATCATCTTTTTTCTTGCGTAATGATATTGAATCCTGATAATTTATTTTAACGACAAATTAACGTTAATTCAACTTATCGCTGCCGGTGAAAGCGTAAATCTCGTGTATATATATACGGTGCAAGAATTTCGTCGTCTAGTACAATATTGTAATGAGTATTAACACAGCTCCGTTTCGGTTTATGTTTAATAATGTGTATTAATGGAAAAATATCATAGTTTCTAGAACGGAAATAATGTATGCCGGAATAACGTTAATCTGTAAACTCATTTCACTTCCTGACTTTTGGAGTTCACCTCTATGAAATGCATTCGCCCACATCACCCCTTCTCTCGCCATCGCTCAAACACGTGCTATTCAGCAGCATGTAGGTATCTGCTGTCGCACGAGGTCAGATTAATTAAAAAAAAAAACCAAAATCGACCATTAAACTGTTTGTAAATAAAGCCCATTAGATTTCGTCCGACAAACTGAAAACCCCGTCTGTTATTTTTATTTACACTGTTATGTTGTTGTATTCATTAAACGTATTTGCCACCTAAGCGGATCCCACGTCCTTGATAATTTACTATTTACAAGTGTCTACAGTGACAGTATTTTTATTTTACAGGACCAGTACGATAATTTATCGTTCCACACTCAGAAAGGCATTGATTTCCTCGAGCGATATGGCCACTTCATCCGCGATAGGTGTCTCATCGAAATGGAATATGCTGGAAAACTCAGGTACACCTACTTGTAGATCTAAATAATTAGCTTTATTCAAACGAATACAACAAAATTATCCTTATGATTTTTTTCTTTCGAAACAAAAATTATCATTTAAAAAAAATAGGATTTTTACTCACGATAGAAGACAAAAATCATACTACTACAAATATAGTTAAGTTCTACACTTACAGTCATCTGATCTCTTCGAGTTAACGCAGAGGGATTCCTAACTACGCCTCACAAAATTTTTTCAAAAATATTAGTGCTAATTTTATTTTTTAACAATAATTGTTCATTGTCGAGTAGTTGCTTTACACGAAAAATTAATATTCTACTATCATACCTTTTACCCTAAATTTGTATACACTTTCGATTTTCAAATTGTAACCCTAACCTTTTTTTATATCATCAGATATATTCAGTTGAAGCAAACATTTTTATTTAAAAAATTTTTTTTATATTGTTTAAAGATGCTTAAGGGCGATCTAAAAAAAAAAATGGTACTTATTTCTAAAAGACGGCATTTTTATCTTTACTGTGTTATAGTACTTCCCTGAACCAGTAGAGTTTATTGATAAACAAGTTGGTTTTCTATTATTTAGTTTGTGCCAATTCAACGTTATTTTTTTATTTTTATTTTTTTTAGTAGGTTTAGTCCATTAATCTGATTAACATTTAACAATGATTCCTGAATATTTTTCTTAATAAGTTGTTTTGGGAATAATATGACGTACCTTATGTAGAAACTGATGTTTTTTAACTTTAAAGTTATATTTTTGTCCATGTCTCTAAAAACCTATCTGATGGAGTTATTATTTAGTTCATTCTATATTGGCTTCTAAAAATTTAATTGAAAATTGTAATTATCAGATCAAAGTTAAAAATAAAACGCTACGTATAGTAATCATTATTTTCACGTTTATTTTAGTAGCACATAAAGCATTAATGCATATATGTTTACCGTTAAAAATCATCTGTGTTTGTTTTTGAGTATCATTTAAAAGCTTACCATTAATAAGAAAATAACAATACATTAAAAAGTACGTCATCATATTTGTCATAGCTAACGGGTTGTTTGTGTTTTAAGCATTTTTTTCTATAAGTAACACATGTGACAAGAGAATATTGTATTCAAATTGGTTTATTAAATGACTCACATTTTAATAGTTATTTTCTCTGACTATCTGTCCATTATGAATTATAATATAGCATATTTAAATAATCATTGGGCGTGTGATGAATACTATATATATATATATATATACGCTTGTATGGTTAATCTGAATATCTAATGTCGCATTACTTAGTAAAATTGCTCTAATATTTTATTAGCATAAAAAACTAAATAGGGACGTTTGCTTTTAGTGTAATTTGCTAAATGGAAAACCGCAAAACAACTAACAGACGATCCCTAGACATGAACAGTATATAAGTCACTATTAAAATTATACTATTAGTAATAGATGCCAATAACTCAATGTTTAGCCTGTTGAAACATTAATATTGCTTTGTCTAGTAACTTATAAATATTAAGCATTATTAACAATGTTTTTAATAATTTGCTTAATCTTATTGAAGATATCGCTACTTGAAAGCAATCCATGAACTGTAAATATTATTAAATAGAACTATTGATAAAAGATTTTTTAACAATATTATGTTAAAATTTACCATAAAATTGGCTACTGTTATTTTTTGTGCAACATATTCTATATATTACCAAACCGTTTTTTTTTTATTATGAGTTATGATGATGCACCTACAGTTTATTTTGTTACTGTTAACAACATTTTTCTATGCTTCTTCTTGACCATAATAATATGACATTCCATCGTGTCCTGTGGCTTAAGGTGGCGCGCGTTTTGTGTAGGTATTGTATCTACTTATGTTGTGAATCTATGTTGAAAACGCGATTGCGAATGTATGTTATAATAATATATTTATAACTATACTAAACATACTGTAGCTGACTAGTATAAAAACTATTTTTTTTTTTTTTGCTTTTTATCGGTTCTTCAATGTTTAATTTTTGTCTCGGATATTGGACATGACATTGTGTTTTTTAACGGTTTACATTTCACTTATAAACACTGTCATTGAACTTTTAGCTTGCGTGTAGGAATAATGACGGTTAACTTATTATTCTTAATTCTACTACGCCTAGTAATTTTAATATACATTTACGTGTCTTTTAATTTTAAAATTACATAACAATTAATATTAACCTTTTTCATAGGCGACTGGTCAAAAACTATCAACCGAAAAAAAAAGAAGAAGAAGAATATCAGTAAGTATAATTACAAAGTTTAATGGTATTTATTGAATTATGTGTGAACAATATAATTATTATGACCTGTCAAATTTCATAATATTTTTATTATTATAACTATTTTAATATCACAGTACTGTTATACCTTGCATAAGGCTAGAATTTAAAGTGCAGTTGGGAAAATTTTTTGTGTTATTGGGAGAAAAATTTTAGGTGTTTGAAAATTACTAAAATTATAAATAAAAGCTACCTATAAAAATACTTCTTGAAATTATTAGTATTTTAATTAATTTTTTTCTATGATATAATCATAATGTTTTTAAATTCTTAACACGATAAAGAGCAGTGTAATTATTTATAAGTGGATAAATCAGTGAGGTAACCAGACATTTTTTCGAGTAATGGTTTGAAAAAACGTTTTATTATTTTATATATATCTGTATTTATGTTTAATATCCATATGAATGTTTAATAATAGTAAATAATTCAGCCATAAAATTAATTTCGAGAGGGGAATGCAGCCTCACCATCCCCCAAAAGAGTAAATATTTAAAATAAATTTTTTTTCTAAATTTCTAATTTAGTTGAATACTCCACAGTGTCGGGTACTGAACCCATTTTCATTTTTAGTTTTTTTTCGAGTGTTTTTGTAATTTCTTATTTTTTAAAACTCAAAAAATTTAATTTATCTGTAAATAATATTTTGACAATTTTTTTTTTATATTTTAAAAGTTTTTTTATAATTGAATAAATACTTATATTAGGGGTCATGGTATGCCATGGTTATGGTACAGTGAATCATTCAGCCTTAGTGCACATGTTTAAATGCGCTGTTTTTCTGTTAGTTCCTGGATAGGTAATCATATCACCGGATAGGTAGAACTTTAACAGTGACACACACCTTGACCCCTTTCTAGCTCCCCAGCTTTTATGAGGTTATGAATTGTCGACGGCCGGTCTAAAAATTCTCTCAAATCAGGGTTATAGGCTAAGGAAATTATGAATGAATAGTAGTATGATAATGTAAATAGTTAAAAATTTTAAATAACTCTTGGTTTATCGAATAGCCTAATTAATTAATTGATATTTAATTCATAAAAAGCCTAAAAAACAATTAATGTTGAATTTAATAACCTGATAATTAAAATCCGGGAATTGTGGATACAAAGCCTTCCATGTAAACTAGTTTAGAATTTTAATAATGTAGTTAAGAAAAATCCTTACCTTTCATCACATTCTCACATGGTGATTTTACATCAGTTCAAAAATATTACTATTATGAAATGTTTATGAATAATTACTTCTGTAAAGGAATCACTGTGTTATTTCTTTTTAAATTATTATGAGTAATATACTAGTTCTAGTTAGTACTATGAGCTAATCAATTAAAGTAAATTTACAGTTCCATTGATCGTGTGTTATTGTTGATTTTATTGTTATTTTTATTTTCATAACGTATTACTAAATAACACACAATATAAATATTTATAGATATGACTTGAAGTTAGAATTAATAGATTGTCCATCTAGATCAATTTTTTACATTATTAATAATTTAATACAATATGTACTCATATGTATGTTTTTCTAGTTATTTCCCATTTTCTTAGAAACTGCGAATCCAAATTATAAGTGTTATCTTTACAGAATTCAAAGTAAAATAGTAAATGAAAATTTTCCATGGATTTTAATCTATTTTCGATCCATTCAATCTGCTTAGTTAATTTATAAACAAAAAATCAATTGATAAATTATTTCAACCATTTATTTGATGTTGATCATCTTTTAGTTACCTAATAATTCTATAATTAGTCATTTGTTACGTGAAAACTAGAAACTACGCAAAATAATATTTTAAATTTAAGGTCGTTTAACTGATATGCATGTCATAATTGGGTACAATTTTTATAATAATTAACTGTTGTAATTTGCTGATAATTTATTGTATTTAATTGCTATTCTAAAAAGAAATGTGATCGAAGAGAATAATCTATAATAATCATTATTGTAATGTTAAATTTTTGAGAGTTTTTTTTTTTAATTTATCTCTCATTTGTGCTTGAGATATCTGTTGCCATAGTATGGCTTTGAGGCTAGGATGAGGAATTTAACTATATTCTAAAATATACAGGTCACTGTAATGCTAGTGTATCATATGAATGGTAGAAGATCTGTATATGAGTTAATAGAAGTCGGAAATACTGGTTTAAAATACTTCTGAAGACTCGTTTATGATATGATATTTAATTTGGCTATAGTTATTGCTTACAACAAGTTCAATAGTCTCTAAATGTCATTATCTACTTCGCTTTAGTAATAGCAGTACAACGACAACTGACGATCACTTACTTACACTGTTTAAATAACTGACGCCTTGTGCTCTAACAATATTTCATTTAATTAAAGGCAAATATCCTATTATAAGTCTTAAAATGGATTTTATTTTAAAGTTTAAGAATTTTCTTTATTGATGTATGATAATTACGAAGGAATCAAATAAATTCCTTTAAATTGTTCGTTATAAATACATAATCCGGGCGTGGTGGGGCGTAGTGAATCATTCAGTAACCGCCTTAACACTAATGTTCAACTACGCTGTTTGCTGTTAGTTCTCGGATGGGTGACTTTTCGGGAACAGTGACACTTACCTTACCCTCTTACTGGCTCCTCAGCTATGAGGTTACGACAGGTCGACAACAAATTTTTGTCAAATCGTTGTAAAGTAGATTTCCGTATTTTTGTGTTTAAATTAAACTTAAGAAATTTGAGGAATAAATTCTTTACACATTTTGATTAAATTAAAAAATCTAACATTACAACATTACATGCAATTTTCTTATTTATTCGAAACTTTGACCACCTTCCATGATTTGTGTTATTTCTGTATAATTATCCATCGCGATTTTTAATATGTATAGTTTTACAATCATCACCTGTTGTTCAAATGTTATCTTATTGAGAATATTGACTTTGGATACATTTAGTCATTTAAACTGAATGGTCGAAACTAAATAACAAATTCACACATAAATGATAAAAAAAAATTCTTATCTATAGTCGGCGTTTAAGTTTCATAGGTCGAGTTCGAAAGAATGAATTTAAGACTCATTTGCGTTGTTAAATTACTTATTGTAAGTCTCGACGGTGTTGATATTAACGGTGTACTTATAGTATTCTATTATAACGTTAATTGTACGAGTATAACATAATAATTACTATGCAAAACATACGGGAATCAAGATATTTTAACTGCATACATATCTCGTCACACCAGTTAACTCCAATGACACACTTATCCCAAATCTCCACTGCGAGGAACGTTCTGTTATGTTTTTAATGTAGTTTATCAAAAACCGTATACAATTCTTGAAAAACATCTATTAGTTCGGATTCTCCTTTATCCCGTTAGTCATATGTTTATTTCAAGAGTTGCAACCCATAGGGAAATCCACTCTTACAAAACGCACACTATTTCCTAAATTTTCATGGTTAAAAGCTCCCACGGAATGAGTCATAACGATGACGTAATGCCCGTAATTTGGTGTTCGATAGCAAGGGAAGGGGATACGATCCCTTTCCTGCCTCTCACCAATTACTATTGCCCTGGCGCTATACTGTCTACAATAAAATGTACACAAAACAAACGGGACTTATCCCCTTTCGGAGGGGACATTTTCTACATAAAATTTTTTGAAAACTTATTTATTTTAGCTTAGTGACTTCTACTTACTATGTATATATTCTTATTCGTTTGTAACTAAAAGGATTAATTTTCCAAGACTGACTAATTTGGAGCACTTGCCTAGATTAATAGCTCAATAAAATATTGGCGCTTTTATGATTTAGTGCTGATTCACTTACCTATGGACAACTTAATGTATTATCGTTTACTGATAAATAACGTTCTCGTTGGTGTATTATTGTTTGTTATCATTTATTACTGCTGCTGTGGAATGCGATAGACTCAAACAAAAAACTCCTCAATTGCAATGAATATACTTAATTTTTAATGATTATAGTAGCACATTTAATTAATTATTTTCACTAGAAACACTGTTATTTTTTTTACATATACAGAATAGAACATATCTAACTAACAGTTCATAACTTTTTTTATATAAACATTTCACTGAATTTTTTTTAGCTTCGATGCGAAGCTGAGAAGGTATTGGTTTTACTATGATGTGTTTTTTTTTTTTTTGTGTCTGTTACCACTTTTTCTCAGCTCTCACCGAACCGATTTCTTTCAACGATACGTCAAAAGATCACAAATCGTATCTAGTCGAAGACATTACCCTTAAAAATTGAAAAAAATTCCCTCGTTCCCCGTAAATGGGGGAAACCTCCAAAAAAATTACAAATTTAAAAATCGCTAATTTTCGAAATTTTTTCAATTTTTTTTACTAAAAACTGCCGTAACTTTTTCAAAAATGAACGTATGAATATAATTTTTTTTTTATATAGATGCTTAATGTCTTTACCTATCATTTGGTATTTTTTTTTTGTAAATTTGACCTTTTTTCTGCCCACAGGGGGGGATTTAAAATGACAACTTTTTCACAAAAAATTAACTTTTTCAACATAACTTTTGAAAATGTTCCGGAAGGTCTGACACTTTTATATATATCTTAAATTAAAGCTAATGTAATATACTTTAATTTGAAAAAAAAAATTTGACCTCTGGACTTGTTTTCACAGCGAAAATGGCTACCGAATTNTTTTGAAAATGTTCCGGAAGGTCTGACACTTTTATATATATCTTAAATTAACGCTTATGTAATATACTTTAATTTGAAAAAAAAAAAATTTGACCTCTGGACTTGTCTTTACGGCGAAAATGACGTCACCACTGTGCCGCGACCCTCCTGTGCTGGGTTTTTTTTAAAAATAATTATTACAATAGAGTATTTATAAATTAAATTTTTTATTTCTTCTTTTTAAAAATAATAATAATAAAATGATGAAAACTAATTTGCTTTAAACATTTTTTCAAAACACTTAAAAATAACCGATTTTAATAGCTTTTCTTGCAAAAATTTCAATGGATCAATAACAATTTTAAAGCGAGTACTTGTTGAATTACATATTTTGAGTGGGTCTGTAGTGTGATTGGATTATGCATTATAATTTATAAATATACACCACTACAAACTGTATTCATTCTACTTACATGCCTATTGTATGTATTAAAATGCTTGATAACCAATAAGTAGTAAGGCTAACATTTATATTGACCTATTACATTTAAAAAAAAAAAAATCTGAAAGACTTATTTATTGAAAATATTAATTAAAATATTTCGTTTTTAATATTAAAAAACAAATAATAAAAAAACCCAGCACAGGGGGGTCGCGGCACAGTTGTGACGTGGTATAGTTGGATCAAGTATAATGATATCTGACAGTGATTAAAATCACTATCAAAAATAAACGCTTCGATGCAAATCTTTAGATAGTGTTTAATTTTAAAAAAATTGGTGTTTTATTCCAAAAGCTACTTGATCTGCTGGTTCCTTATTAATATCTCGAATAGATAAAGTATGTCGAATGAAAAAGGGTTTATTCAAAAATATTATTTCTCATAAAAAAATTGTGTGGATCCATAAACTTTTCAATAAGTTATAGCATTATAAAGTTAAATATAATATAAATAATAAAATCGAGAATTTTCACACGAAAATAGCATTCAGTAGTCATTTTCGCCGTAAAGACAAGTCCAGAGTTCAAATTTTTTTTTTTCAAATTAAAGTATATTACATAAGCGTTAATTTAAGATATATATAAAAGTGTCAGACCTTCCGGAACATTTTCAAAAGTTAAGTTGAAAAAGTTAATTTTTTGTGAAAAAGTTGTCATTTTAAATCCCCCCCTGTGGGCAGGTTAAGTGTCAGATTTACAAAAAAAATATACCAAATGATAGGTAAAGACATCAAGCATCTATATAAAAAAAAATTATATTGATATGTTCATTTTTGAAAAAGTTACGGCAGTTTTTAGTAAAAAAAATTGAAAAAATTTCGAAAATTAGCGATTTTTAAATTTGTAATTTTTTTGGAGGTTTCCCCCATTTACGGGGAACGAGGGAAATTTTTTCAATTTTGAAGGGTAATGTCTTCGACTAGATACGATTTGTGATCTTTTGACGTATCGTTGAAAGAAATCCGTTCGGTGAGAGCTGAGAAAAAGTGGTAACAGACACAAAAAAAAAAAACACATCATAGTAAAACCAATACCTTCTCAGCTTCGCATCGAAGCTAAAAATATAATTTATAAATGGTCTATACATACATATATTGTTTTTAAAAAATTACAGTGAAATTATTAATTGTGTCAAAAGTTATAAGAATTGTAAGTTCTACCCGGTACATGCTACATGTTTATATATGTATTAAATTTGTATATAAATGTAGTATTATGTAATTAGTTATTATACATTAGATGCAACTAGTTGTGCAATGAGATACTTGGTTAAATTCCCACGTTTTCTACACTAGACTCAAACAATAAAAGTCCGTTATAAATGATAAACTTCAAAGAACTGTCGCTTTCTTTGAGATTATTCAAGCTAATAATAATAATCCTACATAGATCTCTATACGAAATTTTTTGTAGACAATTAAATTAAAATTTGGTATCAGCTTTGTCTATCTAGGGGTGAGAAAATCCCGAAAGTATAATAGTGCAGCTTTGTATTCTATTGTGTTATATCTTCTGGTATTATTAATTTATTGTATAGAAACGCCAGTACGTATGAAGTACGAAACAAAAAATATTAACACTCGTAATAAATTTAAGGTCATTTTCTTTAGACGACCATTGAATACCTATTGTTGTCTAGCCTCTTCATTGATACTGTTAACGATACTCAATTGTATCTTTTCTATTTTTGCTTTAAATTTAACGTCGATTTATTATTTTATTTAACAGGTATAGTACGTGTAAAGCGTTCAAGGGAATGCTGTGCGAAGTAAACGATTTAGCGGGACAACACGAAGTAATCGCCGAAAATCTTCAGTCTGATGTGATCAGGGAAATAAATTTCCTAGTAAAAGATATCAAAGAAGAAAGGAAAAAGGTAATCCCTCTCTGCAATCTAAAGTGTTTGTTAAGATTGTATTTGAGGTCTATAAGCTATATAACATTGTGTTCTTGGTACACCTTAGTTACTTCAAGACAGCGCCAAGTATGTCGCCATGATCAACAATCAAGTGGCTTCATTGGAACGTTCACGAAAAAATTACGAGAAAGCATTTAAGGAGGCTGAAAGAGCTCTAGACAATTTTCAACGAGCCGATGCTGATTTAAACTTATCCCGAGCTGAAGTTGAAAAACAGAGAATGAATATGGCAATAAAAAATCAACATTGTGAAGAATCCAAAAATGAATATGCTAATCAGTTACAAAAGACTAATGAGCTTCAAGTTAGTATAGTTACTTATTATATTCAAATAAATGCCGTGTTTGGCCTCTCATTAAAATTTTTTTGGTTTAACTAAACACATGGCTATTAGAAGAATCGTCTGTATTATCTAATTGGAACAAATGAATCTTAATTGATTTCTAAAGTGTAAATTCTATAAATCGAAGCTGTAAAAACGTTTGAGTATTCGTTGCTCAATAGAAATACTTAACTATTATCTATTTTGGACATTTTTCAAATAAACAATTCTATTTAAACAATAGATTGTTTACTTTAAAAAATATTTTTTATGTATTATTCTTAATAATTACCTAAAGATATTATTACCTAAAATAATTATTAATTTTTTTTTTCTTAATTCTGAGTTAATACGATTTATTTACCTACTGGAAATACATCGTTTCTTAAATAAGCATTGATATTTAAAAACAAAATAAATCCCCGTACAATAACTGTAAAATGAGTAGGTAGACTTGCGTAGTTATTGAATCAATGAATAAAAATTATCAAGGGAGTGTTCTTAATAATTCTGGTGGGCTGACACTTTTTAGCGTTACTGCCCCCATTCTCCAGGTGTCCTCCGGATTAATGCTCTTGATTCCTATCATTATTGATAATTTACTTTTAATTTTTACTTATTTTAAAATACTTTTTATTACAGAGTCAACATTATAAAGCTTTAATGCCCGAAGTGTTTAGGCAGCTGCAGGAACTCGACGAAAAACGAATACGCAATGTTAGACATTTTATGGCACATTCAGCAGACGTCGAACGCAATGTTTTTCCAATTATTAATAAATGTTTAGATGGAATTATCAATGCAGCCAATCAAATCAATGAAAAACAAGTAAATATTTTATTTTAATTGACAAAACTATAAAATCATTTTCAAACCTTTTTTAAATATAAAATTATGCTTCATTAAATAATAATGAATCATACATTGTTACAAATTATAGATGAACTTTTTATTTTTTCTATAAATTTTTTTTCTTTGTGCATTTTGACGTGAATCGACTAAACATTATTTAGTAGATAAAACTAAGAAATATAATTGTTTTTTAAAACAANTGAATCGACTAAACATTATTTAGTAGATAAAACTAAGAAATATAATTGTTTTTTGTAACAAGTTTGTTTTCAAACTTTTAGGATACTATTTTAGTAATAGAAAGATATAAATCTGGCTTCGAACCACCAGGAGATTTTCCATTTGACGATTTAAGCCGCGGTGGTGAATCTACTCCACTTGTTATTTCTGGTGGTCATACGACATTATCATCAGGTAATGGTGCCCACAGGACGGATTCAATGACCGTCAAGGGCACTATGTCGGCGGGCAAACTGAAAAAACGTGTGGGCCTATTTGCCATATTTAGCTCCAACAAGGTACATATACAAAAGCATTATTAAATATTATGTCACTTATCTTACATGGTTATGGTTAAATAATATTCTAACATAATTTTTCTTTATTATGTTCAAAAAAAAAAAATATGCGAAACACCTTTCTTCTTGATTTATCAATTTTCCTGTAAGTAATATATTTGAAAAAAAATCGTTTATATTGAAATTATTCATAACACATTGCTTTTCAATTTTTTATTTAATAATTGTTGCTTTATTACACGTATTTATTATAAATATGTAAATATTGTACAAAGAATCACAGTTATAATCCTATATGACTTAATAATTTCTATTTAATATTTATCACTCATTGAGTAAAATAAATCTGTTTTATTAATCCATTATACCGCTTACAGACATTTTACACACATATTAACGATATATTATTTAAATTATCATTATTAATAAAAATAAATTATGCTTGGTTTAATCACGCTATGCTTATATTTTACATGCACACGGAAGTTAATGGATGTTTGCAGTTCAGTTAAGGTATAAAAAAATTTTGGATTTTTTTTTTATTTATTTTGGAATGTAAATGTTCTGTGTGGGTTGTTTTTCAGACTGCACTAATAGTTATTGTTATATTTATATATATATATATATATGTATAATTTTTACTAACAGATGTAACTTAATTAATAATTAGAGATAATTAATCAAAAATATGCTTTTAACATAGTCTAAGAATGTAATAATTATTTTTGAAAAAATCACTATGAAATTATAACAATGTAAAAAGTTATTAAAGTTCTTAGATCTGATCACTATGTTTATAATGGTCTATGATGTTTTGATAAACTTAATAACTTTTGATTTACTGAATATTTTACATCATATTTTATATTATACTTAAGGATTATGAAAATATCATTAGAAATAATATTTCTTTAATTTATTGAAAAACAGTATATATTCTTTAGAGTATATCTTTTTAGAGTAGATGATATGGGAGATCATGTCAATTGGAAGTTTAGGATAAGGGTGGCCGACCCCAAGTAGTTGGGATTATGGCAAGGAAAAAGAAGAAGATAAAATATGTAAAAAAAAAAAAAAAACATTAAGAAAAAATTTGATTATAAAATATTTTATCAATATTCAGTAGAAAATTTTTAATTTCCTCAAAAAAATATCTGGATATATCTTCTAAGTATTTCACAAAATAAAAAAATATTATTTTTGATGATATTTTTATAGTTCTAAAATATAATATTAATTTTAAAAAATATATATGTAACACCGAATATTAATCTACTATAGATTGAATATTATTAAATTTGTCATAACAATATGGACCATCTGCATGTATATATAGAGTGTTTAGTAAGTAAAAAAAAAGGTCTAGGTTTTCATTGTTCCTAACAATTGACCTGTTGCATTACATTTTTAACATTCTGTATATAATATTTATATATTTAATATCATAGTTTTTTCTCTTAATGCTAAGGTCACCCAAACGTGTTGATGATCGATTATTGTACATATTAAATAACATAAATATACTATAATGAATCGCTACCCAGACAACAACACTTATTTCTAAAAGCACATTTTTCAAGAAATCCAAAAATGAAACATAATGTCTTATATAAAACTAATAGATATTATCACTTTTATTAGATTTATAAGTTTACCAGTTTAACACGTTACAGAAATAGTCTTAATAATTTATGTTTCTTGTAGAATTACCATCATTTCTGTAATAAAAAGTACAAATTACACTGTATACACATGAGTCATGATGATTTTCAAACCAATAGCTTTTGATCTAATTATCATTTTGCTTAAATATATATATATATATATTTTAATTAATTATTAAGATAGAGAAATAGTCTTTTTAATCCTCATGATTAATTTGTTATATATCCGATATTATTAATTTAATGTACATATTATTGTCTAAATTAGTGAATATGCTATAGCTAAGTGACATTGTAATTTTTTTAATGCAAACAAAATAACTTTTTAGCTTATCACTTGTTCATAATTTTATTGCCTTAAATTAAATGTATATAATATATACAAAGTAGAAAAGTATAATTTATATAAAATGATTATTGTATACTAAAATTTCAACCGTTAATGTAAACTTAAAAATAATAAACATAGACCAATAATAATATTGGTTAGTTTGGGTTGAATTGTAAGCAATGCATAATTTTCATTTTACTCATAACATATCATTAGCATTAAAAATCACTGATTATACATACATCACACAGACACATACATTTAACACTATTCATTAATTATTATTGTTTATTTTAATAATAAATTTTAATGTAATTAACAGAATAATCTTTCAAATTCTGGTGATAAGGATGACTATAGTGAACTTCCCCCAAATCAACGTAGAAAAAAAATTCTTCAAAAACTAGATGAAATACAAGCAAAATTACATCAAGAAATAGCAGCTAAGTATGATAGTCCATTTTAAAATTAATATTTATTTATGTTACCAAAAATGTTTATAAGTTTTTCTAAAATGATAAACAAATGCAATGATAGAAATTCATATAAATGTTAAATAATTAATTATTCCACTTTAAATAATATTGTTAATATTTATTAGTTAATGTTATAATGTTTTAACCATAATAGAAATTTTAAATCTTTTCAAAAAAATGAAATCATTATCTAATTCAACATTTTGGAATTCACATGCTTGTCTTTATATTTATCATAAATTTATAAATTATATAGAGATGGCTTAATGAAAATGAAAGGTGTTTATGAATCTAATCCAGCCTTAGGAGATCCTATGTCTACTGAGGGTCAATTAAGTGAATGTTCTCAGCGTATTGATAAATTAAATTTAGATATGACTAAATATCAAGGGCTTCTCCAAGAAGTTGAATGTAATGGAGGAAGTCCTGCGGGTAATCGAAAATATGAGCCAACAGAACAAAATGGAATTGGAAATGGTAGCACTAATAACCTCTCAAATCATAAGTAAGAAAATATAATTAAAAACTTTTTTTTTTAATTTAATTGATGGGTTAATAACAGAATTTCTTGTTATTAGTAGGTTAAATGTACCAGATGGTAAAGCACCTTTAGGTGAAGATGAATCTTTAAGTCGTTCAGCATCAGATTCTAGTGTTTCCACACCAGCTGTAGGATTAAATAAGTAAATTAATTTTTATTTTTATTAAAAAAAAAAAACGAGCTTAAAAACTCATTAGATATATATATAAATAAAGCAGTGTAAAAACTTGTTTTGTTAGAAAAAGTAAATACACTATATACCTAGTTAAAAACAATTGTTAATTTCAAATTTTAATTAATTAGTAAATGTTGAATCATTGGTATATTTAAGATCATTAAATCAAAAGTTATTATGGTATAAAAATGAGGGTTCTACTAACAAATATCATTTTTTCAGTAGTCGGTATGCTGGTGAAACTGTTAGTTTAGGTGCATCTCGACATTCATTAATGAGCAATGAAGATGTACCATACTATGACCTTCATGATTTACCACCATTAGGCACGTGTACTGCTCTCTATGCATTTGAAGGTAATATTAATATTAATTAAAATGAATTTTTGCTTATGAAAGAAATTATATTTTATTGATTCATTATTAATAGCTACTAGTGAAGGTTCAATACCAATGTTTGATGGAGAACAACTACTTATAATTGAGCAAGATCAAGGAGATGGATGGACCCGTGTAAGACGTCAACCTCCTAATGTAGAAGAAGGATTTGTACCAACTTCCTATATTTCCATACACTCTAGCTGAATGAAATTCAATACTTTGAAATCTTTTGGCATACTTTGACCTTAGAATCAGCAAATACTGTACATTTTAACTCTTGTTTCCCCAATATTTTTAATTAGTTTATTTATTAGGTTGTGAAAAGTGCCAATTTTTAACAAAATGCAATTCATTTGTACTGTGCTCAAGCTTATGTAGATTTTAAATATTTTATTTTATTTTATCATCAAAATAATCAAATAGTACTATTCAAAATGAACTAATGGTATATTAACTTTACTTGACATCAAAAGTTTTTTTTCGTATAATGTGCTTTTCCTCATCCTGAAATTAATGATTAAGGATGTTTAAAAATACACATGTGTTATTTCAATTCAGTGTCTCCGTCCACCTTATTATTACTTAGTTTAGTTTTAATACTTGTTTTTTTTAACACTTCTGTTTTTGTTTTGTCTACATTACAAATTTCATTACAATTAATATTATACAATTTAAAAAAATATGAACTAGTAGTGATAATTTATTTTACAACAATTTATGTGTTCTTTAAAGTCATTATTTATGTTGTGCTTCAACGAAAGTTTGGTTGTGTTTTTTCATTTACTTATAATAAATATATACATGTATTTATATATTTTACTATTATAAATATAATGTAAAAATAATTTCTTTACTTTGTTGATATAATTAAATTTGTTCAAAAATATTATTTAAGTAATTGTCCCTACTTTAAAGATTTCTTGAACAAAATTAACAGACTTTGCTAATAAATAGCATATTTAAAGATTTAAAGATTTGTATGTATATTTCTTTTTTCTTATTGTTATTTTTATTATTATTATTATTATTATTACTATTATTATCATTATACTATTATTATTATTATTATTTATACTGCTTAACAAATTTTGCATTTTATTTATTTAATATCAACTACTATTGAGAGTGAGTTAATCAATTATTTAAATTTAACTATTTATTGTAATATTAAATGAATTAGAATATTATCTCATTCATTAGTGAAACATGTGCTATAAATATCCATAATCTATCTAAATAAAAAATGTTGTATCAAACTTGTTGAAAAATTAATGTTATTTTTAAACTTAGCAAATTGTTTGCAGTTTTTATGAATTAATAATTAAAAATGTTACCAAATAGGTATTTTAGATTAATAAAAAAATACATGTATATTAAAAAAAAAGAAATGTCTCATTACTTTCACCCATAATTATTTTTATTTTATTTATATGGATAATAAAATAAAATAATATATTTTTCGATCAGTTTATAATATTTATAATTTTTTTACAAAATATTTGAGTATTTGTTTAAAAAAGATCAATTATAAATAATGTTCTATGACTGAAATTTTCAATTTTATTTTAAAGAAGTGTTGGTAATATACTGTAATAATTAAAACTGTTATTAGAACAAAAATTATTTATTAATGAAAATTTAACTGCATTATCTAAATTAATAAAAGCATTAAAAAAAATATTTTTCTTTGAAGATTAAGTTATTAATTTTATTTTAATGCAATGCAATCATTTATAAAAATTATCATGTTTATTAAACATTAAATTTTCAAGCTTTATTATTTTGTATCCAAGTTGTATTTAAGAGAGATAAGGGTGTGGAAACTTGAAAAAGATAATTATTTTATTAAGACACAATTTAAAATAATGAAATACTTTTCTTATTTATTACCACTGCAAGAAAAAGTCCCAAGAACACTTCTTAAAATTCATGTATCTATTTAAAATAAAATTTTACTGTCTTATTTTTCTAATTATAAGAGTCATTAGCTGCTGTAAGAATTATGTCCAAAAAAGTTTCCTTTTTATTTATTTTACGACAAAATAGCTTATAACTAGTTAATTTATGTTCTATTCCTACTGGACGACTGGTTTTCATTTTTATTACTATCTTATTGCATTACTATTTAAAAAAGTGTAAAAAACAACATTTTACTTGGAATAATTTAGATAAGTAATAGAATTTAGAATTTTCTAAAATATAAATATCTTCACCACCGGAAATTTAATAAACAAATGTAATCATTGATTTTTTAATAATTTCACAATAATTTATACTACAATATTTGTTGTCAGTCCTAATTTTAATTCGGATTTAAGTGTATCTAAATGTCATCTTTAATGACAACATACATAATTAACTAGCTTATAAAATAGAAAATTATCAAATTATTAAAATGTCTGATTCAACTTTTAAACTAATATTTCGGAAATTATAACAATTTTAAAATATAGAATATTAGTGAGATACGTGTTATGATGAATCATACCTCGTGGATGTCTCCATATATAATATGGGTATAGACCCCATGATAAAAATAATTATGATAAAGATTTTTTATTTTAGAAGTATCAATAATAAAATTTCTCTCTAATATCTCTTAAAGCTATCCTAAGAACACTTCCGCGTGTCCCAATTAATAAATATGTCATTTAAAATAAAATGTGTTCAACTTAAAACATAATATATAGAGTGTTTAGTAAGTAAGGAAAAGAGTTTCTATTGTTCTCATTGCTTATAACAATTGATATGTTTCCTTACTTACTGAATATTCTGTATATTGTGTCTTTGAAACAAATGAATACATTTTGTTCCATGAGAAATCTTGATAGAATTGTATGTTGTTGTTTTATTTATATTAAACCTTTTTTAAGTAGTGTAAAACAAAAATCAAATATACCGAATGTCAATTATGTAAAATATCCAATTATTAAGTTGTAAATAATGTATTATAAAATATCACTTGAAAAAGTAACCCCAAGTAATTATCAACACATGGGTTATAAGTAAAATTTCTTTGACCAAACAAAAATTTCCTTGTAATAATCACGACAAGAATCTTGGCTTTAATGTTGATGCATAGGCCAAGATTATTGCACTAGCAAGACCGGTCTTTGCTTAGTTCTGACTGTAACTTTTAGCTGATTTACAAAGAATTTTTAGTTATTTTGCAGTGTTTGCAAACACCGAGTCACACATGACTCACAAATTTTAAAAGATTCTATACTCTGATTATCCGTGTATAAAATTTAAATAGTCTGATAACATCAATCACTAAATTATACATGATCAAAAATTGACACAACAGCATCCAAATTATTCTAAATATTATGACACATGAGAATGACGCGCAACAAAGGAAAATTTAATACTGTCAACTTAAATTTATTCGTACTATCTTTAAACGTAAATTTATTGCAATACTTAACTGCTGAAAATTATCTGTGAAGCCTACAAACTTATAGTCAGAGTATTTGTTCAATAATGGAATTTTTATGACAAAAGAAAATATATATTTTTATTAAGTTAAGGTGTGTGATTTATTTTTAATTGGAATCGTCACAAAAAGATTCAATTAAATATTTTTGATGTGCTAAAGCATAGTAAAAGCTTTAGGGGAAAAGAGTATTTAAGCTCCATTGAAATTACTTAGGGTTGCTTACTAAAGGATAATTTTTACTAAAATTCAAACAATTAGTGTTAACTCAGATAAAATGTGAAATTATATTTTATTAAATTTAATGATACACGTTCAATAAGTGTTCGTTGGTCCTCCAAACCAATTGTGCAGTATTACCCCAAATTACTTTTTTGAAGAAAACGTTCTATTAAAAATACCGCCGTATATTATAACAATCTCACATACCTTTAAATTAAAGAAAAAAACATTCTCTATACATATACATATAAATATTATAACTTTTAGTCAAAAAACTGTTGAGTTTTTAAAATTTTATATCATTTACTGTTTTTGATTTTTGGTTTTTAACAATAAAATAGTGATAATAATATTATAAAATGTTATATAAATTCTATACAGTGTTAAAAGATCATTATTTTTCCTAATATTACTATTTAACGTCAAAACTCTGGACATTGTCTTTATATAATAAAGAAAAGTGACTACATAATGAATGACGCATATAATTTTTATTTCAAAGAATGACTGGTTAAGGTTGGACGAAATTAAAACGTAATAATATTAAAAATAAAAGTTTTTTCTTTGAGATTAATCATTGGGTTTGTTTGCTTAGCTATATGACGTGTATTACAGTATCGATATTCTAGAAATTTGCATAATTTTAACTGATCATATAGTATAATTTATACATTTTTTTTTGAATTTATTTAAATTCATATAAATATATAGATGAATTTTGAGAACTTTTTCATAAATAATTTTGTAAAATTTTATATTAAATATATCACAATAAAGTAATTTTAAAAATATAAAATACCCCAAAAAATGTAATATTCATTTACAAATTAATAGTTTTGAAAAATTTTACAAAAAGTTCTGGTGCGACCCTGCCAGGATTCGAACCTGGAATCTTCTGATCCGTAGTCAGACGCGTTATCCGTTGCGCCACAGGGCCTCGTTATGAAGACGTGGCAAAACATAATTATATAAACGTGGTTACACTATTTCAAAATAAACCTGGTAACTAAATTTATATTTTACAATGCACAACTTTAGACTATCATACTATTTAGTAGTTTCAATTTTCATGTATACATTTTTTATTCTTTGCATTCCAAATTTTTAAATGTATTCTATAAAATTCAATAATAAGTTGTTTGCATCGAATAGAAAATAGATTGAATTTTATTACATTAAAACTCTATACACTGACGAACAAAAAAATGTTCAATAAACAAAGAAATACCTGACAATTATTATTATGTACATAAACATAACAATAAAGGAAACATTTATTAATTAAGTGCAGCTAAAATATATATGTGATCCAGTGCAATGATGTCTAAGATTATAACTTCTCACATTGACATAAAAAAATTGTGTTGTAAGTCACTGAATATATTTATTATTCGAATCAAGTTAATCTTGCTTCATTTATAGCCTTTAATGTGATTAATTTCATAGACGTTGAATACACATTTCTTATATTCTATTATACATTGTTTTTTAATTTAAATTGTTAAGATTTTCAACACAAAATACACAATTACATAAATATATCAGTATAATAACTGTAAGGAGAATAAAAGTGCTTAACTTGCTCATCAAGTCTGCTAAACCTACACTAGGGTAAAAAATCACTAAATAATATTTTGGTATTATCTCCCTCAGTAAAAAATCCTAACGAGTGTGAAGTGATCAATTTCCAACTTCACGCACGTAACTCCTACATAGGTCAATGAAATATTATTTAATTATTATACAATAAGTAGTTGATATAAATGATTTTATTATTGGATCGCCTATTTTCTGGTTAAATAGTATAGCATTAAACATTTTGGCCATAAAATAACTTAATTAGTAACATATTTATTATTAACTATGGATGACTGTTGAACTTTATTAAGAAACTAAGATAGTACTCTGTTGTTACTGAGCTTTAAACCTTTTTCAAATGAATTCCAATAAACCACCTTTTGTTATTATAAAAGAATTTTCAACTACTTTATAATTTATTGAATCAAGTCAACTATTTGCGATTCTTCAATGTATATTTAATTATATCAATATATATATATATAATTAATTTGTATTAATGTACGATTATTTATAATATAAAATATTTTTTGTGTTTGTACAATTTAACTTTTAAACATGATGACGAGCCGAGCCACCAGACATCGCTGATCGTCATGGTTTATCTGTAAGACAACATTTTAGTTACTCGACCATTGTGCTACACGTTGCAGTATCGTGTGCGGTGCACGTTTCTCCGGCGCCTTCGCTCCCACCCGTCCAATGGTTCAGGTCTGTCTACTACTAGTACTACACCTCTTTGTCGATAGACTTCATCGGCAACAACGCCCCTCCTTGGCCCTTGCTCCTGGTCTAGAAGCACCAAGACGGTCACATCTCTTCAACCATTGACCGAGCAACTCATAAAGTCTAGAGTAATACTCGGTATGCGTTGATGGTGAAGAACGTGTAACTCGGTAGTGGTAGCCTTCTACAGAGCGGCCTTCTTGCCGGTTTTCGTAATGTTAACTCAGCCGCGATCCATTTGAAAACAAGTTATCGAGTCGCATCTTGAGTAAATGATAATAATAATTATAATTATAATACTGTGTCGCTCTTCCACAATATTCGACAGCTGATAGCGCAAAACGGTAGCAAATCATAAACGCCTGTGTAATTGGTATTTTATTAGTAACATCGTTTTCATTTCACTGGAGTTTTTTTCTAATTAAGCTAAGTTATTCTCTAAATTTTGTCATTGAGTTTAATTTAGTTCTTGGTATATTTTTATGATTTTATTATATTTTTTTTGAAATCCAAATATTATCATATAATATTTGTTGGTAATTTTTATGTACTAAAATAATTAGTTCTCCGATATTTGGTATAGAAATGCTGTTTTATAATATTCAGTGAACATTATTCACGTCCAATTTGTATTTAAAGCTCACGTCGTTTGAAATTCTTATACTTACTAAAGAAAAATAAAATGTTTAACATGAATGCAAATTTAAAAAAAAAACGCATAGGCACACACATTGAGTATTAAAGTATGTTTTTGGTAGATTAAGTAAAAAATAAACCTGTCAACCGGTTTAGTCCGGACTCTAAAGCCATAAGCGTCGCATAAATAATTAACAAACCAAATGATTTATAGTCGGGTTCGAATTTTTTTTTTGTGTGAAGTTATTTCAGTGCTATAGTCGGAATGGTTAATGGCGAAATTCAGTAAATATTTTTCGCAGGAAAACACCGGTCGGTGACCCTAAAGCGATAATAGTGTATTTTGAAGATTACAAACAACTTCTGATCGACCTCCTAACCATAACATTATGCTTAATTAGTTGAATATTAGGACACAGTTCACAATAATTGACGTCAACAAGTGTTGATTCGGTTGGGCTATTCTTTCATATGACAAAATTGTTAAGCGTTTGCACGAATTCATAATAGGAAACGAGCAGTCATTAAAAAAATCAAATCTGATTACAAAATGCATAATTGCGAAAAAATTTGTTGTTAGCTATCTTTTTTTTATTTTTTTAATTGCATTCTATACCTTTTCAAAGTAGTTCAATGTAATCATGTAATCGTCGATTGAACGATTTAATATTATTTGCATTCTAAATATTCATTTCGCCTCAAATTCAATACTTTTATTATATCGCTGCAATCATTCAAAAATCGCAACTAACGGTACAAATGGTTCATTTTTCAAAACATTTGATCGCTTCAATTACTTTTCTTAGAGAAAATTTTATCAATAAATGATATTAAACTGATTTATCATTCTTTATTCAGTCAACCCTTTCAAAATAGCATTATAAGCAACAGTTAATTTGAATATTTTGCCAGACGCTATCTTGTCTAAAAAGACAGTCATCCTTTAGCCAACAGGTTATAATGCAATCAAAGACATAGACTAATCGCTCACAGTCTATTCATTCAGTCGATAATGCGTGCAGGTGTCTCCAAGATATTTGTGTTCAAAGGTCACCACAATGAATGAATTTATGTACACGGTCATGCAAGACGAACAATTTTCTCGAGCACTTGACTTGAAAATGTGAAGAGAGGGTGTGGGTAATTGAAATAAAAACTTATGCATAACAGCTAGAGAAAATATTTCAAATCTAAAACAATCGCGACCGCTTTGTGCCGGTAGATGTAAATGATTTGTATGAGAATCCGAGAACTGAGAATAACAATCATGATGTAGACATTTTCCCACGCATAAATTTAATAGCCGTTTATATGGCCGGTGGAAGCCAAAGGTAAATACCTGTGAGCATGCGTCACTGTAAAATATCATCATATATGTAATTTTTCACTTTTTTAAGTTACGAGTTAAAACATGAACAATTAAACAGTTTTATATAATTGCGAATGCGTTATTTTAATAAAGTATACGTAATGTTTTGTTTAATTTTTTTTCTGGTGATTGTGTAATATGAACGTTTCGGGAGAAACAATGTTAGTCACTTGTTTCGATGATGAACATAAAATTAACTGTTATCATAAAAAAAATTGTAATTTTAGTTGAAGAATCAATTTGTAGTCCTATTTAGTAAAGTTTTTATGTTTAGTTGCAATGGCTAATTAACAATATTTTTTTTATATTAACAAGTATAGATATAGATTGAAAATTATATCATCAAATTTAACAATTATATAATTGTAAAAATTAACGATTAGTTGTATAGTTTTGACAACTTAAATCTTGTTGTATTAATAAGTGGGACACTTGGATTAATAGGCTATTTTTATCTAGGTTTTCTCAATTAGACAACAATTGTCTTATCAATATGATAGTTTATTGTCAAGCTAACAAGTGCAGTTGTTAGTTTTGAAAAGATTTTTAATTTTGCCACCACATCGCGTTCATTATAAGTTTTAAAATACTGATTAAACCTAAAGGTTTACTTCAACTTTCACAGCTGGATCTCATCAATAGTTAAATTGCCATATATTGAGTAAAATAGAAGATTTAATAGCATACGATTGATTTTTGTTATACATTTAAAAAAATGTTTACGAAGAGTGATTAATTGCATCTATAAAAGCAGAGCTTTGGTTATAAACAAAATTCTAGAAAACATTTTTAATAGCTTCATTTAAAAAGTAGTTTTTTTATTATATTTTTAGTTGAACAACTAAATTTAATTTAATAATATATTAAAACATCAGAACTTCACTTTTTAATATTTTACAACCTTTACTGAAATGTTTAAATTTCACAGTTGCATTTCCTTTCTATAATAGCGGGAAAAATTATTCACTAAAATTGACTTAATAGACACACAAGGTTAGATAAGTTTATAGCGCTAAACCGTGTGTATTAAACATGTATTTAATACATATTTCTCGGTGCATTATTTTTGAAAAATAATTTATTATTATCTACTTATAATGAAGTAGATGAGTAATCAAATAAAATTGAATTTAAAAATCCAAATATTGGATTCCGTGTTTAGATTCAATTTCATAGATAAAAAGAAACAATTTAACTATCGTAATAACGCAAAAAATTAAAAATTTATGATAACATGACTTTTAAGCACATTTTTTAACATAAATATATTATAGATAACTTAATCATAGATAAACTCTTGTTTTTTTATTGAAACTTTAGAAGAACACTTGAAAATTAATTATAAATTTGATTGAAGTACAATTTATAATAAGTCTGATTGTAATTAAAAAAAAAAAACAAAGCCATATTTACAAATAGCTAAACGAGCTATTTGTATGAACCCGGTCGAAAATGAAACATGTTACAATTGTAAAGATCATTTTTCTGTTTACTTAGTATTTTTTTAAAAATACAGTTGAACCAAGTCACCATGTCTCGATTAACCGTTTTTATTCTTGTGAATATTTGTACATACCAATAGCAAAAGCATGGACTGAACAGCAGCGTATATAGAGGCTATGTGCCTTCACTACTACTGACCATGTTATGCTGGTATAAAAATGTTTGTTGACTTTTTTTTGTTCAAAATAAGTGAAAAAAATTTATTAGGTACCGACGGAATTTATATGAAAACAAATGTACATATAAGTACGTATTTTACATTATATGTAAATATATATATATATGTACACGTAAAAATTTATTTAATAAAAATAATAAGTCTTGATCAACATTGGTTTTTATTTATCCCCGTGACCTCTTCCCATCATTCCCGGATAATCGTGGTTGTATGAGTTGTGTTGAGCTTTTTAATTTTTTGCCATGATTATCTTTAGCGGGGATTTCAATACTGAATTGTGTTTTTCTAGCTCTCTTCCCATACTACTAAATCTTGGGTATAATACGGTTAGTTATTGTAAGCACGTTAAGTGTGTCTTTCAAAAAAATATAATGTATTTTGTTATTCTTAAATTTTATGTCAAATTCGTATATTATATTAATAACATTATTCTATTATAAATTTAAGTTTTCTGTAGAGTATAACACACACACAAATGTATATTTATGTACATAGTGAATGTACAAATAATTATTATTTGTTTACCATTTATATAAGATTAGTTTTATAAAGATTTATGTGATAAAATTAAAAAATCCTCCCTATTTTGAGAACCCTCGACAGACGTTGGACGTATAACTAGCGCTCTTTCGGCATAATCCTACGGCGCTCTTCATGTGTTTAGTTTGCAGCGGTGGTGCTCCGTCCCGAGACGACACGCCGGGCATGGAATGCGCGTGTATGTAACCCCCGCCATTAAAGGACACAACCGGTTTGGGTATTTTCCTGCCAGCGCGTATATTGTCGCCGGCCACCGTTGTCGACGTCGTCGTCACTACCACAGGCTGCACTTGTACCGCTCCGCTGCCCACCGTTAAATCTCTTTGTGAATGATGGACAGCGGAGGGGGGAAATGTGTAACGCGTACGAGTAGCACCACCGTCGTTGTCGTTGTTATTGCGCACGCGCATATCACAACGTCCCAACTCCATTGACCCAAGACCCCCACCCGCTACGCTATACCAGCAAAGCGTTACGAACCAACAGTACGATTTCATTCCACGAGAAACTTCCGAGCGGCTTGTGTCCGTGTTGCTATTACGCGTTTGTGTGTTCCGTCCGCACCCGCCGCTGTGCGTGTACAGTTAACCGCCATCGTTGGCCGTTCGTCGTCTCGTTTCCCCTCCAAACGACGACGCTCGCCGCGTAAACGTGATCGGGGTAAAGTTCGTTTTCTACAATCATATCATTCCACTGCCGTCTTAACGTAAGCGGTTTTATTTTAGAATAGACTTTTAACTTTTTTTACATCTTTATTTTAGTGTTTTCTTCTAGTAGTCATCATCGTTAGTTAGTGTGCGCGCCGTCGTGTTCGTCGTGTGCCGCCAAAATATTATTAATTGAGTAAAGTGTCGCCACCGCCACCATGTTTGACGTGTTCGGCTCCGTCAAGGGGCTGTTGAAGATCGACAGCGTATGCATAGATAACAACATATTCAGGTTGCACTACAAGGCGACCGTCATTATTTTGGTGGCTTTCTCATTGCTAGTCACGTCTCGTCAGTACATCGGTGACCCAATCGACTGTATCGTCGATGATGTACCCCTTAATGTTATGGACACCTATTGTTGGATTTACTCTACGTTCACCATTCCAAATCGGGTGGCCGGTCGCATTGGCAAGGATGTCGTCCAGCCCGGTATAGCATCTCATGTAGATGGCGAAGACGAAGTTAAATACCACAAGTACTACCAGTGGGTGTGCTTCGTTCTATTTTTCCAGGCTATGTTCTTTTATTTACCCAGGTATATGTGGAAAACTTGGGAGGGTGGCCGTATCAAAATGTTAGTGTTAGACCTTAACTGCCCAATCATCAGTGAAGACTGTAAAAATGACCGCAAGAAACTGCTATTAGATTATTTTGCCACTAATTTACACACCCAAAACTTCTATGCTATTAGATTTTTCCTATGCGAGTTCCTGAATTTTGTAAATGTAATTGCTCAAATATTTTTCATGGATTATTTTCTGGAAGGTGAGTTTAGTACGTACGGTTCTGATGTATTGCGTTTCACCGAGATGGAACCTGAAGACCGAGCTGATCCAATGGCTAGGGTATTTCCAAAAGTCACCAAATGTACATTCCACAAATATGGTCCATCTGGATCTATCCAGAAGTTGGATGGTTTATGCGTGTTACCATTGAACATTGTAAATGAAAAAATCTATGTGTTTTTATGGTTTTGGTTTTTGTTTGTGGCTGTACTCAGTGGTCTTAACTTAGTGTACCGTACTGCCGTTGTGGTCATGCCAAAATTCCGTTTATTATTGCTGAGAGCTAGATCTCGCCTTGCACCTCAAGATGAAGTTGAAACTATCACTAAGAAATGCCAGATTGGAGATTGGTTTGTTTTATACCAGTTGGGAAAAAATATTGACCCATTGATCTTCAAAGAACTTGTATCGGACTTAGCAAAAAGGCTGGACGGTAAGGAGAGTGTGTAAATGTGACTTGACGGAACAACAATCATGTATTTAATTACTCAATTAAACCAACATATTGTTAGCTTAGGAAAACACTGTTGAATGAATGAATAAGCAATAATTTAGACAATATTTTTATTTTTCTATGTTCTTTTTACCCTAAATCTCCATGCAGTACTAATTATTATATACTTTTTCAATTTGAACTTTCAATAGGAGAACAAGGGAATTGTGCAGTTTTAAACAAAAATGTTGTTGTGTTCATGATTAACCTAGCCGGTTTTTAAATTATTATTGACAATTCGAAGCTTAATATTCCACAATATATGATTTATTATTATATATTTTTTATCATTATTATTAATTTATTTTTATTTTTTTTTTTTTAACTATAAACATTTTAAATGTACAAAAAAAAAAAATATTGTTGGTCTCATTACTGTTGTACATAAATTAAAAAAAAATTTATAACTGCTGTGACATTTACTTTAAAATGGTTGGTTGCGGATTGTCTATATTTTGTATAAATTCTTTTAGATGGTGTTAAAATACAACCATTTATTGTATTTATGTTGAGGCACTAAATAATATCTGTGGTTTCTTTCATAGGAAAAACTATCAAATTTTAACAACTTGAATTTTTTTGCATATTGCTACTTTTTTATATTAAGTAGGTATTCTTACTCATTTATAGAACTATTGCAATATATAAATTAATGAAAGTCTTAATTGTCAATTATTGTTTGTGTTAAGACATCATGTCCATCCATTATTGAAGTTCATTCAAAGTTTGTTATCATTAATGAGCGTTAATCTATTAATACAATCAAAACGTGTATTTTCTGTGTCTTCCATTTTGAGCAAAGAATGTGTTCACAATTATATCATCATACATTCCATGTGTGCTCAATAATAACAAAATATTTCCTTAACTAAAATAAAAACCGAATTTTGCACAAATGATGTACAATTTATAACTTGTTCTTTTTTAAAATTAATTTGTAAATATGTCAAAAATTTTGGGCCTCGTGAATGTCGTTTATATTTAAATTTTATAAACATTATCATGAAACATATGTGATGCTAATTAGCTGTAATTTTAGATTTAGTAACTGATTTTTTTTTTTTTTTATCCTAGATGTTTAGATATTATTTTTTATTATAAATATATTATTTAAATATATATGTTAACAAAATATTCCATAAGTGCCTTTTTGTACTACATATATTAATATCTTAATGTACACTTGCACATATCGAAGAATTATTATGTACTCTCAAAATTGATTATTATTCAACATTCCATTTTATATGTTCATACAGTGTTCACTTGATTTAAAACGATTTAAGTGTGCCTTATATGCATAGAACATTAACATTGTGTCAATTAAGCCCAAATTGACTGCCAATATAAGACTATTAGATACTTTTGTTATACTTGAGACAATGATATTTGAAATAACGTTTGATAAAAGTAATGTATTCAGTGTTTCTTTTTTATAATTATTTAATTAAAACAAAATGTACAGAAAATATGTAATGATATGAAGCCTGATTAAAATCTACACTATCTGTGTTAGAGGTATTTTTTGATATATTTGTATGTATTTACTACCTAATAAATAAAATATGTTCAATATATTTTTATTGTTTATTTATTTTTATTCAATCTTAAATAATAAGGTAGTATAACTTTAGTAATGTCTACTAATTTAAATATAGTGCAATGCATTAATAGAAACATTAAATAGATTGTATGGTTGTTTGTTACAATGGATTTAACTTGAAGAATAAGTGGTTTTTTAATATATATATATATAAATCTAATTACTAGTTTATTGAACAAATTATTCTAGTTCAACATTAAGATCATTTACTTTTACATAATAATTAGTTATAATCATTATTACAGTAAAGATAGTATAATATTACATAAAAAAATTACTATAGATTATTTGATGAATTTAACAATGAATTGTACTTTGTTATATAATTCCTGGTTGGATTATATAGATAATGATATAGGATCAAAAAATACCTACTCAAATAATCATTTTGTTCTTGGAATTTTTGAAAAGTTAAGTGGCACATGCAAAATTACTGTATTAGTCACTGGTAAAAATTTAAACATTTTAAATTAAAATATATTAATTTCCGATAATACATAACTTGTTGCAATGTCCTCACGCCTATACATCTCATTGACTTGATATAATTGTCGCAGAATCGCACAGTAGTATACTCTTTAGAAATATTTTTATTATTGTGGAAGTTTCATGAAAACGGATTAATTAATACTTTAAACAATAATAGTCATTTAAAGATACTGGATACTTTTGATTACTACGTATATATTCACAGAATCTGCGAGATTCAAAAATAAATAAGAATAAAATAAATATTTTATTTAATGAAAATGTTTATTGAAACAAGTTAATATGATAATAACTCCATCAAAAAATACGATAGACGTCGCAGTTTGTATGGGTAAGAATGAAATATGTAAGCTACAAAGTATTATTGTAATAAAAATCACTACCATAGATCAAATTTCTGTGTATTATGTTAGAAATAGAATTATCCTAATTTGAGTTGTCACGTTATGCTACTATGTTACGCATTTTCTATTTCATTTGCAGTTGAATTTTTCTAAAAAGATTTCAAAGTTGAAAAATATAATTCTACCATGCAATTATAATTCTTAATCAAATTTAGACCTTTTATTTTATGTTAAGGACAATAATTTCTTTTTTAACTTAATTAAATTTATTTTCATAAATTTACACCAACTAACTCAAGTTGTACATTTTATTTCCGTAGTCTTATAATATTATAGTTGAACAATGTGACAAATACAAAATATACTATAAACAAGATATAAAAATTAAATTAGAATCTATTAAATTAAATAGTCATTAAAAATATTATGATAAGTATAAAAATTAATTTTAAAGTCTTTGAATTATAAATATTGAAAACGCATTTTCATTTATTTTTAAATACTTTAAGCGTACTTAAATATTTTCATTTTAATTAGTCGATCAAAAAAGAAACCGTATATGCTATAAAAATGAAAACTAATCATTTCTTATTTTGACTTTCTAAATTATTTGATAGCGTGGCATATTTTTAATAAAAAAAAAAATATGTGTTCAAATTTGTACTACATTTATACTTTAAAAAGTGCAGCCTTGAATTTATCTAGTCCAAGGTAACAATCAACGTTTCCATTAATTATTTATAGTTCCTTTAAGAACGAAAAAATTGCTTTAAAAACTACTCTATTGTACGTTTTCTCCTTGCTCTACTCACACGGAAGTCGATCACTATTGATATAAATATTATTTAAAGGACATCATCTTCATTTCATTTTGGAAAAACGCTGTTCCGGTCAATACAACATTATAATACATAAACTAGCATAGATTTACGACTAAAAGTAATTATATTTTTTTTTCTTATCGCTCCTGGTCTTCAGAGGTTCAAATTCAAGGTTTGCCGCTCACAAGACAAGTATCCGACTATAATAATACCTATTATAGTGACAAGTGTACTACTGGTCGGTGTTGTATCAGTTTAAAAAAAAAATTCGTTCCACATACAAATAAAACATTGTAAGATGTTTAAAGAGTACTTTTTATTTAATTTATTAATTTTATTAGTAAAGTTTATAATGTTTTCTCTAATTTTTCTATCCAGTAAACATGAATATGCATGAATAAGCAAAACTGCAACTCATGATGTGACACAACAATTTTTATTATCTCCTACAAATGTTTATCCGTTACAAATATTTACAGTGATTACGATTACCCTAATATACCTTCAAAAACTATATGATAAAGAGGAATGAACTCCTATGGTACATCACTGAAAATAACTTAACAATGATGAAATAATTTTCCTAATTAAAATACACTAAGACGTGATTCAAACAGAATGTAAGTATCCATAAAAAAATAAAAAGTAAAATACTGTTAATTAAGCCACAAATCATTATCAGTTTTTTTCTCCTATCTTCGTTTACCGGTATTGTTTCGATCACCTAATACTATATCACATAATACCACAGTGACTTACCATATCGACCTGGATACGATTAAAATGTTTTCCGTGGCTGGGAGCACGACATTGTTATTTTTAACCATTGTTGTACCCAGACATAATATATTACAAGTTCTCGTTTAATGTAGGACTCTCGTTTCATTATTACTCTACTACAATATGTTTGACAAAAAGTCATCAGACTTAAGCTAAAAAATAAACCTCGCTGCCTTCCATTGGTGAATACATAACCAGACTCTGTTGCTTTAGGAGGAGCACCATATGACGTGTATACTTTTGTACATATCTCTGCCCGTATCCTTCCTCTCCTATGTAAACCGGTTCGGTCGTGTGCATGTTCTGTATGCACGCACGTGTGTACAGTGTACGTCTTGCGTGTATAGATATATTATGTTATCTGCAGTGCCGGTGACCGGAGAAGGAAGAAAGGACAAGAAGTACACATAGAACACAGAACCTACACAGCGCATTGAAGAGAGAAATGTACCTACAACTAAGCACATAATGAAACCTGTCTAAACGAATGAACCCACAACTATCGGATATTTCTTCTCTATTGCCTTCTTCGACGTTTGTGAGTCATATCATGTGCGTAAAAAAAAATTCCATCGAGTTTTAACTGCCCCTGAAGAGATAGACACACGGCTGTGACGACTTCATTTCGTCTGTGTACCATCGTGATGACGGTTCACGTTGTACCAGATTGTCAGGGTAAGGTATACCTGTAAACCATAACACGTTGGCTATTGTGAATTCCTCGAAACACGAGAATCATTCGTCATGAAGTGATGTGTCAAACGGAATTATTTGATCTACAGGTATAGCACCAACCTAGTTTTAGGGACTACTTCCTCCCAGCAGGATTCGACAAGATATACAATAGAATATACAAGTCATATCCTTTCCGCTGTTGTCATGAACTCAATAGGATATTTTCTGCTAAAACATTCTCACGTCCAAGCAAAGTACGTTTAAATTTGAATATCGAGTGGGTGTCATGTTTGGGTTTACTAAGTTATTTGAGCATTAGGTCTTGTATGAATTAGTCTTGAAATAAAACCTCGTTTAAAAGATTTTTTTTGGAGGGATGAAGTGAACAGTTTTGCTCAGCCTTTAAAATGTTAAAAACAAATTAACTACTTAATAATCGTCAATTTTCGGTTTTAAATATATTTCATTATAATGAATTCTCTTTAGTATAAGAAAGCAAAATTTGAATTGCAATATTTTAGCCATAAAATAAAAGCAATAACTACACTTATAGTTTATAAACGATTTCATCGTAATTCTATAGACATTTATTTAAGGTTACAAGTGATCAAGACAAAAACTGGATTCCATCCCATATCTTGCCAATACGATAGATTTTTTGTAAATGGCTAATTTGTAGAATTATAATTTTCTCGATTATGTTTGCACAAAATAACGTTATATTTCATGCTATTGTCGCTCAAGTGTACAATATGATCTAGGTGGTCGAACCGGAATGGATAATGCGTTGGAGGTAGTCGTTGTTTACGAAAAGATCGGTCGTTCATTGATGAATACATCCGAACCCGAGGCTTGTGTATCCGATAACTAAGAAAAAAGGTACTATTTTGTTGAATGTATCACAGCGTGGGCTTAAAACCGCACCATTAAATAATCTAGTATTATATTTTTACATAATTCAGTAAAAAATGATTAGATAGTTACCCGAATTGGATATTTTCTAGGTTGTGTTGCACAACATTACATTGTGTTTTTGCACATTCTTATCACGTGCTTCGGCGGACGATATCGAATAATAATTAAAATTATAGTAGAATTTTATTTATGAAAGTGTTATGTCCAATTTGTCAATAAAATAGGTTCACATAACTGCATTAATAATAGTTTTTGATTTCTTATAAAACAAATTGTAATTGTAACTTCTTAAAGTAATTACAATAGTTTCAAATACAACAGCTATAAAAAAAACTGTATTATATGAAACAAAACACTATTTAAATAAGATTCAGGGATTATCCAGAGCATTAATTTTTATCATCACGTTTCATGTGCTAGTGATGTCTAAATTGTGGGAAAGCATAGCGTACTTATGTATACAACTAAGAACACAGTAACCTTATGACATGTCAATCGAATAAAATATAATGACACAGCTGTTCAAAAGCTGAGATAATATATTGTGGCCTAAGTTAATAATAATTATTATTTAACTTGCTGTTCTAAAATAACGAGGACGGTCGAAATTTTTAGTTTTATATGTTTATTTACATTTTATTTTTTTCACCTTTGAAAGTTATAGATAATTTTATTAGAATTGAATTTTAGGCTTAACTTTTTTATCTAAAATTAAACTTATTAAACGTAAAAAATATACATAACTCATCAATTTATAAAATTTTATTGCACAATACCATTTTGAGCAATATATTTTACGTTTAATTTATGTAGTATCTTTAAATGAAACCCCATAAGTTGTGAAATTTTAATAACGTAACATTTTTTATTTGAAATTTGACTTAAAAATAATAACATGACATCTTAATTTTTTTTATACATCGCGTGTGTTATTATTAAAAATAATTTTTATAAATTTATAAAAAAAAATGTGTACAATGTTTTACAATAAATTTTTATTTTCACCTAATACATTTATGTCAAGTAATTTAAAATATAATGGTCTAAATATTTAAAACTAAATATAATAAATATATAAAAAAACACAAATTATTCTGTACGTGCAGAATAAATTTTAGGTCTTTCTAAGTGTCTATTACATTATACACAAAAATGTCTATATTTACCGACTATAATAAAGTTTTAGTTTTTATTGATAAAATGAGATCAACTTATTAAAGAAATGTGTTCAAATAAAAAAAAAACGGTTTTTTCCGGTACCATTTAAACTGTATTAACTCTAATATCACTTTTAAATATTTGTTGATATCAAAACATCTAAATATATCTTGTTGTTGTACGTTATATAATGTTTAAATCTAATAGAAACATAACTATATTCAATCCATTTATCTATATAGTTTTATCTATGTCTACTATTTACCTACTATTACTAAGAGAACAATTAAATATACAGTCAAATAACAACATTAATATTAGATAGTATTACATAAAATTATAAGTGCTGTTGAACACTTTTTTCTTTTGATTTAATGAATGTATTTATCTATGCAGATTTTATTTCAATTGTTACTAAAACATTAAAGACTGTTGTTTAAAAAGTTGCAATTTATATATTTTTATTGTAAACGATAAAGTTGCTAGTATACCAGCTCATTTATTTCTAGTGGGAAATATTTTATAATAAATTATAAAATATTATATATACTTTGATTATCTATTTTAAAATAGTTATTTTTGTCTAATATACATATAATTATTTATAATCATTCTATAGAAATATTTACAATGTATAGTATATAATAAATGTTCAATTTAAATTAAAATTTCACATACAAATTTGTCAACGTCCACGTGGGGTTTGATGACAAACGAAAAATCTATCAAGTTTAAAACAGCTAAATTATATATGTAATGAAAATAGTCCACGCGAATCAAAGATAAGTTATTTCCGGTGATTGAGAGTCTATGGTTACTTGGCAATTTTCGAAGTGGGTTTTTGTATTTTGTGACGGCTGTTTTTTGTTGGCTTGTTGTTTCCGTTCATTGCGTACCACAAGTATATCAAATACGGTTCACAGTAGTGTTCGCGTTTTTATAATGATTTCTTACTCAATTCGTACCATTGCATTCTATTATCAAAATATCAACGCAATATCTATTCGTGTTATGAGATTATGTGTTTAACAAATTGTACTCTGGAATATTTTGTTTTATGTTTCGTTAAGAGCAGGATCTTTCTTTGTCATAATATTAGTCCACTTATAAATATTTACAATTGCATCTAATAAATTATGGCAATAGATGTTTAGATATTTATTTACCAAAGGCAGTGATGTGCATTGGTAGATTGATAAACAAATTCAAAAATTTACATTAAAACGCGATCAAAGATAGTTTCCTAAAGGTTCTTGACATAACAATGATTTTATTTATTGAAATAAATGATCAAAAAAATTTTTAATATAAGTTTTTGAGTTTTATAAATTTATTATAAATGATAAATTTTATTTTATTTTAGCACCGAGACTTAGTATTAAGCATGTACAAAAATCTTACTAAAAATAATTATTTTTAAATAATTTAAAAAAAAAGTAGGAATTCAATATTTTTGTTAGACTGGACACTTTAATATATATATATATATTCAGTTAGCGTGAGCTTTAAGAGCTAAGAGTTCTGAAAAATTTTTGAAAATTATAGACCGACTGAGCCATGGCCCAATTGGTTCCACCTATGTACACAGTGAATAAAATTAACCCAGAGAACACATAGTTTTTCTGAGTTCAAGTCCTTTGAATCTAAGATAGGGGCTGATTGCAATACACTACTTGCCAAAAATCATTGTTTAATTAAGTCAAACATTATTTAAAAAATTGAAGATTATTTCTTGCGTTGCCTTTATTTTTCCACCTTATCCGGTTATTGTATTGATACACATCTTTGATGTGTCTGTCGTGAAAAATAAATGTTAATGCGAAAAATTGAATAATTAAGACTAAATGATTTTATAAGTGGGTAGTAATTTTTTTCCTACTCATTTTTGCTTAAAGAGCGTATTGCTTTTTTTTGCTTAAAGAAACATTAAAATACAAGCTTATCAATATCGGAACGTAAAATACAGCGATTACTTATATTCAAGTAATAGCTGAGTTATGATTATTTACCACAGAATATATGAGATTCATAAATCTATGATATTACTTAGACACACTAAAACACGTGAGACGAGGTAAATGAGGTGAATTTTTACATTAATTGTTGGGATACCAAACGTTTTTAGCATAGATTATGTTTGATTGGGAGACTAATGTCGATGAAATTGTTAAAAAATAGTATATATATAGATATATATTTATAATGATATTCTTTGCGTTTAGGTGATTCCCATCGTATGTTTAAATAAAAACGACAATGTTTAAAACGACTAAAACCGGATTTTTGCGTTGTTCTCTGAAACGGCCACAAAGGTAAGATAAAACACAAAGCGATAGTACAAAAAATCACACATGTTTGTATTGTGAATATTTTTCAACTTCGATAGAATGTCAAAATGAGTTATACGTGACGTGTGTGGCAATATAACTCAATAAAACTGCGAACGTTTTCATTTGTCTATAGATACGAGGGGGAAAATTGATTATGATAAATTAAGAAAATAATATTAATAATTGTTCCATAACCTACACAACAATATATGGTGCTTTGGTTATGTTGGTGTTATGTGTTTTAAGTTTAAACTGTTAAACACTCTTGAGAATTCAATAACGTTGGCACGGGTCCACTAAAACCCAAAATTATTTTGAAAATAATATTCTTAAGATGTACGTATGTAATGGAAAATAAATAAATGCAATATTATTATTACATTTCTGACAATGGTCTTATGACGGGGCCCAGTGTTGGGGCACATAACTCTCGTAGTCAATTCTTATGCTTAGGTAATATACTTAAAATAATCGTGATTAAAATCGGTAAGCAACACAAATAATCGGCTGTTAATCTTAACATTTTTATTCAACTATTTTAATAGTTATCTTAGTGACGATAGTATTTAAAAAAATTAAATCGTAATTTAGTGTTTTAGTATAATATATATTCGGAGTACAGTGTAATTAGAATAATATGACCTCGATTAACACATGTTATTAATCGTCGACAATTATTATTGACTATCATTAGCGTTTTGGGTTCACTCTAGTTAATTTTCCAGTTTCTAATTTATATTGTTTGGAATTCTAGCTCCATCTAGAAAAATCAGAGGTTCTATCAAAAGGTCAAAATTATTGATAGATGTATTAAAAACTTATATATACATGACGCTTAAAAATTGTCTAAAGGAGTGTGTTGAAATGACGCAGATATACATGCCCTGAGCAGTAACACAGTAAGCATTTATACTATTACTATGTATGATTTGAATATTGAGTTCTAATTGTGCGATTAATTAGAGAAATACTACGAAATTATTGTTTGTACTCTTTTGACAATAATTTGTATGTTTTCAACATGCAACAAATGAATGACCAGTAAAACTCGACACAGATTGTGCCATTAACTACTGTATTGGTGACCACAATTGTGATTACTATTATCGAGATGTGCACGTTTAAAGTGGAAGCAAGGCCAAACACCTCCAGTAGGTTGCTAACAGTGAAGTGTTAGCAAATTATAACATATTAACCAGTTGTTTGACACTAGAGTAAAATAATTTCTGGTGATATTCATAGGTGAAACAATAGTTTATTTAATTATGGAAAGACAAATAGACATCTGACACGTGGCAACATCTCCTAATCCGGAAGGTACATAATGTAGAACATTTCTATTAAAAATAATTGTCTATTTTATGTAAGTTTTCTTTATTGTCGTTACAAAATATCTATTATCTCATATAATATAATTAAAAAACGATAAACGTTTGTATTTTCTTGGACGGCTACCAGAATTTATAGTCAATAAATGTTTTTTATGTTTTCTAAAACACTTCATCGTCTTCATAAAAAATGACCCGAGTGCTTGCTGAATAACAAATTTAACACGATTGCATGACAATAGTTGTGTAGTTTGAACGGTACTCCTTTAAGAATATATATAAGCTTCAGGTGAACATAATTTTGTATCAAGCACGTTATGAATTTAATTCAAAAGTCGGATTTACTTTGATTCAATATTTTTAATAAAAATTATTTACTGAAGTCTGGACGTATATGTGTTGAAAAAAACAGTTGAATAATACGAATATAATGTAAAACTTATATTGTTGGCATATTTCCAGTTGGTGCACGTGTGTTACTTACAAATTAAAAATATGAATAATAACTCGTGTAAAAAGAACATAATTTTAAAAATATATAACAATTAAATAATTGGATATTTTAAAAGTTAAATGGAAAAATGTCGACTTACTTAATATTAACTTAATATTCTTAGAAAAGAACATATATGAGCCTTGTGATGGTAACTTGTGCAGTCCGACGGAGGAAATAAAAAAAAAAAAATGTTTAAATAAAACGGTCAACAGTGTTTAAAAATCGAGTTAGTAAAATTCGACATGGACCTGGGGTGGTCGTGTCTCCTAATCGGGGCTTGTGTAAGTACAGTTCAAAGAGAATGTTATTTGAATGGAGAATTTTCCGATGACAATATGAAATGAATCAAGTAGTGGCGGTTGTTGGCAAAATCACGAACTTAATTAGGGTAAATCGTAAGAGAATAGTAAACACACGCCCTCGTGTATTAGATATTTAATGCCACGTATTTATGCGTTATTTCTTGTGCATATTAAAACGGTATTATACTTATTAGTGGACTCGAACCGACTCTCGGCACGACCGGTTGCTGTTGCTACTTACGATACGCGCCGAGCGGAGGCTGCACCCAACAGGTTCTTTCGGCTGCGCACCAGCTGAACATTGTGTGTTCATTATTCCTGTGTTGTGGTGCCATCTGCATTTCGATAAAAAATGTCCATAACTTTTTCAAATAAGTTTTCATATGCATTTTACTTTACGGTTTCGGAAGACTCTCTATATGCCCGTGTTAAATATTTTATTCGTGGCACATATAACTCTGTTCGATGCATCAACCGAGTACACATTTTTATAATTCTGTTTCGAATACCACCCACCCATCCGTGCCGCACTTTTAAACAATAATAACCATATAATGATACGATTAGTGATTACTATTTTGAGGAATCTTCGACGTAGCCCAACAGATACAGACAACCCTGCAAGTATGCCCACCACCTCTTTACTAAGTGCGCATTCGTTTTCCGGCCGACTAATTGGTCGTGAGCGCAGTAACAACAGCAACCCTGACCGTGGCCGGCCGTCGCGTTACAACCAGAGGGCATATATCCATCGGTGTATGTCTGTGATGATAAATACGCGTGATGATAAGTGACCGACAGCCGTGTGTGCGAGTATTTCTCAGGGGATAATCGGATGGGTTACCGTGGGAACGAATCTCAAAGATTAACTGTGGTGGTGTTACATTATAATATTATTATTTCAGCGATGTAGGCGCTCGATTAGGTCTCGAAAACATCGATTGTGTGTGTTGTCAAGTGCAAGACTAAAAAAAAAAAATTATGTACTCTTCGGGACTCGTATGTTTTAGTGTTATACAATTGAAATAGGACATGATCATAAATTATTATTACCATTCTTCAAAATGACAAGTGAATTTTTACCTTCTTACGAATAAAAATACCAGATAATTTATGACCAAATCTATTTTCTATCGAATTCTAGGATAGTTTAGATATTTCAGGTAGTTTTTAGCTCAAATGCGATAGAATGTAAGGGACGTGTTACTATTTTCCATTTGCTTGTCTTAGAAATGTTTATGTCGATTTTTGATAATTAGTTTATCATTACTCCGTTTTTAGTTGAAAAATTGGATTACATCTATGGCCGTTGATATCATTAGCTATTTTATAGTGATACAGTTTAACGTAAAATACTTCACCGGGGACAGATAGTGTTGTATCACGCGATTTTAACACAAAGAAACAGAAAATTCTACAGGATAGACACATCCGGTCTTTATTTTTAAAACTACACTGTGCGTAACGTATCAGTTTTTTTTAAGTTATGGCGTTTATAAGTTAGCTTCCATTTTTTTAAATTTCTTTGTAGACTACATGTTTGGTCAATACTTATAATTAATACAATAATTCCATTTGTTTTTATCTGCTACAGAACAAAAGGATTTCAATGCGAACGTATCAAGTTCAATATAATTCTCAGTGGATTCCGATTATCATTACCCATTTCAGGTAATATAATAGCATTTGTTGTTAGGCAACACAATAGCGAAACAACCAGAGTATTCATGAATACATTATTATAACTATTGCAAGTAAGAAGATGTGTTGGGTTCTATGTCTTGTACATCGATAAAGGCTATTGATCTCATGGATCCTCATAAGAAATTAACAAAATTAAATAAAAACTTAGTATGCATATTTTATTTAATAATAAGTTTAACACTAATTTTTTTGTAACAAAAATATTTTTTTTTATTCAGCCAAGGGGTATAATGCGTTGTTAAAACATTCAAGTAAATTGTACCACTTTACTGTGGTATACTTTATCAATCATACCGATTGATAAAACATTTTAGATTCATAAAAATACCCTTGAGTTTACAAATGTTTATAAGTATAATTAATTATTTACATTTATAAAGGAGGGACTATAATTATATACAATATGCAATTTGTGTTTTATACATTTATCACTTAATCATATCATCATCTAATCATGGAATAAATACGTGTTTTTACCGATAAAACATATCGCTCTCGAGACAAACTCTAATTATAAGTGATTTCTTGGTAAATTAATTAAACGATAATATTTGTAATAATAATAATAATCCATACATTATAATAATATAATAATAATTTATAATATATTATTTACAGACGGTAATATTTATTCTTGAGGTTGAACGTTCATTTGAAAGCATCTGTAAAATGATAGCGCCACAACAATAATTATATTTAAAATTTAGCGTCATGTTATTATGTTAATTATGGATACAAACAATCTTTAATATGAACTTCGAAATGTTTATATTTTTATACGGTTAAATTAATAAAACGTCAAAAAAATGATTCTTGTATAAGGATAATGTCTTTAAAAAAATTAAATATTTAAGTGAGAGTTTCATGGATAATTTATTGCCCTACAATCAGAGCTGGATTAAAATCCATATGGGAAGGGGGCCCATAAAGTATAGTAGCGATAGGCAACCATAAAAAAAGTGATGAGCAAAATAAAAAAACCAGAAAAACTGTTCGTCACTTATCATGACATGCTTGTAAAATACGAGATAGGCCCTTTAATTTAGGTTTGCCTACAAAAGGTCCTTAATAAATAAATAAAAATTTTTTTTTATTACTTGTTTATCTGAAACTCAAGAACATTAAAGAAAACAAATTTAATTTTCAGGATGTTTTTTTATTGAGAAATATTTTATTTTATATATTTCATATAGGGAAAGTTACTAAATTTTAACGATTGGCGTTAGTGACAATCAGCCAATGCCTATTATGCTAATTATGTAACTCGTTGCGGTGAAATTCGAACTGAACTATTTAAGTTCAAATTATCAAGAAATGACATTTGTATTTAGAATCGGCATTTGGTTATGTTTTATGTACTGTCATATCCTTGGCCTAATAGTTTTAATTGAACTGTAATAGTGCGTGTTTAAGTTCAATTAAAATTCCAAACTTTGACAGCGTTTGTGTTGGTTGTGAAATTCAAGATGTGTTGTTGACAATGTAATAAACTGTGAAAAAATGTAACTAATATAAGATAAAAGTCAACATTTACCATTAAATGTTTGTGGATTAATATTTCTTTTATAGGTTTTACTAAACAACTCAGCAAAATAAGCGTACAAGTCGCGTTAAGAAAACCCTTGGAACAACTATATATTTTTATATATGTGCTCTATGAAATTGTTTAGGCTATACATTGCTTGATAATGTGTTACCTCAACGATTTTACATGGAATTTATTGCATTATCTACCTAGTGAAAAATTGATTTGTGGTGTTTTATTGAAATCCCGTTAAAGTCAGGTGTCATAATACTATTCGAGTTTCCTGTTTAATGAGTTTTGAAGGTACATTACACTTGCATTATGTTGTTCATCCAAGTTTGTGGAAATTACGTTGTTACTTATGCCCATTGACCATACACTCAACATACCTACTTATTTTGCTGCAAACTGGTAGCGACCAGCGGTATGCGGTACGTCAGACGACCATCCTTACTGCTATCTGCCGGCCGTCTGTAGCTGTAAGCAGACAAGGAATACCGGNCAGACGACCATCCTTACTGCTATCTGCCGGCCGTCTGTAGCTGTAAGCAGACAAGGAATACCGGTTTGTAGGTATTTGGATTTTTTTTTTTTTATAATATTCTTGCTGGCACTTTATACTATGCTAGTCATGACATTTCTCTCTTTACACACATACACACCTACAAATGAAGCGATAGAGACTGATTGAAATAGTATTATGGTGGTGGAGGTGGCGGTTGACTTCTGGTCTTTTTATAAGAGACGCAAAGCGCAAGAAAAAAACTTACAAGTCGAATTCCTCGAAGGCAGGCAGCAAAAAAATGTTTTTGTTAATACGTATGATGATTATAACTACGTGGGTTTTCATATTGCATGTTATTAGTTAACTTACCGACCAGACAATCGCAAAACAGTCTCAATGAAAATTGATGATTGTCAGTTTTTATAACTCGATGATTATTGTTCAATTGTGCAAGAGCACTATCACAATTTACTTTTGTTTGATATTCGCATACATTTTATAATTTTTAAGAATCAGAACATGTTTTATTTCTATATTCCATCGTATCAAATTATTTTCATAATTATTTATAATTGGACTTTGAGTGGTTGACCTTTCAAAGTTATACTGTTAATCCGTAATCACGTTAGACTATTTTAAAAAGAGAAGAAAAACTACTATGAATTTATTTGTAATTGAACTAGAGGCATTTTCAGTGGTATTTTGTATTTTCTATATTCCCTTTTTAGATGAGGGCTATTAAATTTTCTTATTTTACAAACTACTGGAACAATACACTGTAAATATTGTTCATACGATTTGCTGGTTAATATTCAAAATTTGATAAGCAAGACAAATTTTAGATGTTCATGAATATATATTTATATATATCTTAAAACGTCATCAACTAAATTTTCTATTGGGGTATTGCAATGGTAGAAAATAATTCAGCTGCAAAACGTGTGGATAATAGTTTATAGAAGTTAATAGTCTTAGTTTTATTTAGTATATATATATCACATGGAATTCAATTTTCGACGACTACTACCGTCTTGTAGAATTGATGAATATGACCGTATTATTTGTAATTGACTTGAGGGGAACTTAGCCTACGCACAGTGCAGTATTTACATAGCGAATACGTTTGAGAGAAGTGAACGTCACATGACCTGATAATCGTTATCCGTTAAAATACTGTAAATGAATGTTCAAAATATTTATAATTGTCCAACAAATTCCATGAAATCATTTTTTATAAAAAAAAAATAATCAATAAATTCACGTAGTAGACAAAGCAAAAATACTATATGAAGTAATGGTGTTTCAAATATGACAAAAAAAACTTAATTATATGTTTTATTTTTAAAGGACAATAGTTACAAGTTATTGTGTTGTATGGACTTATTGCCTTGTCTATTTATGTTCACTTTTTACTAATAAATAGTTAATTTTTTTTTAGAAATTGCCTTTGTTTTGTAAAAATATTGCATACAATATTATGTAAATAAATATTTTCTATATTAATATTATAAGCACGTCGTGACCTATATTAAAATTGTTTTTTTTGTTTTTTAAATTTCTTGAAAATGTGATAAATCAATACTTTTATTTAGTAATGTCTTATCGGGAGATGAGATACAAAGAAAAATTGTTGATTTCAAATAACTTGATAATTAAATATTAGTGTTATACTAATATTTATATGAGTTTATAATATTTATATAAAAATGGAAATATTCTTAACAAGTATTCAGTTGAATGTAAAGGTTAGACTTATTTGTTTGTTAGTGTTAAATTGTATTTCCTTCAGATATTAATTATATTAATAATATAATTTATTTAACATTGTCTATTGTTTTTATAGCGATCCGGTGAGGTGGTGTCACACTCCTTACTTGGAAATTTAATTATTTTATAATATATAAGAGGATGCTACCAAAAAATAATTATTAAAAAAAGGTTTCACGATTTTAAAAAATTAATCAACTGGGAAAAATATATTTTTTATCCCCCATATTTTTTTAAATGTTATAAGACATGTCATTACTATTATGATTTCATGGAAAATTATGCAAAAGATTAATATTGCAAAAATAATATTTTTCTTATTTATTAATTGTATTTTTGTAATTTTCCTTTTTACTCTTATAAGCATCTAGCTTTTGTATAAACAATTTAAAAATTAATACTTTCAGTAATAAAATTTATTTTTTTTATATATAATATTTGATATAAAAAATGGAATTGGAAATTACTCATGATATAGATCACAGGTGAGTTTATAGAATTTTTTTTAAAAATATTATACAGATTTTTAATCGAGGGCAAGAGCTATAGGCTTATTAGTTTCTATTTTTATGACGAAGTATAAATGCATGAACTTTATAAAATTAAATCTTTAAAGTCTAAAAAGCCTAGAATAAAATTCCTTATTAATGTATTAAAAATTGATTATAAGTTAAAGTAACCATTTACCATTTAGCTCACATTATGGGCTAAGGTCATCATCTCAGTTTGGTTATCAAAATAATATATTAGTTGAAATATTACTATTAAAATGTTTTTCAATTATGTTATTATTCTAACTGTTTGCCAAAAAAATATTACACAAATATTTATTTAAGTAGTCTTTTGTTACAAATTAAAAATTTGACCTATTATGGTGTTCATGAATAAAATAATATAGTTTTATATTAGTAATAACATAAAAAATAAAAATAGAACACCTATCAAATAAATAATAAGGATCTGAAAAATTGTCTCCAAATTTAAATGTGTATAAAGTACGCTATCTGTTGGATCTTGTAATAATGACTTTATAGCTCATATTATTTTTATTTACATTTACATTAAGTTAATTTATTCAAATTATTACTTCAATTATATTATATTTTCAATACTTGTAATAAAATGTAAATTTACTATTTCAGAAATTATGTAAAAAATGCAAAAAAAATCACCGCCCGGACAGGGACTTGAACCCTGGACCCTTAGGTTAAAAGCCTAATGCTCTACCGACTGAGCTATCCGGGCTATTGGCGTTTTCCTAGAGAATTACATCAATTAAGTTGAATTATTTTGTTTAATAATTATTTTTCATTTATTATGTTTATTATTTGAATTTAAAAGTTTTTATAAAATGCATAATGCTATTAAAATTCTTGACGAAGTATTTGAACCAAATTTAAATGACGAATACGAGACAATATCAGTACAATAATATTTCAGCACCCAAAGCCAATATTTTTGGAGACCCAATTTTTTTTTCATTAAGATTACGAGAGCATATGCATAGAGTAAAACATGTTATTTCTTCCTCTTATTTTACAAGTTATCTTTTTAAGGATTTAAAGAGCGTATACCATAATTATGGTACATGCTCCCTTATATTAAGGTAGGTAACCCTCTAGAAATAACAATCAGAAATATTATACGATTATTTACGAAAAAAATGTATTCAAATTGATAAATATCTTAGAAAGAATTAAAAAAACTATTTTCGCAAAATTTTGTATTGGCTTTTGAAAATAGTATAGTTTATAAAAATTATTATCTGGAGAAAATTAAATAAAATAAAATTGTTTATTTTTTGCACTTCACTAAAATGATATTGAAAATTGGATTATCATGGTGAATTTTTAATAAATGTTTTAATTTCTTCTTTTTGAAGTATCAATGCATTTCCCTTATACCTTATAATTAGAGGCGTAATTAAGATTTTTATGCACTGTAGTTAATATATTTAAAATATTTTAATGGTTCAAAGAATTTCATTTTGTCAAGTTTTAGTTGATAGAAAAGTTTTTTTCATAAAATAATTGAAATAAATAAAAGGTCAATTTCGTCCAATATCCCTTAAATGTCACTTAAAGTCGGGTTAATATATTTAAATATTTATAATATAATTAATTTTAATTAAAAAAAAAATAATAATATCGAAATTTGCTGATTTTAAAAATTGTAATTTTTTTGGAGATTCCCCCATTTACAGGGAACGATGAAATTTTTTTTCAATTTTTATGGTAACGTTTTAAACGAGATACGATTTTTGATCTTTCGACGTATAATTGAAAGAAATTGGTCCGGCGAGAGCTGAGGAAAAGTAGCGTCAAAAAAAAAAATATAGTAGAAGTAATATCTTCTCAGCATTTCGTCGAAGCTAAAAAAAATTATTATTTGTATTTATTAAAATTATCATTTAGAACGTATTGTACAGCAAAGAAAATAAAATTAATGATTTTTCGTTAAACATTTATTCTCTTAAACTCATAAAGTTTTATGCTTACTACGTCTTATTGATTAAATGCTTAATAAAATAATTTTATCGTAGTTTAGATAAATTTATATTTTCTTGTTAATTGGTTATGCAGTTTGCATCGTCATACAGATTTATATGCATAATTTGCGTCCTTAACTCAATAACACACGTTAAAATAAACAATATTCACTTGATATAAATAATCTAGATTTTATTTTTTGTTTGAAATTGTCATTTTTGAAATTGCGTGCAATGCATAATATCACAGACGCTGATACACTGCGTTATTCTGTTTAGGTTGTGTCATTTAATGTAATCAACGCGTTGTGTTTATTGAACTAAGGTGTAGAATTTAAAATAAAATTTGATCTGCCGTTTATTGTTTTAATTTTTGTTTAGAAGCCATACGTGTGTTCAGTAGATTATTATTATTAGGAGATCTGAAGATAAGAATTCAATAAAAGGCAAGATG